GCAATTTTAATTCGAGCCAGCAAGTGTGTCTGACGCTTGGGCGTAGAAATACAGGTATAGAATTACGTAAGTTTGTTATTTAATTAAATATCATTGAGATATGTTTACTTTTCAGACTCGTTTACAGAGTCCAATATATAAATTACCTACGTAATATAAAGTTGTATTGATGTGATTAAAAGAATATTAGTTTAGATTTTTATTTTTTAATTTGCTTTCGTACCATTAAATTATACAGAATTTCTAAGTTACGATCTCTTCTACGTTAATAACTTTTAACGTTAGATTAATAAGCACAATAAAATTAAATAAAACTCTTTCTATAAAATAAAATAACTATTATCATGTTTTTGTTTACAGTTCAAGGCAAAACATCACCGAAAGCATCACACATACAATATTTACATAATTACAGCAATTCACCAATATTTTCAATGTTGACATGTGATACAAGAATCGTTAGACGCATCTCGAGTGGAGAGCGTTGTATTTACCTAACTATATTTCATATGCATCGCATTACAGAATAATTCTACCCGGAGCCTTCGACTGCATCGACCTCTGGTTATTTGCGGACGTGAGACCGCTTGTTTACTCAGCCAAGACTCTAGTGGTGGACAAACATAGGACGGATCGTTCGGAATTGCTTATTTTGTCTCTGCCTACACGACTCCCATAAACAGGTACCACCGTGGTCCGGCGTCATCGCTGGCGTGCCATAGGGTAGCACTCTCGGCCCACCGACTTAAACACTTTTAAGTGGTGATAATTTTTGGATGGCCGTGAAGTGGTTGTTTTTTTCTAGGCTCGACTGGGTTATGGTTTTAATATTTGCTCTTTGTCACCAAATTATTCGAATAATGCGAACTTTAGTTTATTTTCTTTATAATCACGTTTAGATTTGTTTGTCTATTATAACTACGCGAATTTAAAGTAAAAATGACATAATATACCTTAATAATTGAAACTGTAAACAATGTTAATGGACTCGTTATTACGTTGAATATTTCTTAACCTAAAAATTTAGGCAAGCTGGATTAGTATCTTGATATACAACAGTCTAACAAAATCAGATTAAAAGGTTATTATCGAAGGAACTATTGAAGATATTAATTAGCATATTGAATTATTGAAATGATATATAGAACAAATGATTTATTAATTCGCTCATCATATAACTAAATGTTTCCAAAATATTTAAAACATCGTTGCTCAAGATGAGCATGCAAACATACTTAATTACCTAACTGAGAAGGAATTATGTCATCAACGCAAATAATCATATTCATGTAATACGACGCTTTTTGTGTTTGTTTCACTGGCAGTTTCAAATACAAGCAAACATATTTTTGTTACGTGTGTTTAATACTTTTTTAATTCAATTTACTACGAATATGAAACGTGTATTATCTTTTTATATAACTAACTCTAAAGTGTAAGGACAATCCATTTAATAAAAATAGTATAACACAAAAAATATTTATTTTTTAAACATTTGTTTATTTTTTAATATCGTACTTTAATAGAGATACCAAGATTCCTTTAAAAGTGATTGTGAGTGATTACGTAGATAAACGCCCCTTCTTTAGTATAAACGACAAATAAACACTAAATTTTAAATTTATTTGTAATTTGTACCTTTTTAAAACTAGCTCTGTACTGGATGTAATCCATAGATAGTAATTAGTATATCAATAGAATAATCACGCCCAAGTTGGATGTTTGAGTTGTATTGTCTAAATAAATTGACCGTCATCTTCAATCAAGTGGATACGAATAGTTGATTAGTTAAGTTATTGATTTGTTAATAAATAATTGCTGTCAAAGAGGATTGCGCAAGATTTCATATGTTGAAAACTGTTATATGTTAATGTATACTCCCAGTACTCTCTTATGGTTGCCAGACTTGGGACCTATCAAAGGCCCATTTGCAAAAAACTTGAAGTCTGCCAAAAAGCTATGGAAAGAAGTATACTAAATATTAGACTATCCGATAGAATCAGAAATTCAAAAATTAGAAAAAAAAACAAAGCTAGACAACATATTACATATAGTAAGAAAAAAATAATGGAGCACACGATAAGAGATATCCAAAATACAGAAAAAGGACCAGACGAAGGCAATTCAAAAGGTGGGAAGACGATATTAAAGTGACAGCAGGAAAAACGTGGATGAGAACTGCAACAGTAAGAGACGAGTGGAAGAAGTTGGAAGAGGCCTATGCCGGAAAGAGGCAAACGGTATACCGATCGTCGATTAATGCAAACATAATTATTGTAACTTTGATATTATCCTAGATAAAGGCTTTTATTATTCTAAATTTACCTATATTATGCAATTGTTAGATAATCGATACATTACGAAAGGAATTAAATCCCGAGGGATCAATGTATCAATTAGGTAAACGTCATTGCACCTGTATCAACCGAGAACACTTCGAGAGCGGATCAAATTACGGGGACAAAGATTATTTTCAGATGCGTATACGCTTTAGTAGAAGTGTTTCGTTTGGCAAAATTTTAGTTTTATATTTTCAAAATTCAATTGCAAGACGTTTTTGAACTGTGTAGCATATAAGATTAAACATCTGGAAACCTGCATATTGAATGGAAGGTAGAAATAGCACAATTCCGTCCAGATCACCATCTACTGTCCACAGTTGAAAAAGCAGTGATTTTTAATAGAATTTCGGTTTTAATAAAAATATTTTCAAACGTCCAAAGCAAGGGCAAGAATAAGTTAAGAGCGCATCTAGTTTATATGTTATAGCGCTAAGGTATTTCACCTTTGATGTTTCAGTTCCAGTTAATCCGCTGTAGCACGCAGTCAGAACATTTATCACTCTTTGTTTTATTTAAGCATATTACAATTTTCTAGTTAAAATATACCTCATATCTACTCAATTATGGTATTTTATGCGAGTACACTTTTAAAACGGAAAATATATTAGCCAAGTTATTCTTGACTAAAACACGTCGTTTCGAGCCGTTTCTTTACAACAGCCCTGGCAAAGGTCTTAATTTTATTTAAATGTGCGCTCATTTTATACTGTACCCACCTCATATCTGAGTAATAATCTAAGGTTACTAAGAAGCCAGGATGGTAGCCAAGCACGTACTTTATTTTTTTAATACTTAATGGTGTTTACATAACGACGGTAAGTCGCTATTTGAGACATTTATGTTTTTTAAACCGATCGTGCGTCATCGCTGTTTAAACAATTAGAAATATTTATTACGAAAAATATTTAAATGGTAGGTGTATTTTCATAGCTAGCTAGTTTTCAAAGGTATTTCTTTTCTAGCTAGTTATACAAGGTAGAGCCTGGTATATTGTTTTGGGTATAATTATCATATATAGTCTGTATTTTACGCGAATAGCACACTTTAAAAAATCATTTTTAACAGTTTAAAACGCGAAATATTATTAGTCAGTTGCCTATAATCAAAGAGATGGCTCCAGCGTAGTACATTCGACTTTGACATTAGGGACACCCTCCATCTTCAATTCCCCCATGACCACGGCTACAGCAAAGTTTCCGAAACGTCGAGACGTATTTAAAATAAATAATATATATGTCATATTTTAAAATAAAACGGGTTTTATTTAAATATCATTATTAAACAGTTTTGGTTCTCGACTTGTACGGCGACTACAAGTGATATTTAACAGAATGTTTTTTTGAAGATAATTTTTGTCTGTTTAAATTTTAAAGCGATCTACTATGTTTAGTATACACCTCGTAAAGTTATTCATGATAAGTAGCATTATAACTTAAGACGACATTCTTACTTATAGGTAGACATATAGTCAAAAGCGTATAAGTTTAAAAAGCTTTTAAATTCACCTAAAAAATTAGCAAACACATTTAAATAAACACATTAATATATATTATTTGCTGAATAATGTCATTTGTCTAATGACTCACACCAAAAAAAAATGTGCGACTTTGTCTAGAGTTTTGTGTGGCTTCTGAACGTAAATGAAAAATACGTATGCCATTTAAACCAAATCACGAAGCGTAAGTTCTTCATTGGGTTAGTGTAGAGAGCTATAGAAAATATTGCGTTTCGAGTTGTACGTGTGATTACGAGGTGAGGGACCGTAGCCCTGCGCGCGCATTTATTGACGCGACGCCATTTTAGAGTGGACAGGGTGGCGAGTGGTGAAAATTAATCAAATTAATTTTCATTGTTGCGTTATATAATTAAATTATTATTAATTTAAATTACGGCTCTGTTGCTGGGGAAATGGAAAACTACGCTGTAATATTATAAATTCGTTATTGTCCAAGTTTAAAATGAAGTAGAAATGTTTTTCTATTTGATGTTGCATTAAAGTTGTTTTTTTATTAACCTAACCTACCTATTAACTTAATACATATATGTACCTTTCCCAAAAAACAAAATATGATTTGGTTAACTTAAGTGCCGTCAATTATATTTATATTACTATGTATATTGTCAGATTAAGTATTAAAATAAATTTTCTTGCCTTGTATTATTATTCGTTTTAAAGATTTACCTTATATTAAGTAGGTATCTACCTAATTGAAATGATGCGGCATTGCACAAAGAACCACTACGGTTTTTTTAGGTTTAAAGTTATTTAGGTACCTACTTATCTTTTTCGATAAGTATAAAGCAACTAATACCTATATAATTTTTAGTTAAATTGAGTATAAACAAATTTTCTAGTCGAGTGTATAGAACAATCCAACAAGTTGTTATTAAAAACATTAAATAAAATAGACAGTACATGTAAGGCCATTTAAATAAAACTCTTTAACGGTTTAAAACGCGATATGTTAGTTAAACTTATTTGAAAATGATTTTTAACTTCGGCCTGACGTTTCGGATGCTTTGCAGCAGCCGTGGGTCTCCCCGTGACCACGGCTAACTGACCGTAAGTTTAACTAATATATGGCATTTAAACCGTTACAGAGTTTTATTTAATTGTGTAGTACTCGCGTAAACTATAGAGAGTATGTAAGGCCACGTTTATGTGTCTGCCTTCCATCTGCAAAATAGGTTTTGGTCATAAAAAAATTGTATCTATCAAACAAGAATACCGACTCACTGGCAAACCTGGGGTCATTTGACGCGGGGTACCAACTGGCACCACGCATGTCTCCGTAGTGGGGCAAGTCCGCTGGCGCGCAGCCATATCCTTGGACTGGCGCGCCGCCGTACAACGGCACAGCGTAAGGATTTGCAGCCATCCCGCAGGAGGCCGCTGGGCCAAGGGGCGAGTTTATACTGCTGCCTGAAGAATTCGACCTGAAACAAATGTGGAATTAGAATTCAATTCTATAGGGCTCTCATCAGACTAACCAAGCAGACCGCCGTATTGTGTTATACACAATGTGAACAACGCCTTCAACGATTTCATAAACATGGCCCAAAGTCTATGCCCTCTAAGTAAGAAAAACTTCCCATCAGTGGGAATGGTTTGATAAAGATCTGTGACAACGGTGGCTCAAAAACATATTTGAAAGCAAAATAATAATATATCATTTTATTGTATCGTATATTATAGATTGCAAAAATATATATATTGCTGGAGATAGTAAGGTGCATGAAGCTCATTCGATTGAGCAACAACACGGTACGTTGGTTCAAATCCCGGCGTATCAATCTTGTGTCGTCAATCAATACCACCTTAAACTATAATCATTTTCGAAGATTTGTGTAACAGCGGAGAATAATATTCATGCCAAATTAACAGAATTTAAAATTAAAACAAACATTAAAATTCTTTGTAGAGTGAGTAAACGGATTTCTTAAAGCTAAATTAACTTTCGGTTGTGATCGTTTTAGTTATGCAGGTATATGTGTGTCACGAAAAGGTTTATAGTTAAAAATTCATCCGAAACGTCGGTCCGAAGTTAAAAATCATTTTCAAATAAGTTTAACTAAACTAATATATCGCGTTTTAAACCGTTAAAATGTTTTATTTAAATGTGACAGACGGTATTTACTTAGCTATTACTAAGTTAGATCTTAATTAGAAAAAAGTATCATTGACTATTGACGAGGTGAAAGAGTATTTTGCGTATGCTAAGTAATAATGCGGTCTAAAAGTGCTGCCTAGAAGCATCTCCTTAAATTCTATTTTTGAGAATCCCATATTTAATGTACAGGCAGGATGGAAGAAGGCAAAGCCCATCTGTCTAGTTTCGTCGTAGTTTTGAAAAGGATTTGTTTGTTTATTGCACTTATAAACTTTTCTAGCAAATATAACTAACGAGAATTTTATGAATTAAGCATTTTTTTATCTCTACGCAGCAAGAAGATTCTCTATTATTATAATTTTAAGTAATACAAAATAAATACTGGCAGTAGTTTACGCGAACATTTAAAATAAAACACTCTTACGGTCTCAAACGCGATATATATTAGTTAAACGGTCTCCCCGTGACCACGGCTGCTGCAAAGCACCAGAAACGTCGGGCCGTAGTTAAAATAATTTTCAAATAAATTTAACCAATATATATCGCGGTTTAAACCGTTAAAGTGTTTCATTTCAATAATACAATATTATTATGACGCTTTTATATTTTCATTCATAAACCTTTTAAAACTTTTCCGTCCGTCCCTTTATCTTAACTTCCTGGTCAAAACAATTTGGCGTAAATATGCCACACACAGCCCGTTACGGCGCCAACACGTCAGTGAGAACAAAACCCGGATTATCTGCCTAATCTCTATTTACACAATTTAATCTCCCGTTAGATGCTACCCAAGTTACCCCATCAATTCGCAGGACTATAAAATTTGTCTATTTAAACCGCGACGTTGACTTGGGGTGTCGAAGTGACAAATTAGATTTTGGTGGGGGCTAAAATATTAACGCATAATTTAGTTAGTGTTAAAATAAATGTTGTTTAATGATAAAGATAACATTGGGTTACCTACGAGATATTGTGGCAAATCCAGCGTGTAGATTGTTGAAGGTTTACTTTAATTGCTCTATTTATAATTGTTAAATATTTACCTAAATGTTGTCTGTAGTTTAGGCGAGTAGTATACATTTAAATAAAATTCTTTTAACCGTTTAAAACACGAAATGTTTTGATTAAATTATAGTAATATATCATATTTTTTACTGTTACCATTTAATTAATTTTACGTGAGATTCCCCGTGACCACGGCTGCTGAAAAGCATCCGAAAATAGTACTTAGTTAAATGAATTGTAAATGAGTTAATATTTCGGGTTTTAAAACGATAAAAGTGTTTTATTTAAATAAATACCTAGTTAGATATATATTGAACTATAAAAATAGTGATACAGCGAATCGATCTATTGATCGATTGACCTTAATATACCAATCCCACGTATGAAAGAAGTTACAGAATACAACCTCCTCATTCAACCTTTAAGTTACCCAAAAATAACAGCTAAAGAATAAACACGAATACCTATAACCCTTGCAAATATCAGTCGAATAATATTTTTCTTTAAATTTATTTGCCGAGATGTAAATTGACATTTACCAAATAGGCAGGCGCGAGTCCGTCACCACTCGTTCTGTTTGCGCACTCACGCGCACTCCGTGTTATTTAAAATGCAAAATAAGTACAACACAGGAGTGTTCACAAGAATATTAAAACAGAGTTGGTGGCATTAACAATGTTAACAAATGTAAGATGCCTAAGTAAGCCCAGGAAAGTGGCCCAAGATTTCTAAAAGTATAGGTTAGTACGGATTCCTTATTTAACAGAGTTTATGTAGGCAAAAATCTACTTAATATTCTAGCAGTTCTCAAAACTGATTTAAAAAATTACATGGGGTCTTGAAAGAAGTTACCAGAAGGTAGTAATATTTTCATGATTGTCAAAGCAGTGCAAAAGAAATGAAGAATTAAAACAGCATTCTTATACCTGAATGTTATTGTGAATATAATTTTTGAATAAACCTAGTAGTGCATCATAGAAACAATATTTGTTACAATAAATAGTAATAGATTTTATAATCACATTTAATCTTCAGAATTATGTAGAACTGCCTATATTTTGTTGTCTAATAAGTTGTAGTTATTAATATTACTTATTAAATAAGTATTAAGCACATTTCTTGAATAGGTATTTATATTATTAAAAAAATACCTTTATTCAACGTATTTATTTTGCGAATCACGAGTATGTATATAAATCTAACAACCTAGGTAACATTAACAATTTGTTCAGTTATTTTTTATTTCTAGAAATTTATTTAAAATGTTTTTTTTTTTTTGTTTTTTATACTATGGTATATAAATAAGAGTGATATAATCTGTATTCTCAGCTCCGCCATAAGTCTTATTAATAGTATACCTAACTAGCACCTTTAATTTAAGTAAAACGTTCATACACGAGAATATTAATAATAAAAAAATATCTTATTCACCAATGTCATCTGAATTTATTGATATTGATTAAGTCTCGAAAAAAAATAAGAAGAATTAAAATATTAATGAACACGTAGCTAATAATTAGGTATGAATATTCATCGTGACACCGATTTTATTTTAATGAAAAAAGAAAAATAATAATAGGTATTTCTATCACCTAAATTGTAGCGATACGTCTTAAGTCCCATGCGAGCGGTTGTACCGACGGAGAGAGATCAACGCGTTAAAAGTTTAAAGCTTATTAAGCAATATTCGTTACGTTATTGTTATTAACTGTTAATTATTATTGAGGATACATACACATAATCTGTTAGCCCGCCTCGTCTACTCCGCAATATTTAGCAGCGTTATTGTTTATGTTCTCGAGAGGCATTAGTGCATAACATACGAGCGATGGCACATCGTTGACCTCACACGATCCCGTCACTTGACCGATCACAACATACCTGCACAAACAAACGTCACCGAACTATATCCTTCGACTGAGTGCCCTCGAGACCTTCGGCCACTCGAGAGATCAGCGGGCGGAGGGCCCCCCGCCGGATCGATGCACGCACCTGTACGGCGACGGCGGGTTGTTGGCCAGCTCCAACTTGCGGTACTCCTCGATGGGCGACAGGATATCCGTGACCGAGAAGGGCGTGGAGTGCTGCAGCTGCAGCTGCGAGAGGTTCTGCTGCAGCAGCGCCGACTTGGGCGACAGGCTCATCGCCAGCTCGGCAGCGCTCAGCTCCGGCAGCGCCTCCGCCGGACACGGCGAGTAGCCGCCGCCCTCCGCGGACATCCGATCGACACTCGACGCCACTCGACGGCTCAGCCTCTAGTGGCTCTCGGGGCGAGAGTGGCGTCGGAGCCCCTGGCGCGGGCCGCCGCCACTTCACCGGCTCCGCCCCTGAGCGGGGCACCGCCTCCCCAGCCGGCGGCGAGGCCTCCGATTGGGTAAAGCGCCGCAACTCAGCGGGTGGCTCGTACAGCGGGCGCAGTCTGACAGCGGCCGCGCGCGCGACCACCGGGTGGGGGGCCTCAGTTTGGAGCCCGCTCGCTAATTATCACTGTTTGTGAACTTTTGTTGCTGTTCGGTTTGACAATGATGGGAAATTATGGGTTATGTAGGCAATTACGTTATATAGGTCACTGTTATTGTGATAAGATGTTCATGAACTGTGATATTGCATTGTAGTCTACATAGTGTTAATACTCTGTTGTATTTTTATTTACTATCTCTTCCACACTTTTGTGTTTTTATGGACAACGTTTAACAACATAATGGTTTGTTAATAGTTATACATACGAGTACGTATAAGCTAGTGTTATTGTTGTTTTAAGTACCATTTAATCGGATTCTACTCATTTAATTTTGATAACCAACACCCAACGCTATGTGATCTATAAGAGAATAGAATAGTGCTCTTTACTCAATATTATATAACGCTTTATTAAATACTTATCCATTAATCATAGATCAAGCATTGCAAAAGAGGCTCATGTAAGGACTTTTCCTAAAAGTAGATTCTATTAATGTTTGTAAAACAGGGAACTCTTAGATGACTTTAGTAAATTCACTAAATAATTTATTTAAATATAAAAATATGTGTATAATTCAGTAATAATATAACTTGTTTTTATTGTGTCCGATATACATATACTTAGTTAAAACATACATCGTTGAAAAGCAATGGTGAGTAACTTGTTGAAGCATATCTAAGCAAAACGTTTTACTAGATCATCAGAAAATAAATCTATTTTGAGACTTCTTTCATACATTTTTCTGATGTTTAACTGTCTTATTTTGTGCATATGTACTATTTTAAGCAAGAATAGAACGTACATATTTTACTTCCCATAATAGTAAGTTTGTATCTACCTTTATATATTGAAAAATTGTTTCATTAAGCGATTCTATTATGTATTTCCGTAACTTTGTATATTATATTTCAATTGTGACTAATCTTGTAACAGATAGACAAATTGCTTTTATTAATCATATGTAACAGTGTTTATTTGTATTTAGTAAGTAATGTAGCAACGCACAAGATGTATAAAGATTATCTACAAGCACGCTTTTCTTTCGAACGATATAATATGTAAACAATTTGTGTGTTTACAGTAATAATTACTTTCTGAATTAAAATAAAGTAGTAATAACATAACCTTAAAAAGATGGATAAAATGTCTAAAGTCTGCTTCATTCGTGGCTACAGTAGTTGGCTTGTAGTTGTATTGATTATAGGAAAGGTTTGTGTATTTAAAATTAAACAAAAAGTTTTAACTTATGGAATTAAAAAGTAAAACAAATTATTTAGGATTAGATCTTAACGAGAGAAAATAAGTTATAAGGCTACGGCGTAGCGGCAGCTACGTAAGCGGCGCGATTTTCTTCCGGCGCATTTGCTTACTTCCGAAAGCAATTTAATGTCATAATATACTGTCTGTAGTTTCCGTGAGTAGTAAGTACATTTAATTAAACACTTAGAATGTTTAAAACGCGATATATATTAGTTAAACTTATTTGAAAATTATTTTAACTAAGGCCCGACGTTTCGGATGTTTTGCAGCAGCTGTGACCACGGTTAAAGTGGTTTTATTTAAATGCAATATTTGAATGTCATATTTTTTGATATTTACTAGGTAACTTGATAAGTGACAACATCCGAATAAACATATGTTATTGTCTGTTGTTTCTGTTACATTTGTTGTACATTTACCTCTATAAATGTAAGTATAGCATAGTTGTAGAATATTCAATCATTGTTTACAAATTTGTTTTGGTATCACAGTGCTACCTGTAGTAAGGTGACGTTTTCCCCAATATGTTAAGACCTACTTATAATAATACAATCTATATATAGCAATGGAAGATTCAGGACTAATAACGGAAATAGTAAAAAAGAATAACGGATTCGGATGCCAGAACGACTTTGATATTAATATATTTTTAACTACACAGGTGTTTTATTTTATCAGTACCATTTTCATAAACTGTAGACAATTATCTATGAACAACATTTTTGTAAAGGTACCTACCTAATTTATAAGTAAGATGATTTCTCGTGCCATTTTTTACAAAGTAAGTAAGAACTTAGCTGGTAAGTGTCTCTTATGCACATCAATTGGTATTAAATCACGAAGACATATCAATTTGAATTCTAAACTATGAATCTACGTATTAACTTTACATTAGGTCTTACTAAGAATTTACAAAAAGGTTATGTGTTAAGTTTCATAGGTAGGTACGTCTAAAGTTAAAAAATAGGAGGTAATAGTAAGTAGTTTTCGTTATTTTTATTTGTAATTAATCCAGTAAAATATTTATCCATTAACTAAACATTCCCAGTTGTTTCTTTGTTTACAAATACAATTATTTAAAGAAATGTAAATGAAACAATAAACGATTATTTAATTAGACGTGAGTAGACGTAATGTTTAGTCTTCTCGTCATGGGCCGCCATTTACTTGTACAGTCGTCAGTACGTCATTTAATTACAGGTAACTTCAGAAAGTAATAAAAATTGTTATGTTTGTTTCTACATCATTTAATTGTATCCCACGACGTCGTTCTTACAAGTATATCTTAAAAGATAAACTACATACTTACTTATAATATAATATATATTCGCGACTATTTTTAGATAATTTAAAGAGTAATCATTCTTTCATACATTCAGATGATTTGGATACCTACTCCAATGAATCCAATGAAGAGAAACGGATGTAAAGGCGATACACCATTATTCCTGAAACAGTAAAAAACATTTTAAACATACAACACTAAACTTGGCCTCAAATAATTCAATATATTTACCGGGATGAGTAGACTAATCTAGTAGAATATCGGCGGTGATATTTCCAATAATAATGAATTTACTGCAGCTTCGTTTAATCGAAATCTATACACAAAATCGGAATCTGAAAGTTTACTATGATAGTTCACACGACAATAATAGCAAGGTTCATTCACAACCCTCGTATCATCAGTTTCAAATAAACTGAGTTCGTACATTTCAGCGTCACTTTCGTCACTAAATAAATCAATTTTTTCCGTAAGATTAATACAAAAAAAAGAAAGAAGAATATATTCAGAAGCTATTAACAAGTGCGATCTTTCAATAATCGGTCAAAATTGGCGAATAGCCAAACCTGTAATCGTAATTGTAAACCATAGTTATCGATTAAAGTGTTGTTGCAAGACTTAACTTGTTTTATATGAAATAATCTATCTTATCTATGCTATGAAGTTGACCCTCTCACCAGTAGATTAGACCCATTGGTTAAAATGTCAATATGCCTGTGAATATACAAACGCAAACCATTAAGAAAACTGTCAGTTAAGATTTTAACTTCTAGTTAAAGGTAAGTTATATATTGTGACCTGGCCGTTAGTAACTATCCACCACCAACCATCTTTAGCTGGCAACCAAAGGTCCAGTCGGCGAAAGGGTTAATTCATAATACGAGAGGCGCATAACGATTTAACCCCTCTCAAATCGCAATTAAAAGGATAGATTAATGTGAGAATTAATGAATAAAAGCCTAAGAGAAAATATTGATAAGTAACTACTACATAAGTACTTTTATACATCTATACTATTATTAAAAGTCTGAAGAGTTTGTTTGTTTGAACGCGCTAATTCAGGAACTATTGGTTCGAATTAAAAACTTATTTTTGAGTTGGTTAGAGCATCTATCGAGGAATGCTTTAGGCTAGGCTACGATAAAACGCGACGTGGGTTTCTTTGGCATACACTGTTAAAATGGTTCAAGATACCCAAAATTACGATGGAATGATTCCTCTTTAATCGATATAAAATTAGAAGGCGACAGTATGTCCATCTTTTAAGATCAACTTGCAAGAACGACGGTTAACGTTACGAATTACAACAAAATCTTATAAAAATGAGAAGAAGGTTTGCAAAAACAACTTTTGTAGCCCAAAATAACTATTCTGCGCGGACGAAGTCGCGGCCACAGCTAGTAGCAGATAAAATGGTATACTTTTGTTTGTCACGGCCTCTGGATTAAACAAGATTCATTACGAATCTACTAAAAAATACAAAGTTGACAATATATGCCAATAGATGTCAGAAACAACAATGAAGCAATTAAATATATCGTTTTTTCTACTTACTCTGTAATAAGTCGTCATGTTGTATTTTTGCTTATTTATTTCACATCATTTAAATATTAAATTGTGAATAAAAGTTGCTTAGACGTTAATATAATAATTAAAGATATATTTTTAGAAGTTTAGAAGTGAGAAGCAGGACGCAGGCAACACTAGCTGTCTCGATTTAGCAAGTATGTAAATGTCAATTTTTATTTTATTTTAATAAATCGACTAAACAGCAGCAGTACCTCTACGTATTTTGCAATAATATTAATAATAAAAGTCATCACTTATAATAGAATTCACGATGACGGTTAGGCGCGTATATAACCTAGTCGTTTGCGTAACGTAACATCGAAGGGTTCCCAATGGTCAAGAAGACGATGGTTCTGAGTACGGAGTGGGCGCAAGTTGAAGTGGTTGAGCTTACGAACGACGGTAACGGACTGGGCTTCAACTTGGTTGGCGGGCGAAGTACTGGCGTCGTTATAAAGTACGTGCTACCTGGTGGAATCGCGGATAAGGATGGACGACTACAAAGTGGTGATCATGTGCTTCAAGTGGGTTCTGTGAACTTGCGCGGCTTTACATCGGAACAGGTTGCAGCTGTTCTACGCCAGGCTGGGCCAACAGTGCGTCTGTTAGTCGCCAGACCGGCAGACCCAGCCACTGCATTACGAGCACCTCCAATTGGCACTGCACTTGTTCCTACAAAACTTTTAGCTGACCCGGAACTTCTAGATCGACACCTCATCGAAACAGGTTACAGTGCTGTGTATGATCTATCACAATGTTACAGTGAATATATAAATGGACAAAATGGTGACATTGATAATGTAGTTGCTGCCGTTAGCATTATCGGTGATAATCCACAACAAGTTCCCAATCATCAAATTATAGCAGACTCCATATCTCCTACTATTACCATAACTGTGCCTGTGGAACTACCAGTCCTACCGGAAGTTGAACTCATATATGTAGACTTGAACAAAAATGTATACGGACTGGGTATAACTGTAGCTGGATATGTATGTGAAAAAGAAGAGCTGTCTGGTATATTTGTTAAAAGTATTATAGAAGGCAGCAGCGCTGAGCAGAGTGGTAAGATTAAGATAAATGATAGAATAATAGAGGTAGATGGTGTATCATTGACTGATAAAAGTAATCCTCAGGCTGTTGAAATATTGAAAAATACAGGGATATCTGTTCATCTTGTTTTAGAAAGATACTTACGAGGTCCTAAGTTTGAACACTTACAGCTTGCTATATTCAATGAAGAAAGGCCTGCTTCTCCTTCCCCGTCTGCCACAACTCTAACATGGTTCCCAGTACAGTCGCAAATTGAGAATAGTCTCACTGAAATAGAACCAGAGCCAGAATCCAATACAACAATAAATTCTAGTGTCCTAGAAGTTGGTGATGACAAAGAACCCACACAAGAAGAACTAGATAAGCAGCTGGATGAGATACTTAGTGTTGATGTAGATGACATAAAGGAAAGATGGGAATCTGAAGTAGGTCCTGAAAAGGAGATATTAATTGCTGAAGTTAATAAATTGTCTGGCTTAGGAATAAGTTTAGAAGGAACGGTAGATGTTGAGGGTGGCTTAGAAGTTAGACCACACCACTACATTCGATCGGTTCTTCCTGAAGGGCCAGTGGGGCAGCAAGGCACATTCATTGCTGGAGACGAATTGTTGGAAGCAAATCAATATAGATTGCATGGACTTACACATACTGAAGTTGTTAACATCCTTAAGCAGTTACCAAATCGCGTACGTTTAGTTTGTGCGCGTAGTAATACGGATAGCGGTCCTAGGCCAGTCATAAACTTGGCCCAAGATAGAGAGGGATTTGAGGCCAGAAAGATAATTTCAGGTAGTTTAAACAACCTTACTACACTAGTGAAAGCCCAATCAGATACATCCATAAATACATCTAGTACAGCCACTCTCACAAATCAATCAGGATCAAAAAAATCTAAATCTCTTGAGTGTGTATCTGGTCTTGCTATGTGGCAAAGCAAAGAGGATATAGTAGAGTTAGTGAAAGGAGATCAAGGCCTTGGTTTCTCAATTCTGGATTATCAAGACCCAATCGACCCTAATGGCACAGTTATTGTTGTCAGAAGCTTAGTGCCTGGTGGTGTTGCTGAGAAAAATGGTCAAATCTCCCCAGGAGATAGGGTAATGTCAGTAAATGGAACCAGTATTAAAAATGCCACTCTAGACCAAGCTGTGCAGGCCCTGAAAGGAGCACCGAGAGGAGTAGTCCGTGTCGGAATAGCCCGACCACTACCAACACATGAGTCATCAAAGTCAAAAAGCACCACAAATCTTGTAAATCCAAGTTAATTAATGAAGCACATTGCGTTAGAACTAGTCAAACCCATATCTATTATATGCTTAGTCCTACCCTGCGTTTAGAACGCCTTTATGGGTGACAAAGATTATGTCATGACAATTGCCTGTCTAACTTTTCATTTTGTATTAATAGGATGTAGAAAATAGAGACGCTCAAAATTGATATATCAATATGGAGCCTTATACCTGTAATACAATAATAACCTACGCTTTATTAGATAATTAATATAATATTTAGATCACATCCTTTTATAATGCACAAGTTTAATGCAAAATTAACATTTTTACAATTAATTTTCACTTCTTGTAATAAATCCTTATAAATTTATGTATTAAATATAAATATTTTTTCAAGATAAAACCAGTGCAAAAACCAACTTCATTACACTAGTAGTCTAATAGTACACTACCTAGCTATCAAATCTATTACAGAAGTGAAATTTAATTCATAATGTAATCATACACAAAGAACACCAATTCTACTTATAAGATTACATATAGAATTAGTATCTTTATACACACTCATTCTACTAAGGACGTAGTATATTTTTAAATAATTGTTTAATATGTTAAATCCTTCGTCCAAAGTCTATATATGTATTTTATTGCCTTGTAGAGTATATACCACGTCTTTAGACCAGAAGGGGCGTCACTAGTACCAATTTAGGGAGTATTACCCTAAGGGAACAATTATAAGATAACTCATTTTAAATTTTAACCGATTATCAATTCTGACATTATTAGGTAAACGACATTTTTATCAGGCCTATATTATTCTATAGCAGCAATAGATTATTATAATTATAAACACAAATTTCTTCCACTTATGTAAATTTTCTGACTTACCCTTTTAATTATCAATAGGAATAGAATGTAGGTAATAGAAAAATGTGACCTGATTTACTATATGAAAGTCTTAATATTTTTATTTAAACATGTAGATCTAAATATGCAAAAAGCCTGTGTATTGATACTACCTATTAAAACTTTTTTTATTATTATTTAATATAAACAACAAAATATGTTTATGTATTTGCAAAACAAATTACTGAGGTTAAATATTTGTGCACTTAACTTTTCCCAAGGCACGTATGATATGTGATATTATATATATTTATATTGAACTAAAAATATATCATAACACAAGGGTTCTGCAACCACCCAATATAAATGCATTTTTCGAAAATGAACTATTTGCTTTTAATCCTCATGAATGAAATATTTACTGTACAGACACATACCTTCGATATTTACTCATCGTTATGTGGGTAGGTAGATAAATTTTTAGTAAAAATTTCTGTTATAAATATATAAATTATTTATTTACAATAAATAGTAATATACAATAACATTTACAGTATTAATATTAAATTACAGTAAGATAATAGAGCAAAATACTTAGGAATTTAAATAAAACCTAGCTTCATATCCTGTTGGCCTTATTCTTATATCTGTCATAATTTAAGATTTAACAAATTTTTGTTGTACTGTTATGATTAATGTTATCTTTGTGTGTATTAAAATTGCATTTAATAATTTTACATGTTTAGGACCATGTCCTTAAAAGATATAATTTATGTATATTGTTTGTGCATAACATATTATTTATGTGGTATTTAAGAGGAGTGAATAACATACGTATAATGAGCACTGTACATGTTAAAAACACAGTAATAAAAAAACTGTTATAAAATTTATTATATAAATATGTAAAGATACTCCCTGGTTTTCTTTGTTCTTTCCAACAAAACGCTTAAAATTGTATAGCATGTATTTTACATGAGTAAATTCGGTGGAGATGGTTGCAGAATAAGGAATTTACTTTGGTGATATTAAAAAAAACGATAACCCAAATGGGAATCAAACACGCTTATCTTATTAAAAAGTATAAATATTCAAGATAGTTATTTTCCAATGAGGAATTGGCTTTAAATAGTTCACTTAATTAATTCCAGTTGCGCCCTTATAAAATTGATTTTTTTTATCTCTTACACAAATGGTAAATCGGGATCTTATTACTATCCGAGGTTTGATATTAAGGTGTATACGTCCGGTTAAGCAAGCCAGTTCCTAATTCTCAACATATGTCTCTCTCACATACCTACAACATACTTACGTTGCTGATTTTCAAGTTAGTAATACCCACCGTGCAGGAGCCCGGCTTATACATGACCGGTTCTTTGTTACTAATGATTCTATCAATTTCGTACTTTCAGAAGAATGTGGATACCTAATCTTCCAGTAACGATTTTAACAGGAGTAGCAGCTACTGCGGGTGTCGTTTGTCTTTTCAAGTAAGGAGTTTAGAAAAACAATATTATTTATTTATTATATATATTAATTATTCGACATTATAACCTACCCATTACATTCTTCTCCTACTTATTCTAATCTTGAAGGCGCCTTAAAGAATAATATAAAAAATAATTTACCTCTTCAGTAGTATCTAGTAAAAAGGAGTAGGTATCAAAAGATGTTTTTTTTATTAAGATTAGATTCCTTCGTAATTTAAGATGCTTGTTTTTTACTCTCTACGAAATTTGAAAATCTCTTATGCTTCAAGACAAACTATTCCAACATTTTTTTGCTAAACCTAATAATTGCATAGCTTTTCTAGTCTTCAAAAAAGGGTACTGCCTAAGACTTAATCTGCTGGTGGAAGCACCAGTACCAATCCAACTACATAAAATTGTTACAGAGACTTATATGGTGGCCCAGCATACGAGAAGGGCGTGCCGGCAGAAGGAAAGACAATAATAGTTACTGGAGCTGATAGCGGAATAGGACGTGCAGCGTCATGGGATTTCGCTAATCGACAAGCTAAGGTTGCATCTTGTTCACCGCTTATTGCTAGCTGTGCTCGCGCCCTCGTCCGCGTGAAATAGCAATTTTGGGCATTATATTTAAATTTGTATACAACCTCCTCAACTTTATAAATTACTAGCTGTGTCAAGCGGAATAGTGATCAAACATTACACACAATCTGTCGACGACATTTGTTTAGATCATTTAAAGAAGAATCATTCTTTTATACATATTTTTTGGTTTCTTGAACCGTATTACGCACGCAGTTCATGCAACGGAAGCCGAGGAATATTTTTCCCAGACTTTTGCCCATTTTCCTCTTTTTTTTCGCAGTCTGATGTTTTATAGCTAAAAGCATTCCTCGACAAATGATCCAAGGAACACAAAAATAACTTTTCAATTGGAATCAGCAGTTCCTGAGATTAGCGCATTCACACAAACAAACTCATCAGTTTTATAATATTAATAAATATTTTTAAAATAAACTTTTATTCAAATTTAAAAACACTTTAACGGTGGTCACGGGGACACGGCTGCTGCAAAGCATCCAAAACGTCGGGTCGAAGTTAAAAATAATTTTCAAACAAGTTTAACTAATATATCGCGTTTTAAACCATTAAAGTGTTTTATTTAAATGTGTACTACTCGCGTAAACTATAGACAGTATTTAATAAACTTTTATGTAACAATTCTTAATTCGGTCTTGGTCTAGGTGTTTATGGCATGTCGGGATATGAAAAGATGCGAAGAGGTGCGGAAGGAAATAGTTCTGGAGACGGGGAATAAGTTCGTGTATTGTCGGCCGTGTGATCTCGCCGATAGCGCATCTATTAGGACATTCGTTGAAAGGTACTTAATTTTAAACCAATATTCAAGATATATAGCTACAGTAGAATCTATAGTTAGGACAAACTTTAACGTGCTTTTAACGGTAGAATAATTTGAGTTCTTGGTTTTATATAACCATTTAATTTATATAGAGTGAAATTCCCTTATTCCCTGTGGTGCAGGATGCGAACATATTTTCGTGTCCGTTTCACTGATCATTTATTTACAGACAAGCAGTTTATCAGACTTCTGTGCCGTGCCGGGCTGAAACAATTTATTGTTTTTCTCGGAATTCGAACCCTTCCGCTCTTAACGCAATGCTAGGCAAGCCGTTAACCATTTAGCTACAGAGGCTTACAATTATATATATATGCTTCTATAATATATAACCTTTTTTATATTTTGTTGGGGATGAACGTATGTTTTATTTTCAGGTTTAAATCAGAAGAACCCTATGTACACGTATTAGTAAATAATGCGGCTGTGATGGAACCTCCTCAAGGTATTACCAGGGACGGCTTTGAGACTCAACTAGGCGTCAACTACTTGGGGCATTTTCTTCTCACTCAGCTTTTATTGGATACGCTTAAGGTTAGCAAGGAAATTAGTAATAAACAGAGGAATTTAAATAAAACACTTTAAGGGTTTAAAACCTCTCACTTATCGCTATCAACGCCATATTAAATAAAAGTAATTCGTTTCAATTGTCACAAACGAAATCAAAATTAAACTTTTTAATAAGATTTTCATACTTTGTAAATATTCACATTTCTTTCTATGTGCATTAAATATAGTATAATATATCTTATAGGATACCTACAATTCTGTAAGTCATTAGTTAAATAAACAAAAAAAAAATTCTATGGTTATTTCTAAATTCTAGGAATCAGTCCCCAGTCGAGTGATAAACGTTACTTGCAGCGCGTACGCAAGAGGTGACATCAACAAAGATGATTTGAACTTCAATAAGAAGTATGACGCCCCAGCCGCCTATAACCAAAGCAAATTGGCCAATGTTCTATTCACGAGAGAACTGGGAAGAAGAATGTTAGGTATGCAATCAAATGCAAAGTATTATCCAAAGACACGGCAAAAATACCTTTTAAGACAAAATGCGTTCATATATGATCGCTTTGTTGGTCTTATAGTACACGCGATTCACGTCCAGAATTCAAATCCCATGGCAGGCGATTTTTGGCGAAAAAATATGTATGAAAAAATGATTCCTCCTTAAATGATCTAAACAAAAGACGGCGACGTGTGGAACAGCTTAAATTTATAGAGCTGAACAGGAGGTTTACAAAACCAAAAATTGATAACCAAAATAACTATGTACGAAATCGCTGACTCAGCTAGTGTATAATATGATTTTGATTACTAATTACAGAAACTGACGTAGCCGTACTAGCAGTAGACCCAGGTCTAACTGATACAGATTTAACTAAGCATCTTGCAATGTCCAAGAGTATCACGCGATTTGTAGTCTACCCAGTCTTTTGGCCTTTTATGAAGAAGCCCCGAGTTGGAGCCCAAACCATTATCCACGCGGCGTTAGATCCAAAGCTACAAAAATGTAAAGGAGATTTCTTCGTGTGAGTAATGCTTATTATATGGTATATATAATTTGGTTTATATAGGGGGTTATAATAGGGTTTTATGTCTTAAATAAAAGTGAAGAACGCTAACTTAACTAACAAAAATTAGGAAAACTCATATAAATGTATAAAGAAAATATGGAACTGTCCTAAAGCATTTGAGTGAAAGAGCTGAGAAGTGCTGTAATCACAAATATGAAGATGAATTTATTAAACCCATTAATAAACCTTTAAAAATTTTTTGGAGAGGTCTTGATTATATTGTAAAGATCGTAGAATAGAACGAAGTGTTAGTTATTTAAAGTAATGTATTTGAACTATAAATTTTTACTGCTTTTATTAACCATTGTAATTACTTTACAGTGATATGAAACCTCAACCTTTAAAATCAGAAAAAGCTGAAGACTACGAATTAGGAATGTGGCTGTGGCGAGTGAGTGAAAAATGGACCAAACTCCACGAACACAAAATTGAACTAGAGAAAGCTATGGCTGCATAAAAAATGATATTCAAAATGTATCGTTAATGTGTCGTAGCGGTCACATTAATTTTTGAAATGAATTGTGGTCCCTCGACCCGGACGTGCTATTTAGTAATCGTTCAGTACAGGTTTACGTGTCTGTATAGAAATGGTTTTTTGATAGGCGGCATTTCGTACACAAAGCTTTACAAATACAAACGAGCATTTACAGTTCCGAAAAATATAATTTAATATTATAATTTAGTACGTAGCATTAATTTCTTCTTGAATAAATATCTTGAAATTAACACGAATTATTCTAATTTTCCAAGGTCCCAATAAACCCCAGTATCAAAAAAAGATTTGAACAAAAACACCACTTGCAAAATACTTATTTATTCTACAATTAAAAAAAGAATTTATATACAATATAAACATTTGGAATTCTACTATTCCCATATAGATTTGTGTAAGTCAGGCGAATCAAACAGCAGCGATTTGGTCGTAGACTGCTGCTGATGGTCATGTTTGTGCAGCAATTGCAGCAAACCAGTACCGATAGCAGCCGGCACGCCTAAAATAATACACTCTGAAACTCCTTCTATGCTATCTCGTTGTCCGTAGTACGCTGCGTCGAATAAATGATCGGCCGTTTTCTCAAACTGAAAATAAAAATTAAATAAGTTTTTTTTTATAAGTTATGCTTATTTCTTTATATATTAACACGCATATTAGCATGATACCCATAATTACTAGCCTGTATTTATGAAAGAAACTATGCTTTTGTGTGTAATTTATATATGATAGCTTTGTTAAAAGTCAAGTAAAATACTTACACTAGCCAAATTAAGCACCGAATCCTTCATCTTAGCGAGACCGTACCGAGTTATACCCAGTACCTCGCCGCGTGCGCACATCTGGGCCGCTAGTAGCGCCACGTGACGCCGATCTACGGACATACCGTGACCCGCCATGACTCCTTGGATTTCGCTTATAATAGTCGATACTGCGGCTTCAATACCTAATGTTTGGAAGACCTGAAAAGTTGATAAATTCACATGAAAAAATCAAATGCTGTCTGTAGTTTACGCGAGTAATACACATTTAAATAAAACACTTTAACGATTTGAAACGCGATATATAAATAGCGGTCTCCCCGTGACCACGGCCGCTGCAAAGCCTCCGAAACATGGGGCCATAGTTAAAATAATTTTCAAATAAACTAAACTAATATATGCCGCGTTTGAACCGTTAGTGTTTTATTTTTATGAAAAAATCATTCCAAACATTTTGTTTGTAGTGGCGCTGACTCGGACTTGTCGTTTCACTATTATATATATAACCTAATTTATAACGATAATATAAATTAGGAGGTTCTTCCAAATACTGTTAATAGTTCTTACCTCTAAAATATTGTTTGATGTCGTCTTTCTCCCGTCCACGCCATGTGTAGCTATGACGTCTCTCAAGCCGTCACCTTCTACGCACAATTTGTACCTAATAGCGGAAATAGATTTTTAAAGTGATAAAAAATAAAACTAATAGTTGAAGGGTTCAGTTCGTTTTCAACTAATTTTAAAAATCTTCTAAGAAACATGAGGGATTCCTTCTAGCAAATTTGGGTCGCTGGGTTTTGTTTTTAGTATATTTTCGATTGTTCAAAGCAGAAATAGGCGGACAACCCATCTTAATTAGCTGATATAAATAATTGTTTGCTAAGCTTCTTGTATTCATCTACGCTGTGCTAATTTATAGCTACTTACTTAGTAGTGCTACCAGTATCATCACAAGCGATGACCGCCCTGGAAACTTTAGGCAAGCCTTTCACTATAACGGAGGGTAGTAGACGCGTTAATTGGAGCAGCGCCATGTTTAGCCATCCGCTATGTTTTGCGGGCTCTGCATAAACTTTAATAGCCCATTCTGATACCGCTTCTATGTTACTCGGTTTTATCTTTAACTTCGACGTGCATATACTAAAAGACAAAATTAGAATAGTAAAGTACCCACACTTTGATGCAAAATTAAACTACCTTCGGCAAGTATTTTCTGGAAAAGTACTAAATGGTTGAAATTAAATATATTTATAACCTGAATAACCATCTAAAAATAGTTAGAAACATCTTTTGTATAGTTAAGGTCTTATTTTTTTTTTAATTTAATCGAAGTAATAAAAACTCAATGCACAAATACTCACGAATAAACTATAGAATGTACATTGACTTCAAGGCATAGCAGACGAATTCTTTCCGCATCTAATCTTATAAGAAGGAAACAGGATGTTGGTAGATATACTTCTTCAATTGAGTGAGTTATCTGTAAATAACATGGTAATTTGTAGGTAGTTAAAGTAATTATTTTGTATTTAACAAAAATTTATCTTGTCACAAACGCCATCTAGTGATAAAATTTCTACCTCTCCTAATGTCGTTTTCTCTACTCGCCCTTTAACTCTCCTAGCGAATTCTTGGTCGTATGGTTGAGTAAGTTCAGCTGTTATTATGGGAGTAGAAATATTCTTAGAAGCATTGATGATTTCCTTAACTCGCGGGACACCTTGGGTAATGTTCATTGATGCTACTCCGGCGAAATGGAACGTTTTTAACGTCATTTGGGTGCCTGGCTCACCGATACTCTGAAAAAAAAAACATAACCATTTCATTAAACACCAAACGCTTTTGTGACTTTATGTCCACGCTTTGAGAACACAAAAATACGAAGTACAAAACCATTTTAAAAATCTGCTTAATTTACACAAAGGTCCATACCACAAATATATATCATATATATCAGAGTCGCAGCGGCTTATTACCTGCGCTGCCAGTGCTCCAACAGCTGTTCCAGGTTCGATTACACTTCGTTGATACTTGTCATGGCACACACGCAAGAAACGCACTAATTGCGTTAACGTCAATCGTTCCAGCTGCTTCGATACCAGCCCGCAGGAAGCGTACTTCGCGCGCAGGATGCGAACTTTTTCCGCTATTGTTTTTAAGAAAGTTCTGCAAATATGATAGTCATGTATATACTAGGTTGAAACTTTATAAAGCTGGCTATATATCTATTATTTTAAAAATGCCACCCTTTCAAAAACACAACAGCAAGGTCTGTGTGCATAGCAAAGATAAAAGAATCAAATATAGTAATATCTATTTATTTATACAATGGTCGTACATCCTGCTCGAAGGACCATTGTATAAATTAGAACATTAACAAAATTTTATCACTTTTCTACCCATTGTTGTACGTCATATATTAAAATTGAATCATACATTAATTCAGTTTTGAACTCCGGCGTGCAAGTTTTAAAATCATCTAACGCAAGGGTTTCTTCTGCTGCAACCAATATTCCGTCGCCATCTAATGGCTCCTCGTCCCTGTAACAAAAATTAAGGACAGAATTTACGTTAAAAGTTCTAGTAGTTTATATGAAAATGTATATCGATTAGAAGTATTAGTATGACGGCTTATAAAAAAAAGTGGCGAATGATTTTGATACGGTTGATAATGTACAATTACCTATCTAAACATTGTGCCCGTACATCAGCCAACACGCGAGGCAAGTCCACTGGCCTATCTTTGCCCTCCATATAACTCGGGTCTAAACCATCACTGCCATATTGAAATTGTATAACTTCGCTCGTCGCATTGCGAACAGTCATATCGTAATGAAGAACCAGGTCTTCTAGTGACTGAAATTATTTAAGTATCCAATATTATACAAAAATATATACAGTTCTCAACATATAGAAAGTAGAATAACTGTAAATTGTAATTAAAATGTATTTGCGAGGAATAGATATTTTTGGCTTTAGAAAACTACGAAGTAAGAGTTTCAAGGACAATATGATATCTTAATTCAATCAACCAACTTATAGTCTAACTGTTTCCTTTACCTTTTTAATCAAATTTGATGCAATTTTGAACCTTTCTCACCTTAACAAGTCGCCTTTGCAAGTACCCGGTCTCGGCAGTCTTAACGGCTGTATCTACAAGACCTTCCCTACCTCCCATTGTGTGAAAGAAGAATTCAGTTGGAGTCAGACCGGTGTAAAAACTGTTCTCGACGAAACCACGCGCTGCTGGGATCTTCGCTGTGGAATTATAAAAACGACATCAAATTCTAGTTAGTAGCTCTGACACAACCTACATTGATTTAATTTGATTTTTTTTATTCATTATCAAACCGTATTTTATATATTTTTCTATTGATATATAAATCGAATGCATCATAATATAAAAAATATCGAAATACATCTTGCGTAAAACAGTACTGTTTTCAGAAAGAAAAGGTAATTCCAATGGTCAGGTCACGACTTACAATGTCTTTCAAAATGCGGCAGTGATCTGTCCTCAAACCCGTTGGGTACACGTTTACCGTTAAGAGCTTGTTGCCCGACACATGCGATCATTTGAGATATGTTAATGTTGGAACCTTTAGATCCACTTTGAGCCATTATAAGTGGAGCATTAGTTGGATGTAATTCTCTGAAGCATGCTTTGGCAGCTAACTCTCTGGAAAAAATATTTTCAACATTTTAAAATTATATTAATACAACTTACTAACAAACTTGACTTTTATACTTATTATGTATATTATATTGTGATTATAATAGTCCTGACCTGATGCTGCTAAGTTCACTCAGCATTACAGCCTCCAGAGTTTCTTCCATACTACAACCAGGTTGGCATTGCAGTGTACCCTTCTCCATTTCTAAGATATAGCCGTCACATTTCGAATAACTGCAATGTTATGTCATATAAATATTACAATGAAAAATAATCGAGAAAAAAGAGATACAACGAAACAAGTTTAAAAAACATACCCAGACTCAAGTAATTTATTTTTGGCTTCGATCAGTTTTTTCCCGGGTGTCACATCAATAATACCAAAACTGAAGCCGCGATTCATCATGTAATATGAAGCCATGCGTGCTAACCTAAAAAAAAATGAGATAGTAGGATCAATGCCGACTCGAAGGACCAACGTCTTATACCATCATAGGTAATTTTGAAGCTCTGTATACCTCCACATCCCTCTAACTGCGTATTCTTCGCCCCAATCTCGTAGTAGAATATAAAATATACTGGTTTTAGTTCCTGAACCTAATGTGCTCTTATCCATTGAACCACATAACAACTCAGAATTTCGAATAATAACATCTGAAATAAACAACGGTTTAAGACATGTATTAAATTTTGAAAATTAACTTATGTAGGTATTTATATGTAGTATAATAAAATAGGGACATTGCGCTATACCTCTAAATTTAACTTACATGAATCCTGTACACACATATCTTTATTTCCCGTATAATTTTTGCCTTTCGTCTCCAAGTTTGCGTTCACGTCGCAATTTTTGTTAGGTCTCATTATTAAGCTAAAATATAAAACACTTATTCGTTAGCTCAATATGTTACGATCAACAAAGAAAAAATATGATTTTGCCGATAACTATGTTTTATATGATATGATGCTATATCTTTTATATACGCTTTCAACATCAAAATCCATTTAAAAGATGACGCAAAAATGATAATGATTATTAGTAGGACAATTACTTACCTGAATATTTGCTTCCCTGTCCAAAGTTTTCTTGGTTTTAAAATAGCCGGTGGTGGCATATCTATTCTCATATTGGAATCAGGACCAGCTAAAAGGCAGCTTGCCAATTGCTGCGCCTCAGGCTTCGTAAGAAAAGTGTCCCTTTGCGTAATAAGGTATCCACCGGTTATAAAGTCCTGTGTAGCAGCTATTAGAAGCTCTCCGTTACGTGGCGTTACTAAATTTGATTTGTTCTGAAAATGACATCGTTATTTTGTCAATAAAACTACACAGATAATATTTTACTTATATATAAAATACTAGAGTGAAATTATATTAAAGTTTTGTGTTTATTTTCCGATTGGGGGTTTTCAGTAATTAGGCTTTAACAATCGGGAAATAGTTCTACTGTGCAACTCCTAATGATTATATCGTCTAATCGTGATGGTGAAACATTAACCACCATTTCTTAATCACGGCGGCTGAACAGCTGGAAGTCGATATAACATTAAATCTTTATTACAAAGTAATCTGAAATAGGCAACATTCTTATTCCGATAAGATACAAAACATCGATCTAAAAGTTAAGTAAAATAAAAAATGTATGGTTGTTATTTATATATTATATAACTTATAATGTATTGTGATAATTACTCACTCCCATTAAAATTAACGCTTCAGCTCTCGCTTCCTCAGTTTGAGGCAAATGCATGTTCATTTCGTCCCCATCGAAATCAGCATTATAAGGTGTACATACACATTCGTTAAACCTGAAGAAAAGGGGATATAAAAGTTAGTGAGTAAATTTTTGACCAAGACCGGCCTATGATTATGTTTACTATCTTATATTATAAACTATTGGAGTTAGCTTTCTAGTGCGTTACCGCTAATCCAGTAATTCCCACTACTCAAAATAAAATAAAAAAAATGAAAAAATTCCGGTGACTAGTCTCTCCCAGGATACAAACAATAAATTTAAAGCTATGTACTACTGGACTTAAATATACTCTCTTAAAGTTTATGAAGTATGCTATACTTCATAAACTTTCAGATACTACTTTTGTGTACGGGAGCGACATACAATATTACGTAGGTCAGAATCAGTCCTTAACACACTGTATATAGATTATAGACCTTTACCTAAACGTCCTTTGCGGCTGTACTCGTGCTCGATGACACATAATAGACAATTTGTGCAACGACGGCTGTCTGTTGAATAACACGACATCACCGTCCACTAGATGTCGCTCTACAACATCTCCACACTGAAAATTTTTTGATGGTTATTACGATAGACTTCAGGCTAAATCTGTATTGATAAAACCTATGTATATGCTATATAAACATACTTTTAATTCTTGAGCGATCTTCTCTCTATTGCCGTACTTCAAGAACTTTTTATGGCTATGGCCGCGTTGCTGCACGTAGTTTGCACCCGGATGAACGTCCGGGCCGTTGCAGACAAGCTTCCGCAGCCATTGCAAGTTAGCGGGGAATACCCGTTCTGGGTAGGTGAGAATTTTAGCCACGTGGACAGGTACGCCAACCTAGAAATAAAATATTTTCAATCACGAATCAAAAATAAAAGTTTGACAAGTTTGGCCAACACGGCTATTCATAGAGTAATAAAAGTTATAAAAACCACTATTATAGACTTCACAAAAAATATCCACCTCTTGAATTTGCAAATTAGGGTCTGGTGAGATTACAGTTCTGCTGGAAAAGTCAACTCGTTTCCCCGAGAGATTACCACGAAATCGACCCTGTTTTCCCTTTAAACGTTGAACCAAACCTCGTCCTGGTTTCTTCGGCTGTAAAAGATAAACATACACATTATAAAACAAGGGATTATTGGACATTGCATGTAAAAGTAAATAAATACATAGGAATAAAGAATAATATTTAAAATAAAGATTTTTTAAGCTGTAAAGCATGAGATATTGAGCCTCAATACGTAAACGTTAAAGTTGAAATTATATTGCGCAAGAGCATATATCAAAAGGTTGAAAATATTTTATCGATGACGTAGTAGTCTAATTGGTTCGAGTAGGAGCACGGATCGCTGTGGATACCGGTTTAGGTCACGCCTGTGTCGCATTTTTTATTTTTTTCAATCTAATTTTTTTATTGAAAGTAGTAATTAAATTTTGTAAGATTTTCTCTGCATTAGACAAGTGAGTGCAAAGGTAGGTCCTCGGACCTAACATTTAACATTTCAATACGCTAAATAGTGCCACAAAACGTTTTACTGTTAATATAAAAATATTTTTTATTAATAATTTAGGTATAGCTTTCACGTATAGCTATCTATAAGCGCTTTCTTTTCGTTTATGATAATTTAACAGAGAACATTTAGTGTACAATACTTTTAATCATTCTTCAATTCAGAAAAAAAATTTTTGCAGAAATACATTTTAAATTGAGTATGAACATTAACTATATCTCACCTGCATAGACAATGGTATGCCCGACATTTCGCTATTGATATACAGAGCGCAATGAAGCTGAAGGTAGTCCCAGTCCTCTTGCACCATCTCACTTTTGCCTCCGCTGGCTACGTGACGGGCGATAACGTCATTGATGAGCAGGATCTCGGATTGTTTCATTGTGAGATCGTCTTCATTCCTTAAATTTAAATAAGATTTAATATTTTACATAATTCCCTACAAAGAACTACCTGAATGTTATTCAATTTTTATATATAATATATAATATTTTATAACTAATTTCAGCGAATAGGGCGCTAAGTGTTTCAAAATTTATTCTTATATAGACTAGAAGTAGGAAGGTTCTAGAACTATAAATAACCTTTGTAACTAAATTATACCTCACAAGTGATGAATTATCATAAAAAAATTACAATTGCCAGGACATTATATATTGGCTTATATGTCTATAAAAATTTCACAAAACGCGTAAAGTGTACCGTTTTAAGTAGTAATAAAAGTCTTACGTTCCAGCCTTCATGTCTGAAGCAACACTAGGTCTAATACACAATGGTGGAACCGGCAATCTTGTAAGAATCAGGTCTTCAGGTCGCGTACTTTTTACACACATCCCCAGTAGCGGAACATCTTCATCAGGTATACGACGGAACAAGCTTTGTACCTGAAACAATAACAAGAACAATAAGAGCGATTTTTCAATACAATACTTGTTCATGTATTTTCTCATAATGGGTGAAATGGCTAGCAGATAATGCGGACCGATTACCGGGCTTTCTATGCATATCCTTAATACAATCATAATAATGATAAGATTAAGGCAAGGGTTGATATTGGTTGTAGAATGGTGTTTTTTTTCCCAAAAAAAAATTTGTTTTAAGAATTTAATTAATATAAACAGAAAAATTATACAAAACATCTATACATGCATCACTTTGTCTTACCTCTAATGGGTTTAATTCTATTATCAATCCGCTGTTAACTAATCCTACAATTTCTTTATTGGCTTCTTTTGCTTCATTGAACTCGCTTAGAACACTCCTAACTAATGGATCGGTAGGTTTCTTAGATCTGTACTTATCATGAGTTATTTTTAAAATACCAGCAGAACTCTTCTTAACCACTCCGTTTAATGCTTCACAATGTGGACATTTAGTGCAGGTCTTTGCTTTCTTTAAGACGGCTGCCCGAAGATTTTTCTTATGCAAATAGGAAATTTCTGGGTTCATGAATTTACGGCGGTATGATTTTTTTAGTGCATCTGTCAACATAACTTTTGCACACGTCTGAAAGTTGGAAAATAGAAACATAATTTATTAATAACTATTAAAAGGATTAATTTTAAAATAGGCCTGTATGAACTTATGCTAAAAATTATTTCCTTATTATACACTTTCAAGGGATATAAAACATGCTAATGCAAAGCATCTGAAATGTTGGACCATAGTTAAGATAATGTAAAAATAGGTTAACTAATATATTATGAATTTTAATTTGTTCATAGTGTTTTATTTAAAAGTGTGCAACTAGCCTAAAATACAATCAATACATTATTAATTAACTTTACCTTACATATAGTTTGCAGTATTGTTATTATTGATCTAAAGTATCCCACATGGAATACAGGCAGAGCCAGTTCTATGTAACCATAATGGCCTACACAATCTGCCAATCCAAGACCACATGTTTCACAGTTTGCGTCTTTTTGATTAGTACCCTAAAAAGTAGAATTTAATAGGATACATTTAAGAATAGTTTAAGTTTTTCAGCTCAAATACTTAGATATATTCTTTGTTACCATTCTCCGATCCAGAACTCCATAAGAGGCAGGCACCCTTTGCCCATCTTGTCTGTATAAATTCTTAGTAATAACTTGAATATGGGCAGCTAGTTGTATATCAGAAGGACTATCTACATTGAAAGTTACATGAGAACTGAAAATAATATATTGAATGCTTTCATTTACCTTATGCATGTTAAATAAAATACATATTAAATGTGTGTTTAAATACTTAATTTGATAGTCATCATTAGTAAATAATAGAATAATGTAAGCTTTTTACTAAAAATAATAAAGGTTCAGCTGAGTATAAGAATTAATAAGGAATATATTATTTTTATTATTTTTCACAAGAAAAACAAATGCCGTTATTTAAAGGTGAATGATACAAGTGATGATTTTTTCTAGGTATGCTAAATATATGAACTTTTATACAGATTTGCGAGTACTTTGCGAAATCAGCATCATTTAATATTGTAAACATAACCTGAACTTACATCTTCCTACCGACATATGTTTCGCGATATTGTTCTTTAGGCATTTTAGTCAAGTAATGTCAATTAAATACTAAGAAGGATAATTAGTCAATTTGAGTTGTTTCAAATGATTGTAATAAAAACACGAATCTATTCAAATCATATCGAAACTTATTTTGAAAATATATAAAAAGTATATCCAATGTTATTGTCAAATATGTCATGTGTACAACGTAAAACTGACATAATCTAACAAATGGCAAATGTAGATTAAAAGCATATATGGTAGAAAACCAAAAAACCATACCATTAAAAATAATTGAAAAAACCACATAGAATTAGAAAATTTTAAAATAAAACTATCATAATAAAACAAAACTATTTTTTAAATAAACGTAATGTAAGTGTAGATGTTTGAAAGGGAATATAGCATTCTACCATACAAATAGTAGAAGTGTTTAATAAGTTTAGAAAGTGACAACCCAGTTCATATGTTTCTGGCGTAAAAGGAAGCTCTCAGCGCGCCGTTTTTTGGCTTGTCAACCGAAACCACGCAACAATTTTCACAATTCCAATCTTGATAAATGTTAATAGTTTGCTAATGTTAACTAAGTGGATTGTAATTTTCAATGCGCCGTACAGAGTTTTGTGTGTTACAAGTGCAGTGTTATTGAAAATTTAAAGAAAACTAGTTTTCCCACCGTTGAGACCCGCGAACTCAAAACATGCCTCTATTGAAAAGAAAAGCCTTTGAGAAATCGTCGGCGTCGGGGTACTTGCGCGACGACGATGAAGTTTTCCACTGTGAGATCACCGACGAGATTTTCAAAGATTATGAGTGAGTAATCGAATGTACATTCTTTTCGCGCAATAAGCGATTTTTTTGTAAACTCTTTCTTGGATATCGCTTTAGCACGCCGTTGACATTGTTCCGTGCGGCCTCTTAGATAGTTACGCGAGCGTGACATGATGTTTCACAATTCTAACATGCGGCGTTCGATTTTCATTAGATTTTTATAGTTTATTTTTTAATTTCCTATACAGGGAGTATTGTGAAAGAATTATTCTCGTCAATTCAATGGTGTGGAGCTGTGAGATGACTGGAAAGAATAATTTGACATATGCAGAGGCTCTAGAGAGTGAGAAGGCTGCAAGGAAGTCACTGAGGGACTTTCCAATGGAGCTCCGTATTCCCATTCTGTACCTTGCAACAAAAACCAATAGGAGTTCCTTTGCTGAGATGTCAGAAGATGTGTTTAACTATGTGAGGGAGAGATATTTTGTTGGGGAGACTGTAGAGGCTTGTTTAGAAGGTGACAACTGGCGTGAAGCACATATTTTGTCTGTCACTTCTCAAAAACAACTCCCTGACAGGTAGGTAAAATTAAATTTAAAGGTTTACTGTTTTCTAGTTACCATTATTCTAATATGATTAAAGGTGACTTATATATTAATCCATTATCTTATAAGTATATTGTTATGTAGAACTCATGAGGCTTACACTGTTACTGCAAATTAAACGATAATACCTCATACTTATTTTAGTAGAAAACAAAAAAAAAATGATATAAACATAGACCCATTTTATAAATCAAGCTAGGTATTACAATTTTAGCAGCTGGTATGGATTTCTTATAGGTAGAATATACCAATTATTACTAAACAGCTGAGGCAATTTTAATGAAAAGAAATTAAACTCTATAAAATGGTTCCAAAGAATATGACTTAAGCTAACTTTTTGTTAAATGCATATTTGTTTATTTTTCAGTAAAACAATGTTACCACCATCTGCATACTGCTATGAAGTAGAGCAATATGATGAAACTGATTCTGCGGCCACTGGTCAAATAGGAACAGCACCATATGAACGTATAAGACGACGCAAAGGGATATACTCAAGAGATAAAAACCGTCTCTTTCTTAAACAGTTTGTAGAAATGGGCCCAGTTATTTCTATTAAGGTAAGTTTGATGGATAGGGATACAAAAACAATTATTTGTGGATAATTTATTTATCAAAGGATGTTAAAGACCTATGAAAAATTACTTTTTTATGTAAGTCCTTTTATACTATTATTTGGTCTCTTTTCAGGCATCAGCTATAGAAAAATACAACATCAACAAAGTCCACTTTGACCAAATATTCACTGGCAGTCCTCCTAGTTTTCCCTCATCAAAGAAGCTGCTAATGTCACCACCAGCATCAAGAAGTTTTTCAAAACCAGGATCAGCTTCCAAACTCAAGTCTATGAAGAGCCCACATAAGGGACGCCAAGAATCCATGGACAAATTTATTAAGAAAACTGATAAAACAGAAGGTTAGCTGTATGCAATATGCGTTTTTACAGTCCCATATTATGTAAACAATGAAGAAGGTACTTGTTATTATCAACTCAAAAAATTGTTAATAAAGAATACTTACCACATTCTAATAAGCAGAAAAGATTATTAATATATAAAAAAAGCATTATTTTTGATGATAAACAGTGAACATCTATTTACTGCAAACACAAGAAATCAACTCTTATTTCAATTTGTGCGTAGATTCACGCGTAATACGTGTTCAAGCTTTAACACGTTTTAACTGTGATAGTAGGAGGTATTTTCGTTGTATAGCTTACTATAGTTTCTGAAGTATGAGGCATGGAGACAGGTTTTGTGTTTGTTTTATTGTTTGTTTTACAAGCAAATAGTTAAATCAAATTCAGTACCAATTGATTTCCTGAATTTTAGACCCAGGACCTTTCACAATTTGCGTAATGATAAAGTACGCGTACGTACGTTAACAATAGAATCAAAGGAGCAGTAATTGGGAAAACCACTACTTTTTGTTACATATATTATCAACGATTTATATTTTAGCGTCAGTCACTAAATCAAAACCGTCAAATCCAGATGCACGAAAGAGCGCCCAAGAGCTTGCGCAGAAAATGCGCCAGGCCGAAGAACAGCTTCGTCAACGAAAGGAAGACGAAAAAGCTAGGAAAAAGGAGAAAATGGCTCGCGTTATGGCTTATATGAAAGAGTGGCATAAGGTCAAAGATGATCTGGAGCTCGAAGATCACAAGGTATTTCAATGCAATGTTATTCACTAAGACAACTATATACAGATACCATTTTTGTTTACAATATTGCAGTAGACTGTTATCAATAGCTCTCATACAGTATGTTCTTATAGGTATTACCAACGGGGACTCCAGTGATAATAGAAGGAATTGAACAGAAACACATCGGTGACTTTCTGTCTGTATTGGATTTTGTTCACAGCTACTCTGAAGTGCTTAAAACTAAAGACGTATTTCATAACGAACTCGACTGGGAGACATTTCGTAAGGTTAGCTTAAAAGTTATAAAAAATGTATTGATTTTATTTTATATTAGTGTAGGTGGTAGTATAGACCGTAAGACTAAATAGTATCAAAGAAATATCATGCTTTTTAGGCCTTAACTGTCAAGGAGTCAGCTGGATTATTCAGTGACCTGATACAAATGTTTCTGAGTGCTATATTCTCCTTACAAGAAGATGAAGCTGAAGAATATAATGAAAAAGGCAGTATTCAGGAATCAAAAGGTATAGTAGTATATATAATCAAATCTAATATTTTATTTAATTTACCAACTTCAACTGGTTTATCATTACCTTATTATAAGATTGTATGGTTCAAATACCATCTTTCGACATGTTAAATCTATCCTCCCCAATAATAGATTAGGAGTAAAAAATGGTAACACTGGCTTTAAACACAGAATTCCTTACTGTTAATATGTGTTTATATCCTTTTTTCTTAAACACATGAATTTTAATTCCATAGCTGACAAGGACCCTGCAGAGACAGAAATGGGAATAAGTCGTGCTATAGAGTTAGCCACTAGGGCAAGTAAATGGGCACAGACATACCTTGGAACTCCACTTAGCAAGCTACCTTTAGATCCCTCTACTGTCAGTGAAGTTTTAAGGTAAATTATCCAAATGTTTTACCCTATCTTTAATTCGACTTAAACAGATACCGCCTAGAACAGTTTATTATGTAATACTTTTTTCTTTGTAGCTTTTACATTGTAATATTAAGAAAGAATCTTATTTATATAATAATCTTTAATTTTCAGACTTCATTTGCTATCATCTGGAAGTACAGCCGGCAGCCGATGTGTGGCGTGGCGTTATCACCAACGCGGCGGTTACAGCTCCACCGACGACCCGGGCTTGCGTTTGCGCATACAGCGGCCACGCCTACTTACACGCCTTACGGAGAAACACGTCGCTGATTTACCATTGGGTGAGATCTATATTTTCTTGCAAAGTATTGCCAGATACGTTTTTACTCGACAATGACACGCAACAACTCTTATTTAATTTCAGACGACAAATTCGCGATCCTACAGTGTCTAATGAACCAGGTGTTGAGTTATGCAACAGTTAGAGATATGGTGGAAGACAAGTTAGAGGAGTATAAAAACCTCAAACAGGCTTATCGGATGCTACAGGTTAGATTACATAAATTATTCTCATATACATTAAAAATCGTATGGAACCTTACCTTAAGCTTTAAAAGTGTAAGTTGTATACAATGCATACACTTTTAAAGCTTAACCAAAAAAATATTTGAATTATATAATTTTGAATCACTTTCTTATTAATTCAATGTAATGTAATGATATGAGACACGGGAGATTATTTATAATGTTGTCTTTTATGGGTCGTAAAAATAAGGTTCATTTATTTTCAATTTCAGATCAACGAACGTAAACGTGAGCCACAATTGGCCACTGCTCGCATGGATTTACGGCGTGAAGCAGCGGCTAAGAAAGAACAAGAAAAGCTCTCTGGTGAAAAAGCGAGACAAGTCGACGAAGAAATGAAAAAGGAAATAGAGAAGATAACAAAAGAGAGTGAGAATAAAAAAGCTGAATATGAGAAGAAGTCGAAAGAATTGCAAATTCAACTGTTCGAGTTCACTCATTATTTGGGTAAGAGTTACTTTATAAATTGATATTTTTAATCATATACACTCCATTAAATGTAACGAAAATGTATCACACGACTAAGTATATATTCTTAAATATGCATATAAAAATACCGTATATTTTTTAATTTACCTAAATAAAAGCTATTTTTTCCAAACCCAACCAATATTTGGTGCAAATACAGATTAATATTTGTACCTTAAAACCCAAGAATTTTAATCAAGTGTACGAGCGCTCTCTAGAGTACAATCGAAAATATTGATTCTTTTTTATCAAAAGCTTTTAAGATATAGTTCCAATATAAGACTTATTGAAAAAAGTACTTAATAACATTCCACAGGAACTGATCGTGCCTTCCACCGATACTGGGTATCGCGGCGTGTTCCCGGTTTGTTTGTGGAGGCCGGCAATGAGTGGCGAGGCACGTGTCGACATAAACCTGTGCCTTTTCCTCATCGATCGCACAGTGATTCCGGGGATTTGGTCGCTTATATCACAGAGCTGTACCATTCCGGTGCTAGAGAGAGAGGTTCGTAATATATTCGAAATACCATCCTGCTCGAAGAACCATTGTTGGAATGTGAAAAACAACTTCTAAGGGATTCAACTTTATTCCACTTACACGCTGAAAAGAAGTCGTCAGCGGTTAAACTTAATTACTATTGCTTGGTTAAATTTACAGAGGGCAGTGACAAAGAGAATGATTCAGGCTCCAACTCTCGCGGAAATTCCCCTAAGAAGCCTTTACACGTTAATGGAATGAATAAAATGCTATCTCCAGACAGTATTCAACAGATGAGAGAGCTCATGGTCTGCACAGCTGATCCAAACACGTGTTACGTACATGGCAAGGTAAGTGTTCCTCCGATACCTTAATAATTGTTTTTTAAATAAAACACTTTAACGGTTTAAAACCATATATTAGTTAAACTTATTTGAAAATGATACAGCTGCTGCAAAGCATCCGAAACTCGGGCCGAAGTTAAAAATCATTTTCAAATAGTTTAACTATATATCGGTTTTAAACCGATAAAGTGTTTTATTTAAATGTGTACTACTCGCGTAAACTATAGACATATTTAATATTTTTTGTTAATGGGCAGATGGAAAAAGTCGTTACCTAATGTTTAATTAATATATCAACTGTATACTTAACAGAGCGAACGACCTCAGTGGTGGGTTTATACAAACGAAGCTCAAATAGACGCCCTTATATCGTCTCTCAACAAACGAGGTATTCGTGAAGCCGACTTGAAACATACGCTGGAGTTAGAACGTACTTCGCTGGTCGAACACTTGCATAAGTGTCCTTTCGCGATCAATGGCACCACACGTTCTCAGGTTAGGATCCTTTTGTAGTTTATTAGGACTATACCTTAGTATTACATCTACTGTTACTAATACGCAAAAAAAGAAAATGTGTGTAAAGTCCGAAATCGATTTACTTAAATTAAATAGACTTTACATATCTGGGTTTGAAGCAGTTCATAAGATAGATAAAGGCTGGCTTTAATACATCATTTTGCAACTGACTGGGATTAGTAATGATAATTTAACATGTATTTCTAATCAGGAACATTATTAATTACTCGCTGTGTAGACAACTGACACTTTGACATGAAGAAACTCCTTAATTTGTTCATAATTACTGTGTCTTTAATACTTTTTTCTCAACGCGTCTTTGTATTCCCAACGAAAAAGACAAAACCATTTGAATTCTTGGCAGGTCCTAAAAATAAACTAATATGGTTAATTAATAATGGCTTACAGGTTTCTTTAAATCCGCCATCTACGCGTCGGCGTGCAATCAGGCCTTCATTAGTAATTCCTCCTGATTGCACACTGGAAGATGCATTAGAGCTGGCTCTAAGAGATCATATTCTGGAGCTTGAGGAGAAAATACACCACGGATGTCTTGGTGCTCTCAAAGTTAAGGTATGTATATGAAACCATAAACATTTTCCAATTTTTGTATGTTAAACCGTTTGTCCTTTTTACGCCCTATTGAGGCAACTAAGCCAGTAATAAATAAAGGCAGAGTAACAAAGGTTATTTTAAGACCAAAAAGATAAATTATCATGGGAACTAGAGAAAAAGTTTTCCTCTTCTGGTTTGTTACTTATCTTTTCTAATTTTATTTTTTAACTTTGCAGGATCGTGAAGCTTGGCGCGGCACAATCATGGTTAAAAGTTACGACAAGCAAGCCGATTATCTCTGCTGGGGACCCAATAAAGTTTTTCGTGACGATACACATTTACCAGATGGCAGACTTCGAATACCAAACGGTATGTATCCTTACAATAATTAAAGAGATATCATTTTGAAGGTTTCTCAAAGGAAATACTTTTTATTGTATTGGAAGTAAAATGAAAAACAAGGTTGGGTCGATTGTCGTGCTTCAGAAAATCAGATTACATTTTAAAAATAAGAAAACAAATTTCGTTTTGTATTCCTAAAACAAATAACTGTTCATCAGTAGACATTAAATACTAAATATTCATGATTAATTTAATGTTATATTTCTATATGTAAAAAAAACTATAACACTGTATTTTAAGTAGATCAACGTCACTTTCCAGGTATGGGTACAGACGATAAAGCAGATGTGAAAGAAATACCTGAAAATAAATACCGCGATCCCGTTTATTATTTAGAAGCACCGAAACAGAACGGCATTAAAATTGAACCCGAAGAAAACGTAGACACAAAGACGACCGACGTGAGAAGTCTTGCGAGCGCTCTGCTGCAGGTGTCGCAAGGGATACATCACAAATATATAAAGAGACCGCTAGGTAGGTTGTCTTTTTAAATATTTCTATCTTATCGCATTATTGGTATCTGTTCTTTAAACCGACTACTTTTTAGTTTCAGTCAAATATTTTGTAAGAAATATTTATATCCAACTAACTATTAATATGATACATTTATTGTAAGCTTTTAACAAGCTAAACTGTTGCATACGTTTACATTTTTTCTCGTATTAACTTATGTTATTACCACGATAGTGTTATTATTATTTATTATATTATATATTTTGTTTATAGGATTGGACGACAAAGAGCGTAAAGACCGCGAAGCGAGAAACAAGCCATGCGATCTTGAAGCGCTAGAGAGATGGGAAGTATCTCTGATGGAGTCTCGTAGTATCGCAGCGTTAACCCTACATCTGTTCGTGCTGGACGCGAGCGTATGCTGGGGAGCAAGCGTTCTCCACGCTAGCTGCAAGCTTTGCCGCAGACGTACAGACCCAGATAACATGCTACTGTGTGATGGCTGCAATAAGGGACACCATCTTTACTGCCTTAAACCCCAACTTACGGTGAGATTATTCGCTAATTCGGTCTTTTAATATAAATATTTAGTAATGAAAAACTTGTATAGATTTCAATGTCTTACAATAATTACAATTATATTACATGCGAAAGCCTGGAGCAACATATAAGGTAACCTTCACTTATGTATTTAGTTTAGTATGTTTTAGTTCCTTCTTTGGTATTTCTCAATAATCGTTTCCTAATATGTTTATTTATTTCTCAATTTAAATAGAAAGTACCTGATGGCGACTGGTTCTGTGATCAATGTAAACCGAAAGAGAAAACTCCAAGAAAAAGAAGGAAGCTGTATAGAGAAGAAAGCATTGAAGACGAGGAGGTGGAAGATAGGCGAGTTTACATTTAACCGTTTTATATATGTTTAGTATAAAATCATATTTATTAAAGCATACGTTGCTTATAAGTTTGATAAAGATATATGTAAAGTCGAAAATTGTCCATAATTTCACCAAGACCTTATCATTGTGTTTAAAATCTTCAACATATAATAACGCAGGACTAGTAAATATTCCAAAATCGTACTATTGTAATTTAGTGCTATGTATTCTTTGTGTGTGATTGTTTGCATGAATTGATCAAGAAATCTGTAAACAATAATTCAATGTAATATATGTTTTTTTTTGTAAATAAATTACATAGGTTTGAAAGAGAATGATCGTCTATGTAAACGATAAACTATACGTTAGGTACTTTTCAGTTTAAACGCTCTGTAACTAAAAGGAGAATTTTTCTTATAGTGACGCAGACTTATCCCTCGGAGTATGCGCGTCTTGTGGAAGCGGCGGTGTACTAGCTGCTACATGTGTAAACTGCTCAGGCCGATACCATATGGAGTGTGCCCGGCCACCTGTCGCAAGAGCAGCACGTCGATGGACCTGCGCCGAATGCTTGGCCCCTCCACAATCTAGGGGTATATACGATATAGTTTCTTATTGACAGCTATAAATAGTTACTTATTATACCTTCAGTAGTTTTGGTGGAGCTAGGGAGATTAGGTAATGGGGTAGAGAAAACGTTTTATCATCCCTCTGAAAGAAAAACGTTTAGAAGTGGAATACTTTGGCGGTGTTAGGATTTAGTAAAGGGTTGAATAAATGACATTTTTTTACTTGTTTCTGCGGGTAGTTTCTAACTAAATAAAAAATTAAATTGATTCAGCTACTTTCGTAATATCCACTTATATTTAAATGGCATTTGTAAAAGACTGACTGACTTAGTGACTAGTAGAATATTTGAATTGCGTTTATACGCAGCTAGCTACCTAGCTACTCCACGTAGTATTTCCAATACTATGCCTTGTAGTTTAGTAGCGTGTTCATAATTTATATGGTTATATTACAATAGTGTGAATAAGCCTAGTACGGCATAAGGACGCGAACCCCTTGTAACATAAAAAAAAGTTGTGAATTATTAAAACTTTCTTAACGTACAATTAATTTCTCATGTTTTCAAGACTATATTTTAATCATCGCTGCTCATCTGATCTTATTCTACTACAATTAATGGTTGTAGTTTTAATATAAAATTAATAAGAAATCTTTCTAAAGACCCAGCGTTTCGACGTCGTTGCGCGACCGCCGCGATGTCCTCCATCCAGCAGTACGCGCGGAACTTGCACAAGCGATCCTACTCCACGGGTTTGTCGCCCATTTCTTTCTACCACCGCTCATTGCCTGGTCTCCTGGTACATTTTATCACTTCTTCCGATCATGACCGTGGTCCATCGTTTATAGGTGTTACACTAGGGCTATCTTATCACTTCTGAGATCCTAGTATCGGCATCGTTATCTGTTTTGAGAGTTAACGAAAACACTAACCTAAAAAGGAGTATGGCCTAATTTTACCGACAAATGATGTCATTACAATTTGACGTCAGTTTGTTTAACTATGCTTTTGAAAGATGATATCGAAATTAAATATTTACCGGTACTCATTTGAATTGGTGAGATTAGGTCTAAGTAGTAAGTAGCTTATTGTCTCTGTCGTGCAGGTGTCATTGGGAATATAAATAAAAGAGACAAAACATGGCCTTGCTTTAGTAGCCTTAGTTGATAAATTATCGGCACAATCCGACCATTCCTAAAGTTTCCGTTAACTGTTCATTCTTCTTCTATTCTGAATCCATTGCTTGTCACTTTCGTAATTATCTTGAATCGCTTTTGTTTCATCTTCATGGGCTCGCTCGGCTTTAACATCTCCTTAATGTATTAAATTCCATATTTTTAGTTTGCTTGGCAAATAGTAAAAGTTATGCCATTAAATTGATTTAGTCATATTTTGCTATCATTCTTTTGTTAATGTGTAAGTTCGAATTAATTTTAAAGTTACCTAGAATGGCTTTACACATTTTGATGGCAGTTATAAATTTTCAATGTAGCTTTATTTTGTATACATCGTTTCGATACCCTAATTGAAAGATGTTTATTTATTGGCTACAGAATAATTATCATTCTTCTTTATGACCCAAAAACCCAATTTCATCAATATACACTTCCATTTATTAAGAATCTTAATGGCTTTCAGTGTCTAATTTTGATGTCAAATCCATTTAAGAAAGTCTGGTCCATCAACATAATTTCTTTTTGAAGTTATTAAAAAGCGAAAATTTTGATTTGCTATATTTTGTTATTTCACTATCTCTATTAAAAAAAATATTATATATATATATATATATATATATATATATATATATATATATATATGTTGTAAATATTAATATTCTTTATAGACTCAGAAGATAGTGAATTTAATACAGCTTTGGTGAAGTTGAAGGCGCGACGACCTCGAGGTAGTAAAGACCCTTCGCCAGTACCAAATGGAAAAACTAGGAGAAGTCGAAAGTAAGTCAATAATAAGAAAAATTATGAATGTAAGTCTTTCTTTTTGTCGAATATTAACCAAACAGAAAACGTGGTCGGTCTAAGCTCAAATAACTCTTTCTCCTAGTTCATAGGTGACCTGTACCTAGCAGTAAAACTTAAACTGTTAATAAATATTGTTTTTTAATAATAGTATAAATTGTATTTTGTATTTGCAGATCAAAAGAAGATTTCAATAACAGTTTAAATCTAAAACAAAAAACATCGCTTACAAATGGAGATCAGGGTATGTTTTTTTTTATTCTCCTTATATATGAATGCTATTATTTGTTATCAATCAGTAATACTCATTAAAATTATGCATTATGTTATTATATTCCGTACACATGTTAATTCTAATAGGATTTACTATTTCTAAAAAGAAGAGAGCTGGTAGTGATCATATAAGTGTGTTTACAGAGCGCAGTACTAAGAAGCGTAAAAGCAGAAATGAAAGCAAACTTCATAACGAAGAATTCGAACAACTTTTAAAAGATTCCCTCAAGCATAAAGACAGCTGGCCCTTCTATGAACCGGTTTCAACTGAAGATGTAATTAATTTCTTTATCCTGAATATACATTAGGACATTGCACTTTTTAATATAAATGAGAACAGATGTTTTGTTTGTTTGTAATTGAACAAAACACAGGAAGGACAGGAAATCTTTTGTTCAATTACATTTGTTTCTCTTGAATAGCAATTTGACTGTTACAATATTGAAAACTCACTATATTCACTGTAAGCAAGATAAAAGTAATTAATCTAAACAAAAACAAAACATTTTTTTACAGGTTCCAGATTATCTAGATGTAATAACTACGCCCATGGACCTGAATACAGTGAAGAATAAATTGGAAAGTGGCCAGTACTCGAAAGATGAAGAGGTGCTCTCTGACATTGCGCTGGTATTCCACAATTGTTACACCTATAACCAGGAATCACATCCTGTAGCCAAGTAAGTAACATTTTTAACATACTCTTTTAACTACAACTTTAACTATATAGATTCGATTATCTATATCGACTATCTATATAGATTCGATTTTTCTTATAACTGTGAAGTTAGTTACGCTTTCAGCACTAAGTTTTCATAAAAGACGTTGTTATTGGAAAAAATCAGACCATTAATGTTTCTTGGAATACCTACCTTTTATTTTGATAATGATATACCAATTTTCTCAGAGCTGGGTACCGATTAGAGAAATACATTATCAAACGGTGTCGGGAGCTTAATCTTCCACCTTTACCTGAGAGCAATCCCACTGACGACGAAGATGATGTCCCACTAAAGAGGAATTTACCAGAAAGCGATGAAGCTCCATGGACGAAAAGAGCTAAGCTAGAGTGAATCTAGGCAAAAGTGCTGTGATTTTTTATAAAAAACGGACTGTACATTTTATTAGTAAAATGTTATTACTAAATTTGTAGTCATACTAAATGTCTTCTACTTAGTTTTGGAGTAAATCAGTGTTTTTCAACTTCAAATAACATGAAAATTTTACTTTTAGGAAAACCTTGACAGGCCCTAATTATCAATCAATGTTCTTAACAAAATTTAATTTATCATTGAAATAAAAGCCCTAAACGTACTTAATTACTTCATACTACGTTTTACAGGATATACTTAGTTGACACCACTTATATTTTATGAACACCAATTAGCTTTTGCTGGTCAAGAGTCGATATTTCATATTTGAGCATTTAAAATCACTGGTAATAATCAATGCTGTGATAACTTCACAATATAACCAAATATAGCTTTTCAATCAGATTTAGTTAATTAAGGTATGATAGTACAATCATGATTTCAGTAATTATGTAACAAATATAATTATTAATGTGTTAATTTCATACAAGTAGACATAGCTAATGAGTTTTTAGGTCCTAATTCGGTTATATAGGATTAGAAATGCTTTTTGGTTACAAAACGCCTTACATTGTATAAAGTGTAAAGTAATATAAGAGTTAAATTAACGGTAGAAACAAGAGCTTGTGATTATTCGCATTGAATGGTTTTTTTTTTAATTATATTTGTCAAGTTTAAATTACATGCTCTTCATTTGAAGTGATTTTGTTGCTCAAAATAATTACATACAGACATCTTGTACTACTTATTATGGGGTAAGCAACAAGATCATTTCAAGTTTCCTAATACATTAAGCCTTGCACACAATACTCACGAGGGCCATTCTGCCTTATTACCGTAGACTAGGTTAGCATTATTGTACGTAGTTGGCCCTTTTGTAATGTACGTTTGTAACAATTACCAGACACTATGTGCGATATAAATTTGCATTGTACAATTATATACATTTATTGCGGTGTTGATAATTTTTTTTTTTAATTACTGCAACAAAATATTCATTCCCATCGCCTCTTTAGTTTTTAACACTTAAGACATATTATTAACCTTATTACTATTCATTTGTTTATTTAAAAGCTCATTCCGGCATGTAGGTCATGTTTTGTTTTTAAATTCTATAAGTAAGTCTTATTATTATTGTTTCTAGTGTTCTTTGCATTCCTATAGGAAACTGTTTGTAACATGTTGATTTTCATTACTTTGTTTTACTTTCATTAATAATGATAATTTTCGGCGATTATTTATTGTTTTAATTTGTAAGTTTTTTAATTTATATTGTAGTAAATAAATAACTAAAGATAATTTATATCTTTTATTGTTTCCTGTGCTGCATATAGCACATGCTGGTTTAATTTGTACTACAGATGAATTTCTTATTGATATAAGTAACATCATCATATTCTGACTCATGTTACATCACATAAATATGATGTTAAAGGCTTTATTTTAAGATGACTTCAATACATGGAAGTTCTATTGATAAACAAGTATTAACTAAAACATGATTTTATTACTCTTATAATTAAATAAGCATTGAATAATTTGAAGCCAATATCATCCCAGTTTAATGGTGGTGTGCCTCAGCTTCCTTCCTTCTTCGCTCTGCCCATAGTGCCACATTTTCAGGAGAGTTAGCTAAAAAAATCAATCTTTATCAAAAGTTTGTCATAGATTCCTTTTTCTTTCAGTTTTACAGCTTAATTAAATATAAGATTTATATACATGCATAAGAATATTTTCTTGTCAACTACATACCTAGTTTATTGATTTTGTAGATCACAGGAAGAGACAGCACAATTCCACCAGCAAGCCAGTAACGCCATATCCATTGGTTTTGGAAGTAGAATTTTAAGGGGAACTGCGCAATCTTAGCGGAGAAAGTATAAGGATACTTCATAGGGCGTCCTGGAGTCTCGGACATCTTCGAAATCAGCTGCAAAGTGCAAATTTAGGTATATTATGTAACTTATTTGAAAAACTTACGTTGAGTTTTATGAAAGCTCACGTCTTGATTACAATACAATTGAACAAATATTAGGGCGCTTAAATTACTATTTAACTTAAATTTTACTAATGAAATGAAATAAATCTTAACCTTATTTCGTTTTCCAATAAACCAAAAACCACCAATAAAACGGCTATAGAATATTGAATCTCAATATGATAAAGACTATGTCAAAAATGTATCAAAGACAAACCACAGATAAATTTTGCCTTTTTTCAAGTGAATATACAGAGTATTATGTATGAGGATGTATATGGTATTATCCTGTATTAGATGCACTTAAATTTTTAGTGTGACAACTGACAATGACATCTGTCAATATGTGAATTATTACAGGAACTTCAATCGTGATTCGTGAATAGTGATTTGTGATTGTCTGAATTATTTTTCTTGTTTTCTTTATCTTTGTTGTGCTTTCGGATTTGTGCGCCGTCAAATGAACAATAGTTAAAATGTCATATTGGTCAATGATGTCGTATTCTTAACAATCCGCATTTATTATAAAAGTGTTTGAAGTATTTAAGATACGGATAATATTATAATGTGTTACAATGGCCTCAGTAAAAGTTGCCGTAAGGGTTCGCCCATTCAATCAAAGGTGAGAAATTAGTCATCAAACCATAACAAATCAAAATTTAATTGATTTATTTAAATTTACGATTCAAAGTTGGCAAAAAATCAATATTAAGTTCGACTTAAATTACATTTAGCATTTCATTAAAACCTTGTGAATGATCTCTTGGTACATTTGTATTTTGAAAGTATAAAAAGGCAACGAATAATGATGTCACTCGAGGCTTTCACGGTTCGTTTACATTAAGATCATCTGTTTTTTGGTAGATAAACGAAAGTTGATGAAAAAATTACTTCATTGTCCCCTCACTTTAAGAAAACAGCTTACTTAGGTCTTTGAAACTGTTTATAGGATCTTATATATTCTTCAATATGTCTTAAATTCACTTTTATTATTACAATACTTATTGTCTACTGTCTACAAATAATAAATTCCTTAAAATACTCTTCAAAAATAAATATCACCCTAATATATTAATTGTCCTCTTTTGTCAATAACTTATTTGAATATAAATTTTATAAAATCTCACAATGGTATTTCCTTACTGTTTATCTATTTATGTGAACAATTATTGTTTGTGAGCATTGTTTACTAACAAATTTAACCAAGTATTCACACATTGCTCTTCTCTGGATGTTGAATATATCTTACTATTACTACAAAAAAGTATTTTGTAATTTCAAAGAAAGGGAATAGGCTACATAATTGTTTTGCTTTAATTTAGTTTTCGTAAGGAGAACAATCTCTAATTACATTTATTAACTAAAATACTAAACATTTATAAAGGAATTGTTTTTCATTACTGGGAACTATTTATAATATCTATATGTATATCTGATAATATCTAATTGACAATGAAAGACATTACTTTTTTTTATAATCAGTGTTTTTACACTTTATTGTGTTTATAAGATGTCTTTCATACTTTTATCTCTAAGTGTTAGAAGATAATTAAAACTTTGCTACATGAAGAGTTTATTGTGGTTCAGATAAAGGCCATATAGCAATAGTAGATTTCAAATTAAAACTTTTTTGCTATAATGAATTTATTAAAACTTATAGTGTGCATAAGAGTAGCAATACATAGTTTTTTATGTTGTCACCTGCAGCGCTTTTTGATGTTACCCTTTTCTTGCAGAGAGAAAGACATGAACGCAAAACTAATAGTTCAAATGGACGGCAAAAAAACTCGGCTACTAACTGTCAAAGTAAGTGTTTTTATTCTTTTTATAATTTAGTAAAAATCTGTATAATATGTAATATTTTAGCAAGTAATCTTATTGAATTTTTTGATTATTATTGTATTAGATTTGAACATTGAATAGGTACATTCATATCAACTTTAATTTAAAAATACGTAATTCTTTTTCATTATACTTTACAATACTAGTGCATGTCATTACTGGCAAATGTTATCCAAAAAAAGAATTTGGCAAAACAACATTAAAAATAAATTCCCTTTATTTACCCAATATAGCGTGACTGCATGACGCAAACACATTTCTGTATCAGTTTCAAAAAGTTAACAAAGTTTTCCCGGATTCGAACCCCGCATAGCCCACGCTCAACGCAATCCGTGTTGTTGACCCATTGAGGCTACATATTAGCAAGAACGATAAAATTATGTTAAATATTACATAATTTTATCGTCCTGTCATTTGCGAAAAGCCTTGAAAAAAATATGCATCTAAATATACGTTGCAGTGGCGCTTTCCGATATCGTAATATTTTTTATCGAACGCTGTCGTAACTTTTGCTCATAAAATGTAATAAACTGCACTAAATTATTTAAATAAAACACATTAACGGTTTAAAACGTGATATATTAGTTTGACTTATTTGAAAATTATTTGTCACCTCGTGCCCACGTTTGGCTGCTTTGCAGCCGAAACGTGGGCACGGAGGAGAAAATCATTTTCAAATAAGTCTAACTAATATATCGCGTTTTAAACCGTTAAAGTGTTTTATTTAAATGTGTACTATTCGCGTACACTATAGACAGTATTTGCACTAAATTAGTTGAAGAAATTTTAATAAGCATTGTTTTTTTGACAGACGTCAGACAAGTGGAGTTCACTTTTCTGACCTATTTTTTTAAACATTTGGAAATCCATAGATTTAAACTAAAACGCGAATTTACACTTTACCGAGTTGTCCGAGTTGTGACCAGTACATAATTTTTATATTGCTATTAGCATTACACCTCTAAGTTTTCTAGACCGTGGGTCAAACATGTTTAAGATAATTATGGCATGACAACTAGATCTCCTAATGAGAATACATGATAACGTTATTTCTTCTTTTACAGAATAGCAAAGAACAGAACGATGGGAACCGAGAGAAGTACAAAGACTTCACATTTGACCATTCCTACTGGTCGTATGATAGTGGCGACAGTAATTTTGCAACCCAGGAACAGGTACTTAGTTTGATAAATTGTATTTACGTTACTTATATACCCAAAAAATGTAGTATTAGGGTATCTTTAGAGTAAAACAGTAGCTAAGATGGTAAAATAATGAAGTATGGTTTGAGTGCCGCCTGTGTCATCTATTTTATTAATCTTTGTAGAATTGGGCTCCTGAAAATACATTCACTAAACATTCATCTCACGTTATCTCCTATTAAAAATTATTTAACATTTTCTAGAAAATGAAAATGTCAAATACATGTTTGTTATTTCTAAAATAAAAAACACCGAAATAATTATATACAAGATCATTAAAATTATAATGAATCCTTAAAAGGTCGACCTTGACTCGCTCGCTTTACTTGACAATACATCGTTGTTTGGCTACAATCGACATATTCAATGTGAATTTACGTATACACAATAATTGAGCAAATACAGCTTCAATATTTTGAATCTGACAATGAAATTAAGTATTTACTAACGAAGTTATGTAAGGTTTCAAAAAAAAAACCTTTATCGAGAGTGACGTCACAAAGTAGACATTTCTGTTCGTTTTAATTTATTGACAAGTAAGCTGAAATGTCCTACATAACCGAATCGATTTAACGCCACTTTTTTGGTTTTCGAACGCTGAATCTCTGAAGGTCAAGTTTTAGACTCTCTTTTAGAAAAAGTAGGGTAATTTCGTTGTTTTCTTGATAGCTTGCGCTGAAGACTATTTTAATTAAATCAAACTTGTCTTCCGACGGGAGATGTCGCGTATGCAATGCACAACAACTCAAAAATTATCGGTGAATTATTGCTTTTGGAAATAACCATGTTTCGCATTAAAATTTCGGTCAATTTTTCTACTTCTTCGGTCGAATCTGAGTCGGACTTTAAAAAGCCAAGGAGGAGAGATGCCAATCGTACAAAAAAATAAACATGCCGAAACGCAAACTGTATGATTTAAAAATACCTAACTTACAATGACCACAAAACTCGTTTTACAAATTGCAACAGCTATAGACTGTTGTCGTTAAGTAAGACGATGATTCTATAATAGTACGTTTCTTAACGGCGAACAAAATTAACTTTGGGCAGTCCTTTATGAACTTTTTATATATAAACAGACAATACATACGAATATTAGATAAAAGCAATATGCGTTGCCGTCCTATTTTAGCAGAATTGTCGGACATTAGGAGATGTTTTAAAGAAAAAATTTACAATAGTTTTAAATAAAAAACAATCAAAGTTTATCAGCTCACAGTAGCAATTTTAGCGCGAATGAACACGTTACACCGATGGTGGGGGTATTAAAAAAAGATAACGATTTATACGATTACTAGCGACCCGCCTCGGCTTTGCTCGGGTGCAATGCTGATACTAAATGCACTAGAGGACTCTTTAAAACCGCGTCAACATCCGTTGCGCAGTTTTAAAGATTTTGGCGTACATAGGGACAGAAAAAGCGACTTACTTAATGCTATATAGTGATTATATCGCATCGTACCATTATCCTAACTATGACATGCCTCATTAATGACCGATTCTTGGTAACGCTTAGATACTTTATTGCAGGTGTTCTCAGATTTGGGACTGGATGTGATTGATAGCGCGTTCGAGGGTTACAATGCGTGCGTGTTTGCGTATGGCCAGACGGGGAGTGGAAAAACATTTACCATGATGGGTTCTCCGGTGAGTAATTTTGTAAAGACATGCCGTTTTTAAACGATGATTATCCCGACTCATTAGATGTACTGGGTCAGTGGCAATTGTAAGGGACCCAAAAACTAATTCTAAGAAACGTATAACTTTAAGAAGATCACGCTTAATACGATTTCTCGCTTAAGACGTAATCGTCTTAAGCTGGTTGGCTTTTACTGTGAAGTCTATACAGGCTGGCAGGATGGCTTTAGGTGCGCTGTAAAAACGGAACAAAAATAAATATGAAAGAATGATTCGTTTCTAATTTATTTATAAATGTCCGCGATATAGGTCTACCTTCTAAGATTCACTCGCAATAACAACAGGACACGAACGACGTGGTGGCTAACAACTATGATTTATAAAACTGAGGAGGTTGTTTGCAAAAATAAATAATATGATGCCCAAAATAACCATTCTAATTGGACAAAGTCGCGGACACAGCTAATAGGTTGAAAAATGATTGAAAACTTTATTATTTTTTAATATGTTATTGCACATGAAGGCACTATATAATTTAAAAATCGAAAATAAATTGAAGACTCGGTAGTTCAATTGGAAGAGCAATAGCACGGAACGCTGACGATGCCGGTTCAAGTCCTGCCCGAGTCGATTTTTTTTTAAATTTATTTTCGATTTTTAAATTATATAGGTTAAAAAATATCAAGTTAAGACGGACGGCTTCTAACCTAATTAAATAATAGATGGAGCAAACAGCCAATTGATTTTCGTATTAAGATATCGCACAGTCTCACGATTGTGGGAGATAAACTTTCTTACGTTTAAAAGATAATAATTGAGACATGGTTTATGAGTTTAACGTTCTCGAAAACTAAATGATAACGCATCAAGATTGTGGTGGCAGGTATCATAAGCACTGTCACAGTTACCTACATATTATGTTTTTAGAGTATTGTACTGAAATAAGTGTATGGTGTTTTAGTATACCTCAATATGTAGTTTTAGTGGTAGTTATTTTTTATTGCTTTATTATTATAAAACACACCACAGAAAATACATATTAATGAGAAAAACTCTTACGTACTAAGTTATAAATAAAGGCGGCCTTGTCGCTATGTAGCGATCTCTTCCAGGCAACCTAAAGTACAGGAGAAAAGAAATAGAAAATAATTTATTTAGTGGGTAGTGTAAGGAATAACAAAGAATATTAACATAGTACACACGAGTAGGAGAGAAACTAACTTAAATATTGGAAACGTAAAACTTATAGAGCAAACTCTTAAAAGTCAAAGGGTCTTTGAACTCTGTTAATAGATTGATAGGTTGATGTATACAAACTAAACCCACCTGTGGCATAAACCATGTGGGACATATGAAAATGATGTAGTGGAGTCCCATCAGAATGAAATAATTTATTTAAACCTTACATTCCTTCTATAAGCAATCAAACTCGTTTTCTTTTTAATTCCAATAAACCAATTTGATTTCATTATCTGTGGTACTATACGATACACTACACACAATAAATTATCTCGGATAAAATAATGATAACTGGTATTGTTCGAATGATCATAAATACTGTCTTTTCAGTCCATATAAATTCTATGTAAACCTTCAAAGTAAAGATGAAATGGTCATAGAAATACGTACTACACTTATCCCATTATGAAAGACTAAGAAGCCTTGAAGAGTATTTTAATGTAGCGTAAATATTTGTATAATATCTGCAACTGGTTTGTATCGTCCTAGACTATATGTTTTTGGATCAAGATTACAGTACAATAGGAATATAGTTTATTAGATTAACTAAGACCAAGCCTTACACAATTCACATTATAGATTTTTCACAGTACAACAATATGGTAAGTTATGCATTATTAAAATATATAACAAAAAACTATTCTATCTAGATTTTATACCATCGTTATCTTGCGATCTTTGACATTTGGGGGACATCGGAAGTCTCAAACTGGTATTTGCTATAAGCGACAATTTCAAATGACATCATCTAAAATTCATATTCTATCGATCGTTTACATCATAATTATTATTTGGCGCCTGATAAAATAAAAACACAACTGTCACAAGTTTAAAAAAGCTGTATTTACTATTTCACTTTTAAAAGATGCCAAATTTAAATGCAGCACATCCAGCGAATGCTTTTATAAAGAGAAAAGAAAAGCTGTCATTGACACACTCGTGTTAAGTCATCGCGACAATGTTTTAATAGGCTGTCAACACAAAGAATTTTTCCAACTCATCCAACAGTTTTAAGATGAACATATCTATATATCTAAATGTACAACTAATAAGAATATTATAATAAATCATCAAATTATTTTTAATAGGATTCTCAAGGGTTAATACCCCGGATATGCCGTCAACTATTCTCCCGAGTAGCCGCAGGCAAAGAATCCGGGGCATCGTATCGTACTGAAGTCAGTTACCTCGAGATATACAATGAAAGGGTGAAAGATCTGCTATCGACTGATGCGGGACATTCCCTGAGGGTCCGCGAGCATCCCAAATTGGGGCCATATGTCCAGGATCTGTCCAAGCATTTGGTATCTGATTATGATGACATACAGGTTAGTTATTAGTCATGAGAATATTTAAATCCTAACAATAAGAAAAGAACACACTTGCCCATTGTTTTTTTGTATTTTAGAAATTTAATTCGACTTATTAAATAGTGTAGATGACTTTATTGTACATCAGAAGAAACATTTGTTTATGATAATAAGAGAATGTGTAAAATATATTTATTGGCTTGGTTACAAAAAACAAACATTTAATGTTTTTATGATTATATATAGTATTTATAATTGCTTTTAGGAGAAGTATTTTTTTTTCTCCATTAATTTTCTTTACGTGTAAACCTTATTTATACACATACATCCAAGATGTCATCTTACACTTACTCTAACCATTTAATTCAGAGGTGTACTTTAACTTATAAATAGTTTTTTTTTTTTAGGAATGTATGCACCGAGGTAATCTACACCGCACAACAGCGTCAACACAGATGAACGACGTGTCGTCTCGCTCGCACGCCATATTCACTATTACTTTCGTACAAGCGAGTTATCTGCGTCACAATAATATGCCGAGCGAGACGGTGTCTAAGGTTCATCTGGTTGATTTAGCGGGGAGGTGAGTAGCGAGGAGTTCGGTGGTTTGGTTGTATGTATAAACTGTAGAGTGTAAATTGCTAAATCGATTTTGATAAACAAAGTCTTTTTTATACCGCAGAACAGTATGACATAGGCAATATCATTTGTATACAACATAATTAAATCATAAAATAAACTTGCAAATTTTACCTGATTGAAACGCCACATGTTTAGTGTAAAAGGTTGTATACATATATGTAGATAAATATGATAGAAGAATGATTTAGTGTTAAAGTCATGAAATTTGTTTGCTATGCGATCTTAAAGGTCGCGCCATCAAAACATCTCGTTGGTATTTAACAATTGAACGTCCAAAACAGTGAAAGAGCAGACGCGACAGGAGCAACTGGTCAACGTTTGGTCGAAGGAGCGCACATCAATAAATCTCTGGTTACTCTTGGCTCGGTGATCTCGGCTCTCGCTGAATCTAGTCAGCCAGTTGATGGTGAGCTTTACTTTGTAAATTAATTTAAGAAACATTTAAAAATGTGCATTAGTATTACTTTATGTGATTCATAACATATGACAGCATCTATATTTTGGTGTTCTATAAAGCTACAGTCCTATTATTCTTATACAATAATATTTTTGATTAACAGTTCGTTCACCGAAAAACAAGAAAGTATTCATACCGTACCGTGACTCCGTCCTCACTTGGCTTCTCAAAGACTCACTCGGTGGAAATTCAAAGACAATTATGATCGCTGCTGTGAGTATAACATCATACAAAATACAATAAACGAAGTTCTTGTCTTTCATATAATGGTCTTCTTTAAATTATTATCAAAAAAGAAAAGATTCTTTGTATAGAAAAAAGTTTTTAAAGTGTTAATCTATTACAAGCAAATGTAATACTTATTTTTAGATATCTCCAGCGGATTGCAATTACGGCGAGACACTATCCACACTGCGGTACGCAAATCGAGCGAAGAACATAATTAACAAACCGACAATCAATGAAGATGCCAACGTCAAACTTATTAGAGAGCTTAGAGAAGAGATCGAGAAGTTACGCGCACAGATATCGCACAATACGGTGAGACGATGTATCCGTTATTACTGTGTCTTCGAGATTCTATTCAAGAGCTTATATGCAATAGAAATTAAGTAAAATAAGCTAAATATTCGTGAAACCCACCACTCTGTTCCACTAGTGGTTGGTGGGCTTTTACTACTACTGCCACTGAGCTTGTGATCATAACCAAGAAAGACTACTTAACTACTAATCTTAGACATGATTAAAAACTAGTTTTAACTGGTTTAGATTCATCTAAACTTTCGACTTTTCTATTCAGGTACCTGTAGAAACAGAAGCTGGGGTGCTTGCAACATTACAGCGCAAGGAAGCACAAGAGAAGGTGCTAACTGAAAAATGGACGGAAAAGTGGCGTGAAACTCAGCAAATACTACACGAACAGAAAGCACTGGGACTGCGCAAGAGTGGTCTTGGGGTGGTCCTTGATTCTGATATGCCACATTTGGTGGGCATTGATGACAATCTACTGTCGACAGGTGTTACTTTGTATCATCTAAAGGTAATTACATTATATCCATAACTATGTAAAGAAACTAGAAAAATAATAATAAAAAAAAATCGATTTTTAAGTACAAAAAAATTCTGATAGTCACCGTTTTTCCATTTTTCTTTTATAAAGGAGGGTGAAACAGTGATAGGAAGCGAAGAATATAGCCCCACACCAGATATAGTTCTAAGCGGTGCCGGGGTACTACCACTACATTGTAAAGTAACACTGCACGAAGGTGTTGCCACCATCGATCCGGCATCCGGCGCACAATGCTGGCTCAACACGGTGTTGCTAGATAAACCTGCGAAACTTAGCCAAGGTAATTTCATAGTTGATACGTTTAATTTCTTTATCCAGATTATATTATACTAGCTGAGCCCGCGACTCCTCAGTTGTATAAATTATATCTGTTACCAACGGCGTCGTCAGGGTCTCGTCGCTCTTGCTAATCTTTAAAGAAAATCTAAAAAAATGCCCAGTACGTTGTATATATATAAATCATATGGAATTACTGACCATATCGACATTCTATTATACATATTTTTTTGGTACCTTGATTCTGACTGCTCACGCAACGGAAGCACTCGAAGATAATTAATTTTCCCCATTTTTTCAACATTTTCCATTGTTACTTTGTCGCAGCGTGTGCGTATATAATGCGTTCCTCGATAAATGGTCCAAACAACACCAAAAATATTTTAAATTCGAAACAGCATTTTCTGGGATTAGCGCGGTCTAAGAAACAAAGTCTTTAATCATAGTATAAGTAATCAGCTTTCTTGTTTATTATTTTTTAAGAGTCTTAAACATTATGACGTTATTCAATTTAAGTTATTGACCCACCGCGCTAGCCTTTATCGGTTAACGGTTGGCTGGAGTAGTGGATGAAGTTCGAAGACTAAAATACAGATAATATTTTTGCAAAGGTTGCATCTTATTACTCGGGCGCACAAACATGTTCCGATACAACGATCCGGCCGAAGCGGCCAAGCTTCGCCAGGAGGGCAGCGCGTCTATGATGAATCTATCGCGTTTGTCCCTTCTCTCCTGGTCCACCACCGACCTGGCAGCCAGTACAGAGAATCTCAATAATACATTATCGTAAGTAACACCTCATTTCTAACTTTCTACACAATAACTTCTTATGGTAAGGTAAACTGCTTTATTATATACCGCGTTATATAATATGACCTAATATCGTAAATGAATATTGCCCCAGAGATTTGGAGAGTGAAATTCGTTGTGAGAGGATATCAGCCCAACGCGCGGAGTTGGAGCGAGAGAGACAGCAATTCGTGCTACAGCAACAGGAGAGACAAAGACGATGGCACGCTGAGCGAGAAGAACTGCTCAAAGCACAGAAACAACTTGATGAGGTTTGATATTGAACCATTTTATATGTTTGTGTTTTTTTTTGTCTTAAATGGGAAATCAAAAATCGATTTTAAGTTTATATAATGACAATGTGCAATGAAATGTGAAGAATGTTAAAGTTTTTATTCGTTCAATATAAAAAAAATGGCTTATTTAGGAACGTTCGGCAATGGAACGTGAATACGCAGCTGCTTGCCGGCGTTTATCGGGCGATTGGCGAGCGCTAGAACGGGGATGGACTCTGCGCAGGCGCGCTTTACGCTGTAGACAGAGGGAGCTCAACGCCCGCGTACACAGACACGCAGCCGCTGGTCGAGCGGCGCGTGCGCAAGTATGTCAACAATATTTATCTATTCTTCATGTTACTTGTTAGTTAAATAATTTGTTCTTCATTTAATTGAACAGAAATACGGCTTTTGATGGATACATAGCTCAACATAATAACTTTATAACAATTTAGAATAATATAGTGTTTACAATGTTTTAAATGTAACAATATTTTTTTTTGTATGAAAACATATAATTTATCGTTGATTACTTTATTTATTAGCCAGTATTATTATATTACTTTTATGAGACTCTTTTGTGTGTCTGAATTTTTAACCGGTTTTGATATGAACGTTCTTTTTTAAATATAAAAACTTTACAATTATTACGAGTTTGTAAGGAAATCCTTTCATTTTTACCACATGCTTATGTCACTGTTGCCGTAATCACTTGCAGTATTAAAAATGTGTTACCAGTGTTTCTCGATTTCACGAACTATTAATAACAGAAGAATTATTCTTGTTGTCAGCTGGTGCAAGAATAATTTTTTTCTTTCATCTCTAAATAGAGTACCTTAATGATGAAGTATATATCTGTCTACAAGTTACGGTTCTACACTCTCCTTCTATCGAGTTTATATCGAGAATCGTTAGTAGCACCTGCAATCACTTGCAGACAATGATATTGTTTTTTTATTTCTCACAATTCTTAGCTTTTGTTTGATAATTCATATAGAAGCTAGCGCTTGTCATATATAGCTGTGCTAGTTCCTTTGTTTTCATTTCTGATTTTGGGTATCAATTTGGCGGAAAGTGTGTAAATTAAAACTTACGTAAAGGTACCGTACTATTAAAATAGCTAAAATTGTTAAATAAAATCCCCTTACATATTTATTATAACACCAATAGAAATTCGATCATTTTTGAAAATTCTGTCATTCACAGAATAAAGTGTGTGACCGACGGACGGAAATAATTTTAGTCCTGTTTTACCTTTCGAGTACGGAACCCTAGAACAATTTCAAATTATAAATCTTTTCTTCCCAAAATTAGAAACGCATTATCGTTGTTTTGCTATGCCTATGTCCTGTAGATTGAGAAGGAGGAGATAATCATCACGGAATTGGAAGGACGTCTTGGGGAAAAGAGGAGGGAAATCGAGAGTTTTGTATCAAGCAACATCAAGGATCTGGTTTCGCAGGGCTGCTTAATAGACGAGGTTTGTAACGATGGTGGCAGGCTTTTTATCTTTTAACTGATAGATAATACGGTATTTTACATTAATTGTTCATAAATATAATTATACAAGTAGTTATATTCATGTGCAACCAGTGCAAACTAGAAAAACGGTGCAACCCCACGTTTCTGCAAACTATACAAAACTAGAGGGCGTTGCTAGCAATAAATTTACTTACCTTATATGTTCCGCGTTTTTTACCGTTAAAAAACGCACAGGTCCTACATTACCTTATATGCTATGTAATCTCTATCAGTATTACCAATAATACTAGATGCTTTCAGTTGCATATCTTAATTTGCATTATTTTATACTTTTAGTTTTAAATACATAATTATAAGTAATTTTTGTACATGTAGAGTCTATCTCCAAGCCCTGAAAGTCCAGCATCAGAAACGTCCACGGAATGTCTGATGCACCTTCTGCAGCAGTGCGAGCCCAAGACCGCTAACAATATAAAAGAAACGGTCGAAAGACATGTAAGTATACATACACGATTGATAATATGATACTTGGAATGGACACGGGCGGAACTCAAACTCACGACCAACAGCAAACCGTGCTAATTATCATTTCAGTTGTAATCCAAATATACTTGCAGTAACTAAGTTATCAAATTACTACCTGTTAGAAGTGTTACGCGTCACGATAAGATTCTATAGAAGAGTTAACTTCTTAGATTTCTATAATTTTTTAGGATATATAGAAGGTTTTTTTTTTAGAAAAAGGAATTAGAAACTCTAGAGCAAGAGTTGCAAGGAAGGGTCGCCTCCGTGGCCGCACAGAGAGTCAAGGTGGAGCGGTTACAAGCAGAACTGGCGCTTTTAGCGGCGCGGGAACGGGGTCTGACTAGGGCCCTTGCTGAACCTGGTTAGTAATATTAAGTAATTTCTGTTTCCGACAATTCAAGTCAAAATAGGCCGACAGCGCATCATAGTTATACATTATACGACTGGCACCTTCACTCAAGTATATTATTAATATATGTGATCATTTATGAAGCCTTCAGCTCGATTGCATAGAAAGTTTGTAATTTCTTGAGCTAAAACATAGGAAACGTAGTCTTATTTCGACTCTGAAAATTGTTTAAGGCAGTAGAAACTGTAAGGAAAAACAAATGAAATGCGAGTTGTCAAATATCCTAAATTAACATAAACCTACAAATATTTATAACTAGACCAAAATGACGTAAAACATGCGGTGGGCGATACTTTGAACGAATGCAGCAGAATGTCTCATAACCGGGAGAATTGGCGCGAAACAGTTACGCGAATACGATCTACCCCTTCCTACAATGCTACATGACGATCACGACCTCTGCCAAGAGATACCACTGAGAAGAAGACCATAATAGGAAATACACGATTTACGTTTATATCTATTTATTTAACTCCATTACACAACACGCACACAATTACAATGAACCAAATACATAATAGAAATATAAACTAGCGTTAAGTAATCTCATCCAAGCTAATTTAGTTGTAGGTACATTTCTTACAGATGGCCTTAACTTTGTGTTAGTAAAGACGTTGCTTTAGCTGAAAAAAATCATATCTAATCTGTTTTAAATGGAAATAGCAGAAAAGGCGGTTAGACTTACGCATATTATGTGTTAATCGTAATAAGGTGTTCTAGATGGCGACAGCGATACATCACCTGTGGAGGGGGTGAAGCGATGCAAGTCCGAGCTCGTATTGCGGACGAGGGACGATGACCCACCCGAACCGCTGTCTGCTGATGAAAGAGAGCATTATAGGACTAGACGTCTGAGGTATATAAGTCAATTGTTTTTACTATTTTATTAGCGTTCATTATTTTAAATGAAACAAGTGAAGCATACTGTACTACTGCCTATGACTTGTGTCATACAATAGCGATTTAAATGGAAAACTTTAACGGTTTAAAACACGAAACATATTAGTTAAACTTATTTTATGCAAAAGAATGGGATATATATGTATAGTCCAATTAACGTAGTGACATGTATTATTTCCAGTTTGAGCCTCAGTCTGGATCCGCTTCCATCCCCATCTATAAATTCACCGGATACTTTCCACACAGCTTCCTCCTCGCCTAAAGCTATACCCTCTGAGTCCACACTCCCTAGTCCTTCCACCACGGAAGCGTCCGCGCTTCCCAGCGAAAGCGAGCCTTTACCAAAGTTCAAACTTGGACCCACCGCTGATGACAGTGACGATATGTCGAGCACAGAAGATTATCACAAGGTATTTTTTTCTTATTACCATAAGGAATATTTATCTTTACTTATCTTTTTTATCGACAAACTAATTGGTTTAAAAAGAAACACATACGCTTAAATGTAAAATATACAAATAAAAAACGTGTTGCTGCAAAGGCGGCCTTTCGCCTTTGGCGATTTCATCCAGGCAACCTTTTCAATAAATTTCTGAATAAATACCTTTTCCAGCCAAGTCGGATAGTAGAAGGCCAGTCATCAAGCTCAGTCGAGCGGTCACCTGAAGAAAGACACCAGAGGTCCAAATATAGGAGAAGAATAGGTAACAATTCTGAAATGTACAAATATTCTTTCATTTCTTCTTTCCTCCATCTTTGTTATGATAGAGGAAGACAGAAGCATGGGGTTCCATTGATGTTTGGTAAAATACCTCAGCCATATAACATCTAAACAAGATGCGATATCCGGAAATCCACAGACTGAACCCGAAACATGATTAAACTTGAGGACGTTTTCATCTGTGGACGGTGGTTCGTGGACCCGGACGGAATTTCGATATTCCTATCACCCATTTAATATCCAGGTTTCCAGACGAAAACAGATAAGATTAATTGTGATGATATAACTAAGGAACTACTAGAGCATTTCTCTTGATCTTTCAGGTGAGCGTCGTGGACGTCAAGTGACGGAAGCGGAAGCATTGCGCGCGATGCAGAGGTTATGTTCGCGCATAGCTTCTCAAAAGTTGTTAGTTATATCGTCTTTGGAGAACGACTGCTCGAAGGAGGAACTTAATGGACAAATACAGGTATAGATAGATCTTTTATGTTCAAAAAGTGGGTGGGTAGTTTCTTGTGACTGAGTCACAAAAAACACTTGTTGCTAAAAGTATCATTTTATAAAGGGCTAAACGCCGTTCAATACAAATTTCATCGTTCTCTTATATTTTCATGAAACATTTTTCATGAGTTTTTTGACCATGATTGAAAAGAGCATTTTCTTTGTACATACTTATGTACAGATTATTAACTTTTTAATATTGTTCTACCATAGGTGTTACAAGAGCTTCAAAAGAAATATGTCCGCCTAGAGATGGCATTGCAATATTCATTCTTCGACAATCAAAACAAGAGAACGATAATGGTGACGCCCATACAAGAGACGCCTTCACTCACTCTCAGCGAGAGCGATATGCATATCACGACGGAAACGGAGACTACAGACAACAATAACGGTTATATTCAGGATCCCTTGATGCATAGGTAATATTCGTATTTACTGCTTCTGATGAGATTCTATAATTTGGGATCTATTCAAACGTTAATGCATTTCTTTTTATTAAAATTTCTATATTATAACAGGAAATTAAGGCACAAAACACAGTTTTTAGCAGTCTGGATATCTCTATATTAAATGGGACAAGTAGAAGTAGTAAATAGAAATCACGAACCACCGCCCACAGGTGGAAAAGCTATCAAGCTTTAATCGCGTTTCGCTTTCAGACTCTAGATTTCCGAATATCCAAAAGTCGACAGCGCATTTCTTTTTAGATGTTATATGGCTGGGGTATTTTGGCAACCATCGAGCATCCTTGTATGTCATTTTCTATCACAAAGACGCAATTAGTGACAAGCCAAAAACAGTTTGATTTTTTTTCAGTTTTATTTTATTCATATGTGTATTTGTTAATAACACGACTATCATCTCAATGTTACAGGCTAAAGGAGCACGACACTATTGAAGCGTCAGACAACGTGTCAACATCCAACGACGAACTGAGTTCGGAACAGGCCTGGCCCGATCCACTTAGAGCTCTAGCCTCCCCAGAAACCGGCAGTGATCACGAATTAGATAATGACCATGATTGTGATCTTGACACTGTCAGACCGCTTGTGATACCGGTAATTAAACATTGTTCTTGCTCGTTCTGTTCTCGTTTAAAACTTTTCGATTATCTACAGACATATATGAATATTTTATGTATCAATTTAGTACTAACATTTATGCTTGCGGCCTGTGTCAACAAAAGTATATCTGTTTCTTTTTTTAGGATTACACGTTAGAAGGGCTCAATCATCCTATTGATTTCGGTAAGTTTTATTATTGTTTATTATTAAACCTCAATAAAAATCTATATTCTCATTTATGTCCATGTATATTGCAGACTAAAACCGAGACTGGAGTTTTTATAATATAATTTTGTTGTCCAGTCTAAATTTATATGAATATTATAGCGGAAGTGATCAGTGTCCCGGGTTGGGTGACTCGCGGCGCGGGCGCAGGCACGCATCACGAGTACGAAGTGCGCATCCGTCTTGGTCCTAACTGCGCCTGGCAGTTGCTGCGACGCTATAGACGCTTTCGGGACCTCTACCTGTTTACGAGGAAACAGTATGGCGAAAAGGTATGTTACCTTTATGAAATCCTTTGTAAACTGGCTCGCTCTGGCTCGTGTGTCGTCATTAATTTATACCTATGAAAACGAAAAAGAAATATTTTCAGAAATTCATATAATTATTTCGTAATGAGGCACTTTATGAAACACCACAATGTTTTTTTTTTCAGGTTGCTGCTATACCATTTCCAGGACGTGCTCTCTGGTCGTCAGAAAACTTGGCGCGGTCTCGCAGACCTCAGTTGGAGGTCTTTTTACGTCGTCTTTTGACAGTGTGCTCAATGGATCGTCGCTGTCCATTATACACATCGCCGCTTACCAGGGATAAACTTGTGGCCTTTTCGCCCTTCTTCAGGAAGGTTAGTATTTTTTAAATAAACCTTGGAGCTAGATATTAGCAGGAGTATATAATACGAGAAGTATTATACTCCTGCTAATATCTAATCTATATAGTATCTAATATCAGTACCGAAATCCTAAAAGATTGTCCTATTTTCGTCTAATACGCCATATTATAGCCAACATATCAGAACTAATTTACCTGAGTATCTGTACTATTATTATAAAGCTGAAGAGTTTGTTTGAACGCGCTAATCTCTGGAATTAATGGTTTGAAAATCGGGAGTAACAATTATAATTTATAAAGATGAGAAGGTTTGCAAAAAATATGTTTTTGATACCCAAAATAACTATTTTATGCGAACGAAGTCGCTGGCACAGATGGTTTATTTTTAAAATATAATAAAGGTATCTTAATTGCAGTTGGATATGAAAGAAATATGTTTTTCTATACCAAGTGAATAGTGCAAATGTCGTTTAATTTTGTGGTTATAAATGAAAGAAACTTGTACAGGGTGTCTTCGAAAGTGGCAAGTGTGGCACGGGATGATGTCGCGCGGAGCTCGTCACGCGCGCGCTACGCTCAGATTTGCGCCGTCTCGCGCACGTGTCGCTAGCCGTTCTCATACTGCTCGCCCGATGTGCGGCTCTCGCGATATACTACCTCTACCTGCGGCTCAGCAGGCACAGGTAGGGACGCGAGAATTCAGGACTATATTAGGGATAGGGAGGGACTTCCATTTATACTACGGTCTAAAATCAGAAGTAAAACTAAAACAAATGTTAACCACAGAATATCGAAAGTAACCAGTGTTCGATCTGTAAGCAGATTCTCGTGTAAGTTAACCAGCAGCGCAGTTGCAGTGACGTTTTGTTGTTTGGTATTCTCGTCTAATGTCAAACGGGTTTGCGTCAAGTTTGCGTGACGCAAGCGTGTATTTGACATTTCGCTGCCGTGTGTCACTTGACGCGAAGCTGTCAAATTAGGGGAATACCATTCAACGCTGAATCGAAACTCAATCGCAGCGTAACTGTAACCCGATCGATCGTCACAAAATGTAAAATCGGCCCGCGTCTGCAGGACAGTACAAAACCCCTCACTGTGAAGAGTAATAAGACGACATTGCATTACCAGTTTTAGTGTAAAACACAATACATACTCGCATGGATTACTGTTTAAAAATTACTTAACGGATAGACACAGTAACGAACTACATGTAGTCGTGTCTGCTTCGTGATAAACTCGTACGGTTTCTGTTTGTTTGTATTCTGTGGATTTAAATAACGAAATACTTCTAGGCCTACTAAAGGAGACTTGTAGCATGGAACTGAATATAGTCTAAGCATATATAGTGGATTCCTGATAATATTGTGATTTCAATTCATACTAACAAGGACTGAAATAATAAAACTGAATTATATTAAGTACGTCCTAAATATCCTATTTACGTTGCAGACAATAAGTGTGGTAACTACAAATTATAATTTAAAGCTATTCTGTATTGAGAACAAATAAGTATATCATTGTAGATTTTTAAATAAATCTAAAACATTATTAACTCTTCAAGAACTCCCCCCTCCCTCTCTGTCGTAGGTCCTGTTTATGAACGGTATCAAAGCGAAAACGGGTGTCTTTATTTTTAACCCTATGTCCTATTTTATTGACCCTCTTTACACAAAAGTGTACTGTGGGCACATATTTAACAAAAGTAACCTATATTCCTATTAAATTTGCTATGAAACAAATTGATAATAATTGCCCACGCGCATTTACACGAAAGTAAAGAGTGTACAATAATATGGTCATACATCGGATGTCCTTATTTGACCATTCCCTTGTTTTACTATTCCAATTTAATATAAAGTATTACAAGAATGTATGTATGTTCTTATATTCAATAATATTGAATAGGCTAATTACAAGGTCATATTGCTAATATAATTTAGTAACTATGAATAAAAATTAGTTTATGTTCTAGTAATATTTTATAAAAGTGTTCTGTATATTTGCGATATTGTTTGAGTCTTCCTTTAGTCTTGTATTTTTTTATCAATTGGGGACAATCCTTTGAGTAGCGAAGTGCTAAGCACTGAACTGCTTCTCTCTATTTGACTGTTTCGAGAGAATCTTCACTAATCTAGACACCTACATATTGTTTCCTCTTTTCTCTTTGTTTAGTGTGTCTTAGAAGATAAATGTATAAAGCACCCAGATTGAAATCTATTTTTGCATGTGACGAGCTCTGGAAATTTAGTTTAATTGTAGATAGGAATTTAATGAAATCAAACCCGTAGTTATATCCCACTAACGTAATTGTCTCGAAAATAGATATTTTTGTACTTTGTCCTCACTCGTATTAATACTTGCCTGTAGCTTTCTCGAGAACTTTATAGTTAAATTACCTTTAAGTTTTTGTTTTAGTATTCATTGTTGTGGTTGTGATTTTATTTATATCATTGGCACTGTATGTTTGCACTAATAAAATATAATTATAAAAAAATAATAACAATAGGCACAATGTAGTTCTGATTGATAGGCGTTGGTAATATGCTTATTTATCAATATTGTGTACTCAAAATCTAAACACCCGACGATTAAATACATGGCACTGTCACAAAATTGCCATAATGAAGCTAAATAAAGGTACAAAATATTCAGTACCTGGTTACACTTTTGAGTTTTAACGCGTTGCAATTCAGTATTGCCTTTTTGTTAGTGTGTTCAAATAAAGTAAATTAGAATATATTTAATTAAATATAGGGGCTTAATAAGTTACAAGGCCTTGTAGGTAGGAGAGATAAACTACTAAATAACCGAATTTAATAAAAAAAACATTACATGCATAGTATATTTTATCACTAATAGTATAATAATACATATTCGCCCTGAAGGATGATTTTATAATCTATCATACTTTTGTGATCATAATAATACTAGTATTAAGTATATGTTTATTTGTAAATATGAAAGTGATGTAACTTAATGTTCCATTATTGTGGTACAAAATGCATGTAGCACATTTATTTATACTATTTTATAATTTTACTGAGTTTATCTTAAAAACATTGTATGTAGTTGGTTCTTGCTTTTATTCCAGCTTGGGACCACAAATCAATTTTTTTAGATAGTAGGTAATAAAATAATTTAATCTAGATATTCAGTGTTAATTGAACTTGCAATAGAATTGATTGTTTTTGTGTATGCCAATTTATAATTGTCTTTTTTTAAATTTAAATAAAAAACAGTAATTTGCAAATTGCTAATTATTATTATTTTGGTTATATTAAACAAATTATATTTTGTTTCATAAAAAAAAATATTTTTATGTAATATTTGTTGTTATATATAAACTTTGTTCAACATGGTTATTTTGAAAAGAAAGGAAATCTTATGATGATATTATTTGAATTTGTTTCATGTAGCTTTCAAAGTGAAACTGTCTTTTAATCATATTGCTGTCGTCTTATAAAGCGAATGACAACAGAAGTGTATTACTATATTGGTATTTTAAAAAGTTGACTTCATAAAATTATCTTTACAATAGCTGTTAAACCTTAGATGTTGCATTTTTCTAAACAACCATGTGTAGCCTATATATGGAAATATTGGAATTTAAAGTTCTAGGTGTATTACATATTCATTGTGTATAAAAATTTGCCTTCACAAATTAAAGATGAATATTTATATGAAAGTATGGAAAATGTATTTATGGTGCTGGTAGTGTGTTTAACCGGCTGACAAATAGTTTTGTTAAGAAGAATAAAATGGAATGTTTTAATACCAATTTTATTATTTACAAATAGTACTTCAATCCTTTTCTCATGGTTGTGGACGTGGTTCATATCACCTCAGAATAGCGTCTAAATCAAAATTAGCAAAGCAAGAGAATTCATTTGCCAAATTATTCCGATGCTGTGGCTGAAACTCACATTGTTTTAGTTCTAGCAATTTTTGTACCTCTTCTTTCATTATTGTACCAGTACATAGCACAATTTTCTCTTTTGCCAATAGTTTAATAGTTTGAGATGTCTTTTCTAAGCATTCTTTTGAAAGGAATGGTGGATCAGCTATAACCAAGTCATAAGAGTGTTCTAGTCCCGGTAGCAGCTTATCAGGTGAGTTGTAATCATAAAAGATATAGTCAGGTGCATGAACTTCAAATCTTCTATCATATTCAAGTAGGGATACTGAAAGAGATAAACATTCAGAGAAAAATATTCCAAATTTCTTCATTTGCTAGAGCTTAATAAATGTGAAAATTCAAACTTACTTGATATTCTACTTTGTACATGTCGTTTAGCTGGCACAAAAAGTGTAGGACATGATATTAATGCAACCTTCCCACCATCCGGTACCGACTTATCAATAACTTTAACAAGAGACTGAATTGTTGCTTCATTGTACCAAAATTGGCTAAGTTGCTGAAATACATATTAGGACTTGTGTTATTAGAAAGACAATTAAACATTTTATTCGTTAAATTACAAAAAATCGATACAAACAAAAACACACCCAATTTTCTTCAAATATTATGTTTTCGTTCAGCTTTTTGTCAGCTTCTAGTTTATTTAAGATTTCATTTCGCTTTTCTTGTTCAGCATAGAATTCTTGTAAAGCGGCGAAAGTCTCAGCCGAAAGAGTTGGTACATCGTCGTCTTCCATTGTATTCAGGGAAAAATGGAAATAAATTACCTTGACAGTTATAAATAGGTTAGGTTTAGTTGCAAAAGATACGAGCATGGAGCGATTGCAAACATTATTAAAAGTGCTTTTTTTAAGTGTTTTCTAATTTCATCGAACTATAAATGGTATGTTTTCACTTTTTATTAAAAAAAACAACTGTTTTTAATAATTGAGGTAATTCACACAAGTAAATAAACAAACCTTTAGGTTATTAACTTAACGTTATGGAGCGCCTTTTGTTTATTATTTTTTTACATTTTGAACTTTATATAATATGACATTGACTTATGTCAATGCGACATTACTGATTTTATTAGACGCATTTAATATTTTGGTAGAATTATTATGTATTAGATTTACAAAGTCTACTAATATTTATGATTTTTTGAGACGTTTAAATGTCTACAAAAATACAAAGAGTGCTACACTGCACTCACTTACTCTCTTTATTTGAATATTTATTCCTTACCACATTTGTATTTTATATTATTTCCAGTTAAACAGTCATGGATGTGACTGACCTGCAAGTTTTTCCGCTTCACAAACACCCTCAGTACTTAGAAGCATGCTGTGAAATGATAAATGAAGAATGGCCTAGAAGTAGGACAGCTAGAATGTTGTCTTTAACAGCGTCATGTGATAAACTACCCACAAGTTTAATACTTATTGATAGTAAATTCAGCTTACTCGGTCATGCTAAGCTTACTTGTCTCCCTAGTATACCAAATAGTTGTTTTTTAGAAACTGTTGTTATAACAAAGACAATGCGAGGAAAAAAACTTGGTACTTTTCTGATGAGAGAAATTGAAATTTACTGTAAGAACATATTAAAGTTAGAAATGATTCATCTATCAACTAAGGGACAAGAGCAGTTTTACAGTAAATTGGGCTACGAGTTATGTCCCCCAGTTTCTATATATGGGAACCCAATGAATATTTCAAAGACTGATTTATTAAGTTCAGAAAAAGTATTGCCTCAAGAAAATAGTTGCATACCACCTCCTCCTCCCATGCCTAAACCACAGAGTATTACGTCTTCTAACATTAAGTCTAATAAAACCTATATGTTTAAGTATTTATAGTATGTAATGTTTTTAGTTTTTATTACCCTTTTAAATTATTATAATCAAATAAAGTTAGCATTGTCAACTGAATTTATTAAATTAGAATGTCGCTTTATTAACATATTCTAGCGCTTTTTGTCGTATTTGCTCAGCTTGCTCCTTGTCGCCATATTTCTCTTCAACTTCAATCCATTTTTTGAATAACACCTTCATTTTTCGTGCTGGTAACTTGTGCGCTGTCATCCTTTCCAATACTTGCCTGAAAAAATAATTGCATACAAAATATTTTTTTATATACTTTACTAGCGATGTGTTTTTTTTTAAGTTTTTAAATACATATATGTATGTAAACATATTTATTAAAGTGAATCTTTATAGAAACATTAACGTCATACCTTCTATACTTAAGGACTATCATAATGTCTTGCTTATTTTGACCAAATGATGGTAATAGAGGTAGATAAAAACTTACCTGATCCGTGTAACATCTCCAGTCTTTAGCAGCATGTCAACATACGCGCAGCAGACGTCCACACGCGCTGGGTAAACTGCAAGTACCTGCTCGAATAGAGCTTCAGCCCGCTCGCGTTCTCCAGCTGTTCGTTCCAGCTGAGCGAATTGAACTAGCAGTGGCACATCTAAAAAACAATTATTATATTAATATGTAATATTAATCATGTAATAAACTTTACTTTTTAATTAAATTCGGTTAGTACTATATGTTTTTATTAAATTAAATGTTTTTCTTATCATTGAGTGGTAGTTTATTCTCAATATGGAGTTTTTACGTAAAGTAGTAATAACTATCTCCGCGTTGAGACATCTGGGCAAAATATTAGAATAATCTCACATAAATATCCATTACTTCGATAAAGTAAGTTTATATGCCAGAGGTCCTGGGGACTGAAATGAAATCATTGACTTCTGCTCCATGCCCCACGACTCACTAGGCGTAATGGGATTTCATAACTATATTATTTAAACAGAATATATGTTGATTTAATTGCGGTACAGTCTTTTTTCAGTTTAGTAATAATAAATAATAAAGTTTTTTCTTAAACTAACCTGAAATTAGTTTATTTTGTATCTGTAAAATAGTATGTCGCAATATACTCACGTTGCTTCTTCTCAAGCGCAGTCATTCCCTTCTGCATAAGTTGCCTGGCTTTATCCAACAGGCCCGCCTTGTAACACGCACCTCCACAGGCCGTGTACATCTCCACTTGCTGACGGTATTTCCTCTGCATTAGATCACAGAGCTGCGCCAGCTCCTGGTACTTGCTCGTGTCAACTAAGATCTCTAACAGTTTACTGTGCACCTGGTACTTGTCGTTCATTTGGAGAGCGTCTTCGAGGGTTTTTTGTTGAGTTTCCTAAAAAAAACATTTATTTAATTAAAAAAATGATTCATATAGATTCCTATATTCATTGTAAAAATATTGTGAGTGAATAAAAAAGGGTGGACCTACATCCACATTTGAAGAACTGTAATATAAGGTATATAAGACAAAGTGAATTCGTAAATATCGATAAAGGCGTGTTATTTTTACCTTAGTACCGAAGCGATGTTCCAAGTTGAGTAGAGCTATCCACACATTGAGTCGTTCTTGTTCCTCACGAAAGTTGATTGTTGTAAGAGCTTTACGGGCTACACCGCGAGCTCGTTCTATCTCTGTTGACTGTACAATATGATATCTTTGAGTAGATATATTAATTTAGGCCGTAAAATATATAATTATTAAAATAATAAATATAAAGCAATGATGTGAAAATTATATTCATTCATATTTATACATAAATTGCTTAAGCGTATTATATAACAACACTTAGTTCTGAGTCTCAGAACATTGCTATTATATATTTTGTCGTAAGTAAGTACCTGTAGATGGAAGGCCATAAAAGCAATCCACAGCTGGCTGCAGTCTGGGCTCGCTAGCAACGCACGCTGGAATTGTTCGACAGAGCGCGGTTCATTTTCACTCTCAATCGCTTTCTTCTCCATTTCCCTTATCCTCTCTTCTTCTTCTCTGGCCTTTGTCGCTTTCTCCGACGATGTTAACTTCTTGCGCTTCTTTTTAGGTTTTTCTTCTTCCTATAGGGAGACAATAGGAATATGTGTAAAACGATTTTTAGCTTTCGAGTGTGAAGTTAAAGTAATTCGAAAAATATGCAAATGATGTAAATATAAAACAAAGGTGGGTATCAGACCTAAAACATAGCTGTGACGTCACTATTTATTGATGTACAGAGTTGCAGTGTCAATCGAAATTTCAATTTTTTAACATATACATATGAACAACGAGTGCATTTTGCTTTCCAGCGTTAGGAAATGTCCGTCCGCGTCGCGTCCGCTACATGCCCGAAAATTTAGAATTCCGCATGTAGCGGACATTTTATAATTTAAGCATCGAATCGACTTACCTCATCTTCACTGCTACTAGATTCTTTTGCCTGAATTTTATTCTCAACTGGTTTTTCCACAGACCAGAAGTCCTTAGCACTGGGTACTTCAATTACAGGTTCCAATTTGTCTAATACTTTAACTTCTTTTATTTTTTGTTTCTTCTCTTTTTTATCTTTTACGATTTCGGATTCTACGTTCTCTATCTTTTCATCTGAGATTTTGTCATCCTCTATATTTTGATCTTCCGTTTTCGAATCACGCAACATCTGTTGAGCTGACTTGACTGTGTCTAATAATTTTGTCATCTCTTCTTCTATTTTTAAGCGTTCTATGTGTAAGTCAGTATGCTGTTTTTTATTTTTTGGACTTAAGCCTTGGTCTTCTAATGTATTTATCTCATTTACGATCGTATCAAGATACCTTGCTTTTTTATTTACAAATTTTAATAATTCCGTTATTCGTCGAGTCAATTCATCACGGCTTGTACAAATAGACAGCTCAATAAGGTAAAGATATCTCTGGTTAATTTTTTGTTTTATATCTTCGCGGTTGTCTGTTATTTCTTCACTTTCCTCTGTTTTTCTTTCTTTCACTGTCTTATTTTTCTTCTTATCTTTACCACTTTCCGCCTTTATGGCAGAGTCTATGACCTCAGTTACTACCGGCTGGTCCTGGTGTTTCTTTTTTTCTTTTTTAGCTTTAGTATTATCGTCATCAACTATTTCATCACTTCGATCATCATTGATGGACATTTTTGGTTTCTTGGAAGATGTTTCATTATCATGACTCTCTTGTTTACGCTTATTGTTTTTTGTTTCCTGAAATAATAGCAATGGAACTATAAACTGCGCCATATAAGACTACGTGTTTTATAGATAGTCGAAATATTTATACATGTCACTTGTTAGTATCAACCGAGAAGAATAGCGAATATAAACTTACAGGGTCAAATGGGACATGGGTTAGACTCGCGACAATTTTCTTTTCTTCACTATTCACAAACAATATAACACACGTTACCTGCATGATAAAAAAACACGCTGTTAAATTAAATAATATTCTTTTAAGGTGTGTAAACATTTACAAACAAAAGTTAATAAACAATACGCTAGAAAGATTAACTTCTTTTTTACTTACAAGTTGTCCAAGATGGAAAGAATCCTTGGTATTCTCGGACGGATCTTTACTCACAAATTTTCTCGGAATAATTGCCTTTATATTGTCGAAGAACGTCACCAGCAGGTACTCGCGTATATACTGAATAAAAGTTTTATGTTAACATGAGCAATATAGTAATTTGATAGTTTTTTTTAAATATACAATATATTACTTTAGTTTTTCTAACTGTATCATATTAAACTGTAGGTACATCGCATATTTAAAAGCCTTCATTAGACTTAAAAAATGTTGTCATTTCCCTAATCTTCGATTCGACATGACTCTTAACAAACCAACCTTACAGAAGCAAATGATTTCTTAATAACCCATGAAGGTAAATCTCTATTTTGTATAACATATTTCTATGAATATTTATTATTGAAAAATCATTTACCGATACAACTCCAGTGAAAGCTTTTCCAGCTACAGCGTCTTCGAACTTGAGCAAAACGAGCGTGTCTTTAGATAAAAGGGTCGGCTTGAGTGTTAGTACAGCACTGTGTTTCAAGTGGTCTAGATTTAATACGCGAGCCTTCACCTCTTGTCCTACCTAAAAACATATAAAAGATAATAAAGCAAAGAAGACATATGTATAATATAATCAAACTAGCTGTGTCTGCGACTTTGTCCGCATGGAATAGTGACTTGGGGTAGAATTTTTAATTATTTAGGCTGTTTATTAATATATGTAAGGGCGCATTTAAGCCAGCCAATCTGTTATAAGTGCTACTTTACCGCAACACTCTCACCTCACATCACTTCTACTCTAACTCCCACTGTCATTCCTACACTCACTTCCACTCCCAATCGCACCCCCACCCCCACGCCCACTCCCAAAAAGCCAAAAAAGAAAGTTTCATTGTTTTAGCTTCAAAAACCACGAATTTCCATACAAACTCATCCCATTTTTCACCCCCTATCAACCCTTTCTTCGCATTAAAAAAGTAGTCTATGTCATTTCTCAGGCTCTAAAATATATGTGTACCAAATTTTATTTAAATCAGTTTCGGAGTTGGCGGGACAGACAGACAAGAGTTACTGTCGCGTTTATAATATTAGTATAGATTTATGTATGGAAACATTCAAACCTTGAATTTCTTTTTTGGTAGTTTTGAGGTGCTTGCCTTCTTTGGGTCTATAAAAATGCCAGCATCTGTCATATGTGTCTGATGTACAAAACCTGCAAAGTTATCATTATTTGCTATCTATTTTTTTTCTTACTATCTTTAATTATTGTAATAGTAGTTGTTAAAACTTACTAATCCTTACAGGAGTTACCTTCCACCACTGCCAACTTGTGGGTCGGTAATAAATTACAATGTAAGCAACCAAAAATACACTTACCTTGAATTCTGCCAATAGTAGCTTTAAGATAGGTGTCGGTTACACTTGTTATAGTTGCCGACACCATTTCGCCCACACTGAGTTGTGTAAGTGAGAAGTACTTCTCGTGAAGTATATTTGGTTGGTCGGTCACCGAATAAACGCGGTCTAAGAAATGGTAACACATAACACGAACTTTGTGGGTGCTACCTAAAAAGGTTAAAAAAGTCTGTTCTGTTATTTTATCTTATCTTTACGTTTTTAACTATGTTTCCAAAAAAAAGTTTTTAATATAATTTACATGCAATATGATTCGGTATTGGTACACTTAAAAACACTTGTAATTTGAAATATAATTGTTTTAAACGATGTTTTGTATCTCTAAAAGATACTCATATTAAGTACTCTCTATAATTTACGGGAGTAGTACACATTTAAAGATAACGCTTTAACGGTTTAAAATTCGAAATGTCTTAGTTAACCACTGAAACCATTCAAAGTGTTTTTTTAGATATTTATCTTAAATACTGTCTAGTTATTGCGAGTAGTACACTTTTAAATAACACAGTTTAACGGTTTAACTAAAATATATCGCATTTTAAACCGTTAAAGTGTTTTATTTAAAAGGCATTTATCTTACCAATGGAATAAGATTTCGCAAGCACTTCTTCATCAGTTAGATCTTCTTGGAGTTTTAAACTGCGTATGCTAAGAATACCAGTATTACCAGGACTCAATTTAAAGTATACACATCGACCGAGGATTTTCAATACCTAAAAGTTAAAAGTCTTTTATAGATTAAACGTTAGTATAGTTCTTATAATATCATGTTTTTGCTATCATATATTTAATGATATAAATAAGGCCAAAAGATTCTATTTTAAAAATTAATATATTCTAAGAATAATAAGTTGTATAATATATAAAGTAGTTGACTGCCCCTGTAGACAAATGGTAAAACGTTTGCCTAGCATTGCGTTATGCGCTAGGGGTTCGGATCCCAGGGGAAGAAAAAAGAAATTTTCAGTCCGGTAGGGCACAGAAATCTGATCAACTACTTGCCTGTTAAAAAGAACTGATCAGTGAAACGGACACAGAAATGTATTCGGCCTATGCCTCACGAAGGGGAAACGGGATTCACAGATAATAAGTAGTTCCGATTAACATATTTTGTAAAATGTTACTTATGTATTACTTATTTCCTATTATTTACAATCTCAAACAAAAAATGCGATAAGCTATTACGAGAATTGGTGTAAGGGTAGATTTTACTGAGATGTGGAGGGTATTAAAGAATATTCCACATTCAAGTATGTATTTGCAATGTTGCAACAACCAAGCAACTAGAATTGTGTGATTATTTGAAATTCAATTATTTGTTTTATTTTGATAGGATTAAAACAATACGTTAATATTTTTACCTGGGCCTCCTCAACAATAGCTCCTTCCTTGTACTGTTGTTCTTGACCTATATCCATACAGGTTGGGTCGAATATGTCCTTCATTGTTAAGAACGGAACGTTTGTTGGTGATAGTGTATACAGCAGCCGCGCTCTAATCTAAACAAAAATAAATAATATAATTATACCTGTTACATGTGCATTTTACCCCTCTTGCCCTTCACCTCGCTCAAAACAATAAAACGGAAGCGCAAGCAGAGAACGAGGCTTCTCGGACGACATCCACAAATCGTTTCGATCGATTCGCGAGCTAGTTATAAGAACTTAATTATGTTATTTTAATAAAATATGTTTTTTTTTATGGTTCACCGATCGCCCTCGCTTAATTTACCTAATAGATGTTTTCAAAGAGGTTATGTGGTTTCGCCATCACAAGTATTTATTCAAAGTTTTTAAAGAAGTGAAATCTGACAGGTGTTGAATCCGCCATCTTCTTAATGTAATCTTCTAAGATTAAATATATATTCTTTACCTTCGCTCCAAGCGCGGGTTTCTTTTTGGTGTCAATATGATGCCTCTGTATGTACGAAACTCGATCTCCAAATATACAACCCTCTATTCCGTTATCTAGTGCCTAGAATGACAAAATTTTACCAAAACTGGTCAAGTCACAAGGGTACAAAATATTACACACACATTATAAAATTGAATTTATCTGTGTTTATAGATAGACCTTATAAAAGATATTAATGTTTACCTTATCAACAATAAAGTCAACAGCTGTACCAGGTTGTAAGGTGGTAGTCGGTATCCTCTGGAAGGCTTTTTGCAATGTTGCTGTTTCATTTGTTAGAGTAAGCACACTGTTGTCAGGAGACTGCTGGATTGATTTCACACTGCACCATATCACCATACCAACATCTGATGAAGAATGAAAATAGCTGGTTAAATATCATTATACTATATAGACGTAAAAAGAGCAATAGTCATATTAAAGAAAATGGACATAATTTTTATTGTTACTTACCATACTCCACATCTGCATTAGCTGACTTTTTAGGAAGAAAAGCTGTTGTGCTCTGTATTCCTGTCTCCATTATGTATCCATGATCCTCAACTGATGACACAGCCACTTGGAGTAGAGCACCTATATAAGTATTAATAGAGAAGGAAATGGGATTACAAATACGTTTAATTTCTTAAGCCTCATTCAATATAATACAGTAAGGTGAAAAAATTATTTATTTTCTGAAGAAAAACCTTTGAATATTTTAATAATATGTTGAACCAACAAAATGCAACTTAGAGTTACTTCATAGCTATTTGTTACATCTGAAGTAATGTCAAAAGAAACTTATTATATTTAATGGAATAGGGTGTAATAGTCTTTGAAAGAGACTGTATGACTCTTAGTCCACTCATTGTACCAAACATTTACCCTTATGCAAATCTCCATGTTTCCTAGTACTGTTAATGTGTTGTGGCATCATTGTCAACATAAGTGACTGGTCCCTAGCTTCTAAAGCTTTAACACAAACATATTGGCCAGGTTTGAACATTTTTGACAGGTCTGTAATTTTATCTATCTGTAATCAAAATAAATTTTATTGAATTGTAAGCAAAGTTAGTACATAACAATTTGTTTTATTTTGATAGATCACAGACACCCATACCCAATTTCAATATAAATACACAGTAACTCAGTAAAGTAGACAGAAAATGAATACATATTTTAAGTCACTTATTTTTAGGGTGGTAATGTCCACAAGTATAAACAATTTAAGTAAAGTAAAGTAAATCCTTCAAGAATGCCCTTTAATTTGACTCAAGTAAAAAAAATAATAAATAAACAAAAAATAAGTAAACTTACTTTATCTTCAACAAATGCTTCTAATTGCTTATTATATGGCTCACTGATGTGACAAGCCATAACGTCACCAAAAAGTCTACTTGGCAATGAGACCGATAATTTGGTATCTTTCACTTGAGCCACTCGACCCAACATAAGAAAGTCTTCCTTAACTACCTATAAAAAGCACATGTATGTGTCAGTAAATAGAAAAGATGTGAATATATCACATGTATAAGATGGTATTTAGTTATGTGTGTACCTTATAACTAAGCCACAGCCCACAAGTTTTATATGATATTTTGTCTTCATCCTGTCCACGTTCCTCAGACAAATAACCATCATCTTCTTCTGATTTTTTCTTCTTATCTTTCCTTTTCTTCTTTTCTTTCTTTTCCGCAGTCCCTAAAAACTAAAAGGTTGTTCAATTGTAGCACCATACAATTTTTATAAAGTCTAATGATCAAGCTAAATGCAATTCAGTGTAGATATTTACGTTGGAGCTTTGGACAAAAGTAGTAGTTGCTGGTTTTTTGCCTCCTCGAGGAAAGTATTCTTCAACGTCAGCCATTTGTATCTATCACTGATTAGTTTATTGTTTTTAATAAATCTTCTTAAGTATACTGTATACTAAACAGCTATTCAACAGTTAACATAAAATAATTAGTAGTTCGGCATTTTTGTACAGCTTTGTTGACATGAACAAGGCATGAAGATTTTAAGGTTATTTCTTTATTAATGTCACAGTCTGAAAGGCAGGTGTAACAACATTTAACCACACACGTCAAACAGGAGTGGTGTTGTCAGAATCATAAATGTCAATTGTCAATGATGAGCGAATGAAATTGAATGATCAATTAATCCAAAGACAAAACGTCCCCTTAACAGTGACAGCAACAAAAAAATGACAGCCATAGAATTACACAACAGTGCCGGTTCTCAGCTGATTTTCTTGTATAAATTACGGCGTATGAGGCGAAGTTGAATTGATTTGAACTTATATTTTGTTCAATAACATTGTTATAATTGAGAATTATAATTTTTCATTCACGGCTAAAATCGTTCTTTAACTTCAGTCAATCAGTTTGATAACGTAAGACGTTCATCGCACATGATATTGCGATCATTTCTCGGTTTGTCTGATGCTAGATAACCTTCTAAATTGATTAGATATAGAACCGTAAGATTTCCGATTAAGTCTTAGTTAGAACTTGTTAGTGATTTGAGAACGCACGTATTTTTGTAGGAACCATGAAAATCGTAATTTTCGGATCAACCGGCATGACTGGCCTCTGTGTGGTCGAAGCTGCGTTAAAAAAAGGTAATTTATTATTATTTTTTACTTCACTAGCAACATTAATTGGCCCATACATGTTTTTTTACTGCTTTAAGTATACATGTATATTCGCTTCTCGTGAATCTTTATATAGGCATAGTATTCAAAGCTTTTTACAATAACTTAATATTCAAACTATTTATTTCGAATGATTACCATTGTGTTATTAAGACTTCTTTTATATTAAGTTATTTACTCAAGGTTATAATATACAGTGAGCATAAAAAATGAATGATGTGATTAATTTATATTTTGTTTCAAGAGAATAGCACAGGAAAATCACCAGTCATTGTGTGGTGCTTATGAGTTAATTCAAATCTAATTAATAATTCACTAGTTTAAATTATGTAAATGTAGTACAGGTTATTTCATTAAAATGTTGAAAAAAGTTCAAATGTTACAAAATTATTTTGGGTTAATGACACAAACTAAATTAATTCTAAGGACTATTAATTAAATTAAATAGGAAATTGTTTAATAAGAGGCAAGTTTTAGGTATTTTCTTAACCTTATGAGGTTACATTTTTTCCTTGCCAATTTCGTTACATTTTTAAATTCGATTGATAAGTAAAAACATAATAGTATGCTTTTTTTTAGTAGCATTTGTTTTTGCAACCTAGAAAAAAGTATCCACAATATATGTGTTAAAGCGACAAATCGCGAAACAAAAAAATTTACAAAAATTTGGTATTAAACATATATCCTTATGTTCCATTTCTAAGAATGTGTCCTTAAACATTATTTAGTCCTTATAAAAGCATGCACTTCTTGTTGCACTTCCACAGCTGTAATAGTTTGCGAAAAACGTTTGTATCGCGCTAAAACAAAAAACCTAATCTAAGAAGAGTATCATGTCCAGTATTACATTTTAACTTAAATAATATTATATTTTTTACATAGATTGTTTGTTTCTGGATATATGTAGTTTGAAATTGTTTAAACGCGATCTCTTGGCTCTCTAGCCTTAAGCGACGCCGAGGGAAACAGTTATTCAATAAGACTTTCCACCTATTACCATTTACAACAATAAAATAAACCTTCTCACCAGGATATGAAGTGCGAGCCTTCGTTAGGGATCCGTCCAAATTTCCAGAAGAGTTGCAATCCAAAGTCGAACTCTTCAAAGGAGACGTATTAGAAGCCGATTCGGTTACGAACGCTGTTGAAGGTACAGATGGGGTCATCATAGCGTTGGGTACAAGGGGTAACCTGGACCCAACGTCGGACATGTCTGAAGGTACGAAAAACATCATAGATGCCATGAGAGGCAAGCACGTGAATACTGTGTCAGCGTGCATATCAGCCTTCCTGTTCTACGAAGAGGATAAGGTGCCGGAGAGATTCATTCCTGTCACGAAGGATCACAAGAGAATGTACGAAGAGTTGAAGGGGTCTGGTGTCAACTGGGTTGCCGTTTTCTCGCCTCATATTTCTGGTAAGTCTTTCTACTACTAAAATTACAGGAACATCATTCAACCCAACATAAGGAGGCAAATTATAAGTAAGGGTAAAAACTGATGTTATAATGTTTTAAAGGTATATGAAATTCCCTATATAAAGTTTACCTATATAACGCTACGACACCCTTCAGCGCGATATCTTAGAAAAAAAACAACAGTAATTGTTTATTCAATCGACCTCGAGAAATGTTACGTTTTACGCACGTCGCAAAGGCGCTCTTTGCTAAAATAAACCAAAAAGTAAAAACATAGTAAAAAAACTTATGCTTTAACATTTAACGTGCGTAGTTTAAAAGGGCGTTTTCTTATTTAGTTAATGGCACTTATGACGTCATTCACTTTGACGCATTTATTGCAGTTATGTGGTAACACCAGTTTTCGAAAAGTTATTTTTGAAACAGCAAACGGTCATTGGTTCTCATTTTGAGTTGCAAAGTGAAAGGGTAGTAAAACTTATTTAACGAAATCAAGTATTTTTATGTTTGTAATGTGTTAGACAAGTTTACAGTTTCAGTTTATTTGTGTTAAGGCTTGTAGTAACGCTATTTTAGTAGCTAAGACATATATCCTCTTAAAATTTGTAAATAGCACGACACTAAATAGACATAGAGTAAGAAAAGTTAGTTTAATATGGTCAGTTATTGTAAAAATAAAACATTCTGGACTAGAACTCTATGAAAACAAACAAAACCGTGTTTGCTGTATGGCGAAAAAACTTATCTTTCTTGCCTCGGTTCACGCGGAACCCTCAAAATAAAAACGCAATAAGAAAAGTTACTGGTACAAAGCTATTTTTGGAAAGTTTTCGGTCAATGATCTTTTTAAGCGCAAAAGTTATTTTGGGAAAAGGGTCAAGATAAGATTACGAAACCTGTACATTCGCGACTCATTTATTGATGTTAAAGTTATTTTTAGATGCATATTTTGCAATATGCATTATAAAACAACTGTACTTTTTAGGTCGCGAGATATTTTTGGAGTGTTGCATTGAAAGTTATTTTTGGAACTTTATGTTAATGTTTGTATGGCACACTCAGTAAACCTTTGTTGGTAAACTAATGACCGGTTTTTAAATTCGAGTATATTTAATTGGTTTTATTTATTAATTTATTGGATTGTTAAATAACAATTTCAAATTCTTCTGATGTGTGAATCGCCAACTTTCTTTTATTATTATGTAAGACCAATTTTAACACATTTTGGTTTGTTCATCGTAGTAAATTCGCTTCAAGCAGGCATTATCTTACAAGTCGTGGTTCTCTATCTATCATTGATAAAAATGTATCGATATAAATTTGACTTAGATATACCCTTTAAAATTGTAATCAGTACCGATGCTGTACTTTGTTAAAGTGGATCTATTTCTCACTTCACTACTTAAATATTTTATTATCAGTTTCCTTTCATGTAGATTGTAGGTAAATGCTTCGTGACCAAAGCCCAAGTTTCAGTAAATTAAAAATCTTTCTTGGCGGAAAAAATATTTTGACGCGGGGTCGTAAAATTCCATAACCACTAATTGCTTTGATTTTATGTGTAACACGTGATGGCATATTAGATACCTAGACTTGTAGTGTTGTCTTTAGTAAAACGTGATTTATCTTAAAATATTTATTTTTCACATTGTAATATTTTCCGTAGCCTATATGTTTGTTCGTTGCAACAAACAAACAAATACTTTTTTTCACCACAATGTTACAGGATAAACTTAATTAAAAATTAACAAAAAGTAGCGAGAAAAGGCGGCCTTATCGCTAAAAAGCGATTTCTTCCAGGCAACCTTGAAAATGGAGATTTGCAACCTAGAATAGTGAAATCTTTCATAGAACAAACTCAAAGTCAAAGAATTTATATAAAATTTAAATTATAATATATAATAAAAAAAATAATGATTGATGGTTTAAGAACACGAAATCACGACACTGGTATCGTGTTACAGCTATTTGAAACTTCCTTAAACTTCGCTCGACCCTTGACCGGGACGATAATGTGTCCCATACCTCACTCGGGATGCGGGACTTAACTATATGTATGCTAGACGTTATTGTTTGCCGGCTGTTACTTAGATTCGTTCGTTTGTTTGATTGATCGCATCCGCTTAGGATGTCCTGTCATACGATCATTGGTGCTTATATTCAATTTTAAACAATTGCACTAACATTGCATTGCATTTTGCACTTATCACAAGTGGTCTGTTTTGTGCGATAGTAACGATTTAGTATAATTAAACTACTACTAGTACTAGGCACTGTCTCGATAGACTAGTGGCTAGTACACTCGACTCGAGGTACTAGCCAGTAGACCACGATATTATTTGAAATGTTGAAAAGAAACCTTCTAGTATCGGGGCCACCCTGTAGTTTGGAAGTAGGTAGACCTCGGATATCAGGTTAAAACGCCAGATCCTTCATTAGAAACCTCTGTGTGAAGAGTCTGAACTTTAACGTGAAGGGTTCAAACAGATGTTTGCGAGATGTGCCCCTCTGTAGGATGTAAATAATGAAAAGCATACTAACCGAATCTTAATATATAAAAAATGTTTGAAAACTTTATTATTTTTTACATGCACATGAAGGCACTATATAATTTTAATAAATCGAAAATAAAGTGAAAAAAATTTTGATTCGGGCAGGACTTGAACCGGCATCGTCAGCGTTCCGTGGTGTTGCTCTACCAATTGAGCTACAGAGTCCTATTTTTTCAACTTATTTTCGATTTTTAAAATATAAAAAATGGTCAATATTGGTATTATACAAATAAACATCCAACAAATGGATGAACTATAAACTGGAGAACGGCCCATTTTAAATTCCATAGACCAATTTTACTATACTATATTATACAAATCATATAATATAATAGTTCTAATAACTATTATATTAACTCATAAAATAATTAATCAAAATGAATATTGATGTCGTGATGATAAAGAAAACAAAAGATTATGGGTGACAATATAACTGTTGGGTTTAATTATGTTAAGCGTTTGAAAATTCTTAATTAAAAGGAAGTTGATGAAAGTTCTTAATTGAAAGAATGTTGTCCTTTCAATAGGGTAGGTATACCTATTATACATTCTTAATTACAATTCGAATACGCAATTGTATTTTTCTAATTCCAAAGAACCGTCTAAATTCATTCCCGCACTAATTGGTATTCTGTGGGCTACTGGTCTTATTTATTCTATATTGTCACCATACTTTAATAGAATGGCTATTTGGCCAAAGCAAATATTGACGCTTGCCTGACGTGTGGGATTTTAATTAAAATTAATTTAAGTAAATTAATATTGTTGTGAATAGGTACTTAATTATAATTGTGAGCGAAACAATGTGGCAATTTATTTCGTTCACATTTTTAATAGAATAAAAAGTTGAAATGCAATGTCATTTGCCTCACGTGCCAGTAATAATAATATACGGGCTATATAACTTAATTAGCACGTGAAACTGTTAGTATACAGGAACTTTTAACATTAAGATTTCTAGGAAAAGATGAGATTTTTACCAGCGGTTTTTAAATATTTGAATCTAAATTAACAGCTACATAAATGCAAGCTTCGTCGAGTTCTTTAGGCATAAAGAACAACAAAATACGATGAACTTTGCATGTTTAATATCAACGTATCCTCGTATTCCCAAGAAATTTAAATAGAATGACACAAATTTTTCCCTGAGAACAACTAATAATAACATATTATAATTACATATCTTTTATTTACAGACGATCCAAGCCGGGATATCATAGTGGAGGTAAACCCAGAAAAGTCCCCTGGCCGCGCGGTGTCCAAACATGACCTTGGAAAATTCCTTGTCGACTCTCTCACCGAACCGAAATACTATAAAGCTGTGATAGGTTTGTGCAATGTACCTAAAGCCTAAACTATCGATGAAACAAAATAATAATGATATATATAACAATCAATTGTTTATAACAAAATTTTGGACAAAATAACGCATTTTTTTATGGAAATCATATTTTATATACTGTGAAGACGGAAATGATATTCACTAGAATTAGTTTTTTCGCATTTTGCTGGTAAAAATCTATCGTAAAAAGGAACTTATGTTGTAAATTTTTATATTTAATTTTGCAATACTAAATCATCAATTGAGTCCCTAAACCTATAAAATGTAGGTTGTATTGTTGTGAAAAGTATATATTATAATTTAATGTTAATTTATTAAGAGTATATGAAACAGTATTTGAAATATGTTCATTTATTATATCCTCAAATTTCAAGTATTTAAAATATTTAGGTATGTCTACCTATGTCATTATTTAATATAACCTCAAATCCATGTGTTACCTTACCAATTTTATTTATCTTAAGGAATTGATGACAAAGCTATTTTTAGGTGGCTCATGACAGTTTGTATTTTTATTTTAAGTTAAAAACTCTACTCGGTTGTACAAATGCATTTAAAGTATTTGAATATACCTCGTTGGAAAAATATTGTTGTTTTTTTTTACTATATTTTTATTTTAACTAGTATTTTTTTAATTTCTTAACACATACTTTTTGATAATAGATATCGAATGAAAATATAGAAATACATCGTCACGCAAACGCTAATTGAAGGTAAAAAATATCCGTTATAACAGAATTAACACTGGTCTATAGTATGGAATTGTATTTGATTATATATTTTTTTCTCATTTTAAAACATTTTAAGAATTATTACTTATTACCAATGTTTTCTTCTGTAAGTGAAACGCTGAAATAATAGTACTTATTGTTGATTAGTTATTTAACTTATCATAATTTTATATCTAAGTATATTACAAAAAAAAAACACAACTGAATTGATTTTAAGTATGTATTTTTAATATTCGCAGTCCTGACTTTTTTGACCTCCGTATTTTCTCTCACATGACAATATCTCCGTTCTCACGATAATAAAGAATGTTATCAGCGATAAAGTATTAAATCGATTTCAAAGTAGGTAGTAAAAAATACAACATAGACTTTTTTTAGTTATTAGGTACTAATACGAAGATTCCAATAACCTAAAAACATAGTTGGTTTATTTATATCCATATTATGTCATATGTTAACCATTACCTAATTCTCTTATTAAGATGATCATAACAAATAAAGAAAAGCTTTTAGGCAATCTCAAACACATTGGTCACGCGGTCGAAACAAGTTTTCAATATGTGCCCATGAAGTGTACCTAGTATTGGGAGCCTAATTAAAATTATTGATTCTAGAGGTCAAGCACGCGATTAACGTCAAACATCAATTAACATACATTATAACGTACTTTTAAAGTAACGCCGGAGATTTGTTAAAATTGAAAGTCAATAGAGAAATAATATTTTAATTAGTTACCATTATATCGTTCTGTTCCTTAATTATCATGTCGAAACTATCAGAGAGCATTGTTGGAGTGGACGCAAAAGTCTTCGATTGCAACGTGCTTGGGTAAATATCGGTACCGCTAAACACAGAAAGTGGACTAAAGTTCCAATCTTTCATAAATTTGGAGTTAAAGTTTAGTCTTCCGTCACTCGAAAACGATTCTATTGTCCAAGAGCTTAGAGTTGCTGATGAGCTGGACAGTTTCTCCAATGGCGGAATTAGGACGCTTCCTCGTGGTATGGTACTACTATGAAACAGGGTTAACGTATTTCTACTCGTGCTCACAAAATCAATACTTACAGGACCATATGATGACGACGTTTTAGGATCGAAAGACAATGACGATAAATAGATCAGGCCACTGCTCGAACTAGATGTTAAAGTACACGTGTCCCCAGAAGATACTGTCTGAGATTCCCACGATTCTGTAGTCCAGGGTGTGGAGATCATACTCAATGTGTCGTTAGTGGTAAAGGAAGATTCTAAGAATGTTTCACTCGCCACGGAAGAGGTGGAGTTTTGCGTACGTGAAATAGATCTAGACGACATACTTGGTGCACTCTTGGATTTCCCTGTAAACTTGTTTCGACTTCGTTTAACAGCTTTTTTAGGGACATAGAAGTTACCATTCGATACCATATTACACGTTCATGCTGTGTGAATTTTGGACATTGCCGTTATTGGATAGCAATTTGTAGCAATCTCTATCAACCAGCGGTACTCTTGGATAGTGTTGTACACATCTAGCAATAATTCCAATGGATACATTGTTAGGGGATCAGACAGCCCCTGTGTATACTTCTATTTCTTTCATACAATTGCTAGTGGTAAAGTTACATAATAATTTTGATTGTTAATGTTTTGTTCTACAATATTTTGTCCATTTGTGCTTTACGTTTTTGATTTGCCTGTGACATTCGATCGATTGCCCTGATCCATAGATAAGCTAGACGTGAGTATTGCAATCTTAAACTCTATGGCATTTAAAAAAAGGTTTTAACCACTTTTTGGTTAAACTAAACTTCTTGGAGAGAAGAACCAACCTTGTGGATTTTAGAGTGAGTATGAATACTGATAAACATTAAAAAAAATGTGTAAGGCATAGTACAGTATGTGCTATCGTGTTCGTTATATGTCGGATACCGGATGGGTCGAGTTTTAAATTTAATTTTTCACTTTAAGGCATTTTTGTTCTTATTAAATATCTAGACGACCATCCAGAGTTTTGTTACTTCTATTGCTTTACGCTATTTGCTAAAATAATTCAGCAACGACGAGTATACATATATTTAGGTACATATTTCAATTTGCAAATTGCACCGTTATAATATTATCTACCCTTGTCTTAGAAAACAACAATAGACAATACGATAACGACGATTATACTATAATAACTTTATCTTCAAAATTAATAGCCCAAAGAAAGTTCTTTGTTCAAGATCAGATAGATATCATTATAGCATTTATCTTTTACGCGATAAAATTTATTTTGACTTTAGATTTATTAATCCTTTATATCAGGGATATACCAATCATTGAAAGAATGCAAAATAAAAATCTTGTTGGCAAAATGGAGGTCTGTCTTATATATTTACAATAATCTTCAAATTTTAATCAATAACAATTATTCTAACAATTGTCTGTACATTATGTGAGTGGTACACATTAAATCAAACAACACTTTAAATCGCGAAATATTTTAGTTAATAAATTTTTAACTACTACCAGACCTAATATTTCTTTCCTTATGTAAAACTCTTTTCTACTCAAGTGCCATCTGCACTGTAATTGGTCTATTTTGAAGTTAATTAACTTATGTATCTCGCGTTTTAAACCGTTAAGTGTTTCTTTTAATAATCTATTCCACGTGTAACTTTTTATTTTTTATAATATCTATGTCTAACAAAGTTTTACCCAGCTCCCCGGTCCGAAAAGCACGTATCATAATCCTTGCCGTTTCTATTATGTCTGGGACGTCTCGATTCCCGCCATCGAAGTCTCTTATTCGACGAATTCTATTAAATTTCATACTACCCGCAATTAATACCTGTGAAACAATCAAAACAATACCATAACATTAAAAAAGAAACTTTTTACTTATTTCGCTTAAGAGGTTCTAGTTAAATCTTCTTTACAACATAGACGATTTAAATGATTACTCATCGCGAAGCTGATACAATACAAGGAAATCGAGAAAAATATGCCTGTACGTTACCAATATTTAATTATGATTATCTAGATGTTTAATTGCTCCAATTACTTATATCCCTATTAAGAATAAAGAATTTAGTTCATGTTTGAATATTTCATCATGAGCGTTTGGTCATTTGGCCTTAACCTAAAAGGTAGATCCTGTTTCTTATTTCCTTAAGATTTACGCACGTATCAAGTGCAATGCGCATAAAATATGCATCGCCCTCAATTATAGCCTTTACATAGGATCTTCTAATCATTACTTATTGTCCGATTGAAGACGAGAGGCTAATATATAACTAGGTTATCAGCTATTGCCTACTTTGCAGTAAGACAACTTTCAATCGGTCCTGTTTGGAACTGCGACACAGATGCCTGGAAGAGGCACTGTTTTATAGCCATTAGTATGCTTGAGATGCAACTTCAGATCAGACTAGGAGTTTTACAATTAGTATAAGTGGAGAGAGTAATACTGAAAGTGGAAAAAATAAGAACTAGGTGAATTAGCTAAAAAATAAAATACTAAAACTGAATCCGCCCTAGATTAGCATGTGATATAAAGGAATAGTTAGTTTTATGTACAAATGTTCCCCATCATTTACCTTGTTAATGTCATCGCATGGTTCTTCCAATCCCATGAATTCCACATATTTAAAGTGATTATGAGCATTGAGCCAGTACAGGAGGTAATCTGCTATGGTCTCTTCACCAACAAGATGATCTTGCAGAGATGCACATAGAGATAATTTTAGACCCATCTCCACATTAGTCACAGTTGGCTCCAAAATACCTTTAGACAATGATTTTGCAACATAAAAAAATAATAATACAAAAACTTTTGTTTTAAGAAATAAAAAATATACAGAAGAACTCAATACAATCTTAATAATGCAGTAGGTACTGATACTGTGATGATGCTTTTATGACTAGGGACCTTACCTGGTGTATCAAACATGAATATAACAGGATTATTATTTATTCTGATCTTAGTCTGCATACTTCTAGTTACACCCGCTACTGCACCAACTGGCAGTGCATGTCTGTTATGGGTATTTCTGCTCCGTAACATATTGATAAGTGATGATTTTCCAACATTTGGCACTCCAATTATCATAACATTGTAGTCTAACTCTTCGCTGCGGTTAAATCTAAATGGAACATAAAGCATAAATTGTGTTTTTATAGGATGCAAAAGGGGCAGTTTGTTAGGAAGTTCATTTAACTGTTCAGTCGTGTAAAACACATTAATTGGACTACCTTTATCTTTAAAAATGATCCTTTACATATATACATTATGTTGGATAGAACTTCAAACAATTAATTGTACACTCACAGATTTAATAACAAGCACAAGTTTTGTTACCTGTTTGAATCCTTGATAAGATCTATCATTAATGGTCTTAGAGTCTTCAAACCTCTGCAAAATTGGTCTTTACTATTTGTAAACACCACATTATTCACACCATCTTCGGCAGCTAGTTGGTCCTTAACCTTTGGTATAAACGAGTTAATAGTCAAGTCTTTCTTATTTAAAACTAATATATGAGGCTTGGCACCTGTTATCGTGCTTGTGAATATGGGATTTCGTCCCGAAAATGGTATCCTAGCGTCATGCACTTCGATAACGCAGTCTACTGATTTCAACTTTCTTTGAATTTGCTTCAGACCTTTATTCATATGTCCCGGAAACCATCTAAGGAGGTCTTTGCTGACGTACGGGCATTTTTTTCGAAAGTTATACGCAGCTGCATCAAACTTTAATGCCATTTTTGAGGTTAAGTTACCACTATAGATTACTAAAATATATTGCTGTCGTTCATTCTTATTAGAAAAACTAATATCGAAATTAAGTTTGTTTTTCTTGTGTAATTGTTGTATACTTATAGATTTTAATTTTAATCTACTGAATTTGTTTTCCCTAAACAAAACAAAAAGCTGTCAAACTAATGACAATTGACAATTGCTAATAAATATCGCGCATTCACAGATACATTTTACAACTATAGTGTGTTAAAAAGTATAGCGATTCCCTAAAATGGTTAACGACAGGTTTAGCAGGAGCACATTACATTTTCACCACTAAAAACAAAAGAACCATTATAATTTATAAAACTACTGCTATTTTAACATGCAATGCACCTACCTTTTGCAATATTTCACAATATTGTTTTAACTCATGTTTATTTAGATATATTCTTCCTAAGATATAATATAGTAAGATAAGTATCTTAATCGAAATATATTATTTTCAAAGCACTTAGAATGTTTTAAAGCACATCTGTTTCCACATTTGTTGAGGGTAGAAAACCTAGGGATTTATAAATAACGACTTTCCAACACGTTTAATTAAGAACTGGGTTTACTTAAGAGATCCCAATTTTCGCATGATTACTAAGTATTATTGATAACGTAATAAACTTTTTACTTAACCAACTTGGTTATATTTATAAAAAAAAACAAGTTTTAAGGGTTTAATAAGCGAGTTTATTGAACTTATATGTCATTTATTTTAACGTCGGCGCAACTTTTCGGATACAGCAGTCGTGAAAGTTAGTTAGTTATATTAGTAGTGTATATTTATGTTACATTAGTTTATTAATTTATTCGTAGATCGTCACTTTAACATTAAAAACTCAAAAATACTTAAATTAGCGAGCTGAAACTCTTGACTATTAAATATTTTATTAAAAATAATATTATTAAGACATTTAATTGTCACACTATTGATAAATGTCTTGTCATAATATAAATAATCGCTACGTTACTTGAAATAAGTTTGACTAAAAGTTAGTAAATACTAAATAATAATTCTCAGAATGTCCAAAACATTTATGTTGGAACCGGATTTAATCGCAGCTGGTGAAAATGTTATGCCCGAACTTAATAGTGATTTAGTATTGGCGAAAAATTTCTTAAAACAGCAAAGTGCAGCCACAGCTGATTCACTGTAAGTAAAATAATTGAAAAGATTTTAGTAAAAATCTCTGTAGTATTTTTGGTATCTAGATAATTCGATATATCTATAGTAATATCACAAAGCTGAAGAGTTTCTTTGTTCGTTTATTTGAACGCGCAAATCTCAGGAACTACTAGCTCGAATTGAAAAACAATTATTTTTGTGTTGGTTAGAGCATTTATCGAGAAAGACTTTGTGAAACAAACGGGGTATAATCTTTGAGAGAGTTTCCCTTGCGTGCGCTGAAAAAATGAAAGAATAAAAGATTTTTAAATGATCTAAAAAAATGTCCGCGACAGTATACGTCCATCTTTTAACGTCGTGGGTAAACAGCTATAATTTATAAAGATGAAGAGGTGGTTTGCAAAAACAAATTTTGACGCCTAAAATAACTTTGTGAGCGTTTTACTTCACAAACAAATACATATTTATTTAATCCATAAATATTATTATTTATTTAACCTATGACGCTTGTGTTTAATAACACTATACCAAATTGGGAGAGGGTGAAAATTGTTTTTCTATTTATTTATTAGGTTTTGCCGTTTGTATAAAATTCATATTTAAAGATTTACATAATTTTATAGATACGATCATCTCGTTGATATCGTTCAAAAGATTCTAACGCAAAAGCCACCAGATGTCGTGGACAACTTTGAACAATACTCGTGGGAGGTGAAGCACGAGAAGTTTAGGCCTAACTTTGACCTTCTAAATGATGTATACCTATCACCACCACAGCTAGCGTTAGTCAGACGTATGGACGAAATGTTTCGGGTAAGTATCAATAATTTGGTTTAGAACTTTACCAATTTCTACGGCGTAGTAGTTTTATTTTTTAATTGATATTTAAAAAAAAGACTTAATAATTAGAAATAAGTCTTTTACGCCCTGGCCTCACGACAATTGCCGACGCGAAAATTCGAAAGGTGCGTATGCCGACGCGTCTAGCGACAAAACGGCGATTAGCCCAATTGTTAAATAGATTTAAGAAACACATTACGTTCAATCTTTTAGCTAGTAGCGAGTAAGTCTGAAAAAATGGACGAGATGGGCGAAGAGGAACAGGAGTTGGATCTTGAGGAGGAAGATACGAAGCCGCGAATCGCAGACCTCATAGATAACAATTACTATTTTAAACAGGTTCCAATCTTATGTTTTATCAAAATTGTTTGATAACAACTGGACGGACTCGTTCGTGTAATGTTAGCAATCAATGGCTAATAATCTACGGGTCGTGGGTTCCGTACCGGGTCTTATACGTAATTTCTCTGAGACGTGTTGGACTTCGTCTGGATAACTGGATATTAAATATATGGTAGAAATATCAAAATTCCGTTTGGGACGAGACACATTCCACAGATGAAAATGCCGTCACTTTAAATTTGCCAATTCTTGCCTGTTCTTCTCTATCATAAAAAAACTAATTTGATTTTTAAACGTAACTTTACGCGATGTTTTGGGCATTTTTTTTTTGTAACAACCAGCCGTCTTTTGTAAAAATGAATCGTATTTTAACTCGTTTAATGTTTTAGGCTGGATACGGTTTACCTGATAGCGAGTGCTATGCTCTCTACATTGCTCTTAATATGTTAGGTATAAAGGAGCCAGTTGCTACTGTAAGGTACGAACGTTACCTACTTTCATTTATATACATAATACGTACATTATATTATAGAAATAGTTGTGTCTGTACATTTCATTAAAATATTAAAACCTGGATGAGGATGATATATAGTGATGAAAAACATACTATTATAAAATGAATATTGATTGTCTATAACCAAATTATAAAATAAATTACCCTCCAACGCCTTAATATAATATTATTTAAGGTTCTTTGGAAAGATTTTCGGCACAAAAGCCAATTATTATGTTGCTGAAACCGACCTTACAATTGAAGAATTGGATAGGAGAATTCGAGTAAGTCTTTTGTGTAGCGGTTACGTACTTTTTTGTACCTACGTTGTTTTGTAGTAATTTATTCGCAGTCTATAAAATTAGTTATGTATGACATATATATTATAGGAATTTGAAATGAAAGATATGCCAGGTGAGGGCGAAGGTTTGGACGAAGATAGAGTTCAAGAAGCTGAGGAACAGAAGGAAATGGGTAACAATCATTTTTTGGTAACAAACAGAAGTAGGGCTACTTCTTTTTTAATAGGTGTGTAGGTAGCCAAAACAGTGAAGTCATATTATACATAATTTAACTAGTGGGAGAAGGCGAGGGTCGCGAAGAGAAACCAAAAGAACCAGTTCCACCTAAATTGCCTCCTATTCCTGTGTCAACTTGGCAGCCCCCGCCACCTATACCGGTAGAAAGACCTGGACAAGGGGTTAATAAAAAGGTAAATCTTGCGAAGTTATTAGTTAGAATAGAAAACTGTATTTAGCTTAAAAGATCTTTGTCGTCGTTTTTTATCTTTTCGAATTTTGAAATTATTAATATCTATGGTTCATTCTGCGACACAAAAACAACAGCAAAGCAATAACTATATAATGCCTCAATGGCGTTCGCAAAAAATCCCATCAATTGCTGATGGGATTTTTGCGAATAGAGATTTAACTATATGTCATGTGGATGTGAGTCAATAGGAATTTGGGATTGGGCTAAATTGCGACCTAATATACTTCTATATACGTCTTCTACTCCATTGATAAGGTTTTCTGGGTCTGCAACAATCCTGGAGACCAGTGGATCTGCCTGCCTGACGTTACTCCTGATCAAATAAGAGTGGCGCGTCTCAGTGTGCGCTGTATGACCGGAGATTTGGACGCAGAGGTGGGACAGCTAAAATATCGTTTTATAAACTGCTTTTATCACCAGTTCTTAATTTGAAATTAATAATTCTTGATTTTATTTATTTAATATTGCTTTTGTTATTAAGATTCAAACGTTCCCGCCCTTCGAGGGAACTGAGAGGAATTATCTTCGCGCTCAGATTGGCCGCATTCAAGCAGCCACTTCTATTTCTCCTCAAGGGTTTTATACCTTCGGCTCAGGAGAGGAGGAAGAAGATATTGACTTGGAGGAAGGAGCTGGTGACATCACTGTTTATGGATTTTTCATCAAATGAAAAACCTTTGTCAAAATATATAATTACAATAATAATATTCCACAGGTGACATGGCATTCAATCCTAATCCGTTCTATCAAGGACACACCCTAAAGGATCTTATGGATTCTAACATGATGTATTGGGTTCACCATGGACGACATATTTTGAAACAGGGCAGAACAATTTGGTGGAATCCCAATGCTGGAATGGTACCCACAGAACTGTATTCTTAATGTGTTAAACATTTTAAAGCATAACTCTGGACTCGTAGTGGTCACATACAGCAAACATTCTTGTGATTTACAAGATAAATGTTATTAGGTTAAGAGAATCCTACCAAATAATTAGTAACAATGCATTAATTCTTGTGAGTTAATCTTAAAACATAGACATGTACTGTTTTCGCAATTCACGCGTCAAGCCTTCAAAGATAATTCGACTGTTTAAATAAAACACTTTAACGGTTTAAAACGCGATATATTAGTTAAACTTATTTGAAAAGATTTTTAATTTCGGCTGCGAAGTTTAACTAATATATCGCATTTTAAACCGTTAAAGTGTTTTATTTAAAGGACTATGGTAAACTAAGACAGTATTTAATTCGACTGTTTCTAGGCGCCTATTTGTTGCAGCGTTAACTCATATAATGCCTTCTTCGATAAATTGTCTAACACAATAAAAATCAATTCGAACTTCTTATTCCTGAATTTAGCGTGTTCGAACAAGATCTTAGCTTTAGATTATTTTACTTGACCCTATTTTTTTTTTTGACCTGATAACTTAATTGTGCAGCTATTGACTAGCACGTCAATAGCTGCAGAATAAAGTTATATATTTGCGTAGGAAGAGGGCTTAGAAGAAGAAGAAGACGAAGGTCCACCACCTATGGAACCAGAGACGGGTCCACCTCTTTTTACAACTCTTTCTGAAGACGCTCGACTTGAGGGTCTCCCAGCATGGACGTCTCGTGTTAGTTCAAAACTCACGCCTGAAAGAGCTCTTGTTACGATGAGAAGTAATGTCTGGCCTGGAGCAGTAGCCTATGCTACTACGGGAAAGTAAGATCAGAATTCTTTACTTACTTGATTTTTTTAAATAATCTAAGAGTCTTTTATCGGTCTTAATAGGGTTATAGTTTCACGTAAGAATTTAATAAAATGTATTACAGGAGATCAGAGTGTATGTATGTCGGCTGGGGCCTTAAATGCCAGCCGCCGAATTTCTCGCCGTTACAGCTGCCTCGACCACAAGACGAGTATATTATTGGACCTGAAGTCATGGAAATGGCGGATCCAACGTTCGCTGACGAGGAGGTGATATTTCCTTACTTCTAGAGGTTTTATTGAACCTGAAGGCTAATGGGATGTTTACAGAATTAAGTTGAAGAAATCTGAAGAGTTACACATTTAAATAAAATACTTGTACGGTTTTAAACGTGAGTAGTATACTATTTAAATAAAACAGTTTAACGGTTTTAAAATGCGATATATTAGTTAAACTTTCTAACTTAATCGGCCCGACGTTTTGGGTGCTTTGCAGCAGCTATGGTCGTTACATTTTAAACCGTTAGTGTTTTATTTAAATGTATTAACTTTACATAGAGTCACTTTAAACCTTGAAGATAATTATGATAGTTTTTTTGTTATCCAAAGCCTTCAGATAAATCTTAAATATATAAAATCCCTTGTACGATTTCTTATCATCGTACAAAATACATAATAATTTATTTTGTTTCAGGCATATCGTATTGCTCATCTACCGCCGCCACCACCTCCAGAACTTCCCGGTGAAGGAGAAGGTGCTTTTGGCGAAGAGGAAGAAGACGAAGACTAATATTTATTAGTAGGTATATATTTTGTATGAGTTATTTACAGAATTAAAAGGACTTATTCGTTACCTAGACGTTGTATTATTAATCGTTTTTATTAATTTAAATAAAACTTCCTATCAAATGAATTGAATGTTGCGAAGATCTTTCGTTGAAAATTTGAGGTTGAATACTGTCTCTAGTACTATCTACAAATAATTTTAACTACGGCCCGACGTTTCGGATGCTTTGTAGCAGCTATGATCATGGGGAGACCACGGGCCGTAGTTCAAATAATTTTCACTAATATATTTCGCGTTTTAAACCCTTGTTTAAAGATATGTATACGCTGCAGGAAACTGTATGTCCATAAAAGAAATCTCTATACGATGTAACGAGTCTTTATTCACTGTATATATTGGTCTGTATTACTATTAAAACAAAACATTGCTTATTTTTCTAACATTCTAATAAAACTTTATATCACATATCGTAAACTAAGAACTTAAAATTTTAAAAGGAAAAATAAAGTATAATATCTTTACAATTACATCTGGATTTTTTAAAAAACCTATAATTGAAGTCCTAAATATTTTTTTTTTCGGATAATATCAAGTAGATACAGAGGTCATATCTGTAAAGGTTTATTTTTGCAAACACGTTTAACTTAGATAACAAAGTATAATATTTTTGCAATTGGACGACGCTGGTCGAGAATATCAGAATTTCACTTCACGCAAAACCCTTAACATTAACAATTCATTTAATTTTTTTTTTTTATGTTTATGAAGTTGCGGCGCGGACAATTTGACCTTTCCTGGGAAGTTTCTGGCGACGTTTTCTTCTTTGACCGCCTTCAGTAAATCCTTTTCGCGGGCTGATGCGGCTTTATCCCTAAGGAAGACTTGTATTGCCGTCTTAGCAGCCTTGCCCCTCTTGCTCGTACCCGGAGTTAATTTAACTTTGAACCTGAACAATTTTCCATACAATATTAGTTTATTTATTAATTAACACAGCTTATCTACTCGTATATAGTCTATAGTTCTATACTACATTTGTGTATCACACTTTTTTTAATGATAGAGAACATACACATTGGCGTCACTTGATAAACAAGATGGGCTGTGGGCCTATTTTGGGCTTGGATTTTCGCAAATCCATAGACTGCAAAGAAACCTCTTCACGGCTCTGTGAACTGTGGGTCGTGGGTCGAACTCGGACGGAATTTCGATATTTTTACCACCCATTCAAAATCCAGATTTCCAGACGATGTCCAACATGTTTCAAAAAAATTATACATTTATTAGAATTTTCTTGGATCCGGTGGGGATCGAACGCTCGAGTTGATTTTTAGCCGAAGACAGCTACCATTACACCAACGAGGCCGTCAAAGCCGTGGTATATCAAAATCAATACAACATCTTACCGCATATTTAACCACTTGATATACATATGTATTTATAGGACAAATAGCAATGTTAATATTATGTTGTTGGACATATTGTTTTTTTCTTCTAATTAAATCATATTATGAAACACTAAATCCTTACTTATAGTTGTGTAAAGACGAATAGGGCGCCACGACTGGGACAGCGAATAGCAACTCATCTTCGGTATACGGTGAGCCTGTTAACTGACAGAGCATTTCTGTGTCGGCATTGCCAGCTTGGTCAGTCTGAAGTAAAAGAAAAATATGTGTAAATTTGTGTTATTGGTGGAGAAGACGATCAAGTAACAGAACAGAGTGGGAAACAATGGAGGAGGCCTTTTGGACAGCATACAAAAATTATATATATATTAACACTAATAATAATACTAAAAACAATTCCAAAAAGTCTATGTAATCAGCAAATTTTATAAGTAATAAAGGCTAATTTTTAATATTTGAACTAAATTTAATTAAACACCCTTATAAAAAAAAACATTTATACGTCACTGTTAAAATAGTAGATTTTTATAACTTCGTTTATAGAAAAAAAGGCATTATAATTATATTATATATTAGTTATAAAGCATTTCTATAGGTAACTCATGTTAGTAACATATAAATATTTTAAAGTTCAAAGTTTATATATATGGGTTTGTAACATTTATATTCCCAATTTGCGCGTGATTAAGAAAGAAAAAAGAGAAGAGAACAGATCACTGCAGAGGTTACAATGTTATTGAAAAAAAAGGTAAAAAATTCTTTTTCGTCTAGAAACACCTTTCTATAGAGATGTCAGTGTAATATAAAGACATGATTTTTCTGCATGAAGCAAGGAAATCTAGTTTGAGGAATATTTCTGAAAACTTGTAAACTAAGAATGAAATCTTATAATTTAAATAAAATATGTTACAAACAAACAGTAAGATAACTTTTAAGTTACAAATTCTACAAATAGACTAGGCTAGTAAAGTCCTAAAGTACCTCTTGTTCAATCTCGGGCTCTTCCTCGGATTCAGCTTCAAGCAGCATCGGCGCAGGTTGTGGTATCTTGGGTCCTCGGTTCGATTTCTTTTCCTTGTTGCCTTTTGCTGCCTGCTTTAGGGCCTTTTTGGATTCTTTAGCACCTTTGTCGGGCTGAAATGGGAAGCTTGGTGTAAAATAATGACAATAAGTAATGATTAGAAATGAATGAAATAATCTTTCTGCTATAAAAACGGATCTATAAAAAAATACGCAAATCTTTAGCCATAAACTACATGATGCATATAGTAAGAACATTTAAGCCGCAAATAATGAATGATAACTTGTAATTAATTCGTTTTTGTTAACCTGTAAAAACTCCATCATAAATGCTCTATCCTCTTCGTCTTGATCCTTGTATTTTTCTTTAATTTTTTTCAACTTCCCCTTTTGACCCCTTTTAGGTCCGTTTTTCTCTTGCTCTTTTTGTCCTTTCTCCCTTGGTGGGGGTTTTTCCCTTTTCTGTGGCTTCCCTTTTTTCGGTAATGCGGGAAATTTGAGCTGTAATTCCTCACTTTGCGTAGATATTTCTGATAACGTTCGAGTTTTCGATTCGATCAACACCTGTCCTGTGCCGTGATCAACCTAAAAGGTAGTTAAATATTATAATTACTGAAAAAGTAACGCAAAGGCTGACGTGTAAAATATGTAGCAGTGTATTAAAGTATAGCAATAAGAAGTATTTTGTAAGTCAAGTCGCGTAAGAAATGGGCACTTTGACAATGCGAAAAATATAGTCGTCAATTGCAATATGCAAATCGTGATTCGTATCTACTATCTACGACATACTTCGTGCAATATTGTTAATACATCTTTGCGTCAAAGATTCAAAAATGTTTTGTATTCTATTGCTTTAAAAACTATAATAAATTCAAAACTCACTTTTATATGTGTATCCAAAACACCATCAGAACTATCACTATCTGAATCACTGCTATCCTCGTTCTGAATGGAATCTTTCTGTTTCTCTGTATCATTTTGTTCCTGTTCTTCATTTGATTTTATTTCTAAGCTTTCTTTTTTCAACTCTTCCTTTTCTTCTAATTTCTCTTTATCGGAGTTTTCCTCCAAATTATTTTCTATGGATGTTTTATTTTCATGTATTGTTTCTAATGTATTATTGCAATTTAAGTCATCTTCTCTATCAGAATCGTCTGATACTACTATTTCTGTATCAACCTCACTCTCAGCAACTTCAGAAACATCATCAACTAGGCACTTTCTTTCATCTCTGTGTCCCTCTATGCAACTATCTTCTAGACGGAAAAGAAAACTGAAACCGAATTGTAAATGTTCCGGTAACAGATAGTTCTTTTTCCCGCGAATCATGAAAGATCCCGTTGTTAGGTATTCTCCCGTGGGTGCAGATTTTGATACTTGGTGGCCGAGTACCCACCATGCGCGAGTTAAGACTTTTGCTTCCCATGCCACACTGGAAGAAAACAGGAGAAAATTACAAGATATTGTAAATTAAAGGCAGAAGTAATACAAATTATCATTCGAGTATCATATCAACTACGCCCTTGATTTGAGAACTGGCAGTTAATGTAAATTTAGAGTAATTTTTTACAGGTGTGACGTTCATAAGGGCATGTACGTAGTTACCTATGTGAATAAATGATTTTTGACTTTTGTCTATTTTCTGTTAATCTGTGTGTTAACTTTTTGATAATCAGATTTTTTTTTGTCAACACTATAATTATTGATACAATTTCTTTAACAATACAAACCTGTATGCAACCGCCGCTTGACCAGCTTCGCTAAGCGTTCGCGGTGGTGGTGGGACACCTCCAGGACATTTAATCACCACGGATGAAGCACCCGTGACCTCAGCGTGCACGTATATATCAGTCGAACGCATATATCTTTTAACTAAAAGTTCGTTTTGTTGCTGGTCACGACCAGCTATCACCTTGAAGAATATTTTATATGACTTGATAACTTATATTTTCACGATCTCCATGGTACGTAATTTTTATATTTAATCGAAATGTTATATTACTATAATTACAAATTATTATTACTACTTAATAAACGGTAAAACTTTTAGGTGATTTAGAGTAAAAATGCAAGTGATAAAGGGTAAAAAACATAGTAGGTAAGTAAGTGTATATATTGTCATGCTAAATGCTAATAATAACTACATGTTTTAACGGAAATTAAAAATAAGATATATTTAACCTTATTTTTAATTTAATAAATAAGGGTTCTTACCAAAAAGTTATCAGAGGAGATAAACCAGTAGAATTTTTCAAACCAGTAGGTTTTTCTTGCTTTGCTAATTGTGCTGATTGTTTGAGCTTCCTTCAAGGTTTGTTTGGTTTTCCTTTCGGCGCTCTTAAGAGCTTTTCCGGCTGATTCTACTGTTTTCTGTTGCTTTTTTGCTGCATTACGTTTTTGATCATAGTACCTGCAAAGAGTTTAATATTTCTGGATTGCATTGCTTTAACGAATTAATATTTAATCAAATCCTGTTTTATCATGAAAATCTATATTGAAGCTAAAAAAATATAGAGAAATTTAAGAAACAATAAAACATTCTTACCGCCTAGCATTTGCAAAAGCAGTTAGCGAGAGATCTATATCCACCAACATTGGTTCCAAGATGTCCCCATCATCATATGGATCAGTTAGTATCAAAGTAATATGATTTGTTGATAACTTCAATTGTTTTATGGCAGATGCAATGGGGTCCGAGTTGTCTTGAGCTGTTTTCACTAATAGCTTTATGTCATCCCAGGACATCTTAAAAATAAGAAAAAACGGTTATTTTACTAGTAAGGCAATGTTCGATATTTTATTGGCAATAATGGTTAGACTCTGGGAATTTTTATGTAACCAATCAAGAGAAAAAGCCTTATGTTACACAATGTTTATTTGCCCCAGAAAAAATGACAGATTTATGTAATACATCTCTCTTCCCCTTTTTAAGTAAGAAGAGTTAAGAAACCATTCTTTATATAATTTACACAAATAAGAATTCCTAAATTACATAGCACAGCTTTCAAGTGTGAATCATCTTGTGGTAGATTAAAAAAAGGTATTTGGGTATGAATTACCTGGTTAGCTATGGCGGTCTGGATTGCTAGCCTAGCCTGTTCCACAAGCTGTTCATTTCTAGATATCATCTCGGCAGCCTTGCGGTCTTCAACTTGCACTTTTTCCAATTCTGTAATACGCTTTTCATGATCCTTCTTTACATTTGAAAGTTTCTTTAGTGCTTCTCGTTCTACTTGAATTGTCTGTGAAGGATATAAAAATAAGAGATTAAACTATTAACTTATTAATTATTTAATATAAAATATAACAAATTATTTAAAAATCATTCCCATTCATTATTATGCACCACCAATACTTTGACAAATATTTATTTTTTATAGTTAAAATATTAAATTTTTAAATTTAGTTGCTTGTAGTCACAATGGAAATTTTAATTATAAGAGTACATTTATTGGAATGTCTCACAAAACTGTGTATACCTTCAGGTCAATCTTCTGTCCCTCTAAAGCTGAAAAGAATTCATCAACTCCTCTATCAAACGTCTCATACTCAGTGTATGGCTGACTTTTGTGTTGAGAGTATAGAAGTGGATGGAACTCTTGATTTGTCAATAAAAAGTCACCACCACCACCTTCTGGGTTTGGCCTTTCCTCTTTCTTTTGAATGATGTAACCCTGGTTGTATAAATAAAGAAAATAGGTATAAGACAAAAAATATTACAAAAAGATAAGTTTAAATAAAACACTTTAACGGTTTAAAACGCGATATATTAGTTAAACTTATTTGCTGCTGATGCTTTGCAGCAGCCGTGGTCACGGCTGCTGCAAAGCATCCGCAACGTCGGGCCGAAGTTAAAAATCATTTTCAAATAAGTTTAATAATATATTTTTAAACCGTTAAGTGTTTATTAAATGTGTACTACTCGCGTAAACTAAAATTTTAAAGATAAGTTATTAAAGTTTACTAATAAACTATGAACAGTTTATAATTGAAATTAATATACATACAAAACTGGGGTCAGTAAGATACTCGACAGAGTTTCTCAATAAAGCAAATTCTTACCTTACAAATCTCACTCTTTGCTTCATCCATCAACTTTTCCGCAACTTTTAGGGCAGTGGCTAATTTCTCAATATCTCGTTCTATAACAAAACCTTTTTCTGGATCCATTGACACTTTCAAGTTGCCAGATAAACCATTTTCAAGCAAGACATGATCTATTAACGCTGAACCATACTCTAGAATGCAATATAGAAGTTAAATAACTATGGAAAAACCAACATAGTAAGATAGTATAGTAGATTGTACACCATACCTAAATTGGGATTAAGGATTTTCTTAAGATTATCTCCAGGTTTGCTCTTAGCCAGGATTTCCTTCAATTGATCTACATTTGGAGCTTCATAGCTAGTTTTTGCTCGATCCAATGGATATCGTTCTTTGACAGCAAATCTAAAAAGAGACATTATTGTTAAGTATTCAACAGTATTCAGTAAGGTTTAAAAACTAATTGTAGCTAAAAATATTATACTCTACCTAACTTTATCCCCTTCGACATGAGGTCTCAATACATTTAAAATTGTCCAATTATAATCAGTAAGTACAATATTTCCCCTGTCATACAATTCTAATATAACATGGTATGCTGCTTCTCCACTGCCAAATTGAAGATCTATAATCCGATCAATTCCTAGCTGGGTAAGGTGTTCTAGACGTTTGTTTTTGAGATGCTTACGTAACTGAAAGACAAAGATTATAAACATAAGATTTATTATAATTCATTTGGTTTATATCTAATAAACAGTAATAAACATGTAATAAACAGAACTGCACAAATATTATCAATTAGTAATGTTGTTGCCAATGATTTGTCTAATTTGTTATAATAAAAAGTTTGTTTCAAGTAACGAACTAAATAAAATGACTGTACCTTCATTGTAAAGCCAGACGGAGCTACATTTTTGGGCCATTCAAATTGAGTGGTATGAAATCTGTTTCCTGATTCTAATAATAATACAGATTTCTCCTCAGATCTCTGAAGGCGAATAACATATGTCTTATTGTCGATATCATAGACTTGGTTTACTCTCATGCCAACAAGCCTGAGAAAAAAGAAGATTTAATAAAAGAAATAAATACTTAATGATAAATATAAATAATAATATTTTCTCATAAGAATTTTATTTATTTATTACACAGTTTTTAACCTATTGTTAATTACAACAGCAAACCGAATATAAATGAGAAGCAGATAAATTAACAACCTCTCTCTCTCAACTCACCTTTGTAATTCCGTCACCATGCACACTATATCGTAAGTGTTAAAACGTGTCTTCATTTTGTCAGATTGAGTTTAGCAATAAATTATTTAATATAAAATTTTCGCAATTGTTATTAATTTGCAAACAAAATCACAATATTTGAGGTTACGCGTAAACGTCACCCAATATGCAAACCCACAACAGCTGAGTTAATTAACGTCAACAAAGATATGTTACTTATGTCCACTCCACATATACGTGTTAAAAACGCTATGACAATATTCTTCACATTATTTAATATTTAGTCCTAAATAAGACATATTAAAATTACTTTTATTTTAAGAAATACGAACATTGATTGCCAGTTACTTGTCGTGTCAAATACACTTGCACAGATTAGGATATAATTACAATAATAATGTTCTTTGCTAGTCTATGACAAATTTAGAGGTTATGTTGATGTTTTTATTTTGAAACCGAAGTAATATTTTTTATATTTTTAAAGAAAATATATAAAGTGTAAAAACTTTCATAAAAATGGTGGAAGAGGACTTAAAAGATTTTAAACTTAAACCTATGAAATGTGAGCTAAATTTTCTTAACAAATCTGATGGTTCAGCTATACTTGCTCAAGGTAGTATAATGTTTTATAAATAACATGAATAACAATGTGCTTTATAATTAATTAATGGTTATTAAAATTTTCAGGTGAAACCGTAGTACTTGTAAGTGTAAATGGTCCTTTAGACATAAAATCAACTAGTCAAAACATGGAAAAGGCGACATTAGAAGTAATATTTAGTTCAAAAGGCGGCAAGCCAACTGTTTCAGATAGGTACTCGAATTTATTTTATTTTTTAATTTCACAAAGTACTTGCTTAATAATTTTGATATTGTTAACTTATTTTTCTCAAAGGTTCAAAGAAAATGTTATAAGACAAACATGTGAGACTGCAATATTTGGATGTTTATACCCTCGAACTGGTATAACAATTACAATACAAGAACTAGAAGATTATGGAGGGGTATATTTTTTAATTGTATACTTAATTTAAGCCGTATGTGTAGGTATAAAAATCAAAGCATAAAAATACCTACTAATTGAAGATATTACTGTAAGAATCCATTTTGTAGAGCTGTATGTTTCTTTATTTTACTTTTAGTTACAGTTTTAAGCCTGCCCTTAACTTTTATTACAATAACTATTATAGACTATACTCATTTCAGCTACTGCCCACTACTATAAATTGTACATGTTTGGCCTTATTGAACTCTGGCTTAGCTATGAGACATGTGGTTGCAGCAGTTGGTTGTGCTTTGGATGAAGCTGGAAATCTTATTATAGACCCAACTAATGACCAGATACAAACCGCAACTGCTACAATGTACTTTGTTTTTGATAGTAGAGAAAAAAATCTAGTTACTGGTAAGTAAAACAAGAGAAGTTTATAACATAAGATATACGAAAATGTTACTTAATTTTTTTTTAATTATTTTCTAGGGTTTTCAACAGGCACTTTTGGTGAGGGAGTGTATGATGAAGCTTTGGAGAGATGTCGGGCAGCCAGTGACCTAGTTTTTAATTTTTATAGAGATATTGTTGCGTCTTATTGTAACGTCATTGGTTAAGATGTTTGTATATAATTATAAACTTGATTCAAGTAACAAAAAGTTTTTTTATATCTATATCTATACTAATATATAAAGCTGAAGAGTTTGTTTGTTTGAACGTGCTAATCTTATGAACTACGGGTTCAAAAAAAAACTTTTTGTGTTGGTTAGATCATTTATCGACGAAGGCTATAAAACATGGCGCTGTGACTAATAGAAACGAAGCGACAGGGGGAAATGTGAACAAAATGTCTGTGGGTTTTAGATGCATACGCTAACAGGACGTAAACAGTTTAAGATACCTAAAAAATCTGTATGAAAGAATAATTTCTCTTTAGATGTTCTAAAAAAAAGCCCACGACGCTATAAATCTATCTTTTAAGATTACTTTGTAAGAATGACGGGAAGAGACGCGACCGACGTCGTGGGTAACAGCTTAGGTTTATAAAGATGAAGGGGTTTGAAAAAATGTTTTTGATGCCCAAACTAACGATTATCGCGAACGAAGTCGCTGTCACAGGTAGTATAAAGTAATAAAAAAGTTGTAAAATTTTCTATGCTATATTGTACACATTGAATCGCTAGATTTGATAATTTTAGATGAGATTTTTAAAATAAGTTAGCTCTATATTGACATTAGCACTAAAAGACTGTAGGTATAATTAAGTATTTACATTTTAGTACTAAATCCCGCATTTATGTATGTGTACATTATAAATATTGTTTCTCAAAACCTAAAAATGTTATACAATTACCGTGTACCATAATATATATAATATTTAATTAGATAAAATGGTGGCCTTCATTGTTATATTAATTGTTGAGTGAAATGGTTCTATAAAGTGCGTGGATTGTTCACCCCGACCTGGAACCCAAAAGGAAATAAATAATAATAAATATAAATTTTATTCACGAAACGCCTTTTCTATTAACCGATCAAAGTTTGTGTTTTGAGTATTGGCCGCTTTGTCTTACCTTTCTAGGGTTACATAATCTGCCAGTTCGTTACGATGCAGAACATAAAAACGTTTACATTATTTTAAGGTAACCTAAATCTAGTACAACAGTCTTATATGTATCTATGACGATTTTTGCCATCAAACTATGAAACTAAGGGATAAGTATCTGAGTGCCGATCATATAATACGTAACGCTGTTAAAAGTATGCCTTCAGTACTGCGTATCAATTTGAATCCAGCAACATAAGAAAAGGCGGGAAAAAAGAATACAACAAACAATCGATGCGACTGCAAATGGCGGACGTAAAAGTGCCGCCTCACATATAAATGTCGCTGACGATGGAGCGTTACTTTTGCTCTATTTACCGGTTTTCTTTGCCATTTTGATTTGTATGGAGATCATGGTTAGGTATACGATATTTCTGTTTGTGGACGCAAGGTCTGAAAACGTTTAAACCAGCTTTTATATCATTCAGAATAAACAAGATATTAGAACATCTTGACCTATTCATCAGCCCTTAATTGGAATCGTAGAACGCACCTTACAAGCATTTACGCAAACGCAATGCAAGATAATATCCACTGTTAACAGGTTTATGCCTTCTAAACTGACCTTTTGTTTTATTTATATCTGTAGTAAATTCAGATCATAGTGCATAGATAAAGTTATCCGTTTTATAACTTATTAAATCTGTAGATGTTCGAATAAGTGGAGCAAATCTGTGTCAATAGATATTTACGGGAAACGTATTTGTTTTTAAATGTTAAAATTAATTATTAAATAAATCATGTAACGCAACTTATGACGTTATGCAAGGGCAAATGAAGTTGCAGTTTTGTTTCCTTTTAAAACCAAAATGCTAGTTTGATAGATAACAAAGTTGTTAATTATAAGTACTTAGACAATGACAGAATTATACTGAACTATAAGTTTATTTCCCCTCTTTTCAACCAATGCCTAATTAACCTTCTTTAACAACCTTAAGGGTATATAAGGTATCTAAAATTGGACGACTTATTTTTGGTGCAATTGAATCCATAGGTGCAGGCAAAACGTTTATAATAGTATATGGTTCGTTAATTAAAGGTAAATACTGTAAGATTTGCGATCGTTACAACTGCATTCATTATGCGTGTTTTACATTTCCCAGTACTTCAAGTTTTGTTCCCACGGTGTAGGATCGTAATCGCCACTAGTTAAGCGACTGTGTCCTACAAATCTAGATATCGAGATAGACGATGTCTTGAAAGCTGAGTGTCATCGTATTCAAGGATTTTCTGTGTGGTTTACGACTACGATACACTAGCTGTGTGATCACCGGCTCCGCTTTATCAGATACTAAAGGGGTCTAAGGGCGATTCTACGAAAAAAAATATAATACGGTTAAAACCGTTTTAAAATCGTTAAAAAATACCTACAGACTAAGAACAGCATGTTATTAAAAATAATAAACCGAAAATGCCTATATGTAGGTATGTGGTTACATCTGCTAATTTATGATTTTACGCCTTGTCTTCTAAACAGAAAATTGCTTAATATATCACTTACGCACTGTCTGTAGTTTACGCGAGTAGTGCCTACATTTAGATAAAACAATTTAAAAGAATGAAAACACAAAATGTATTATTTTAACTTTTTTACACATTAGGTATTTAGGTATTTACCGGGCCGTAGGTAAAATAATTTGTAAATAAGTTAATTAATAGATTTGGCATTAAAACCGTTAAAAGCGTTTTATTTAAGTATATTACATCGCATATACTTAGTTTCAAATTTAATCGATAAACCATTTTTAATATTATACCGCCAAAATTATTTTTCGCAGAGCTTAACAGACGCACACACAGAGCAATACTTATAGTTTTTCGTAACTGCATGTTATGTTGCGATATTAAAATGTTGGGTTCTTCAACAAAAGCAGGATAATCACTGGGCGGAGCGATCGCCTACTGGCTGCCGGATCGTAAATCTGCTCCCTGTTATTACAGAATGCGTTTTTGTGAGATTTCCTGTTCGTACTTATGTGAAATCGAGGATAGGTATATATAGTATGGGTATGGCCTTATATTCAAAAGGGCATAATATTAAGTAAATGCTAATATGGTATATAATCTAAAAATACATATTAAAGAGATAGTGTTTCTGATCAATACAGTTTAGTGTAATATACGAGTATATAAGATTTAAACACTCAACTCTGTGCCTGATTTCCATGTAGTTTGAAATTTATGATATTTGTCATCCATACGTTCCTGTATGTACATATATTATAGGTACTAAGTGTAGGATGTCTTAGATTTTAAAAGTAAACTTTTCATCTTCAAATATCTTTGATTTCCATGTCAATACTTGCGCCGGAAAATGAAAGTTAAAATACCAATGTAAAAACTTATAAAAACTGTATATACCTGTAGTAAATAACTCTTTTGTTATTATTTTAATATTTAAATAAATAACCAGTCTGAATGTTCGTTTGATGACGTCTTGATTCCTTGACGTTGTTTGATGCTTTTTTGTACATGAAAAACTTTTTACCTAATGACTTATTAATTATGTTACATTTTTAATGTTATACATATACATTTAATCCCTCTATTTATCTCATGTAATTAGACAGCTGCTAAATAAAAGATGCCTGTGAACTCATTAAAAATGGCCTAAAACGTTTAACTCAACTGTCCATCTGCGAGATCGAACTAAAGATTACGTACTCCTTTCCATCGATTAAGCCTTCCTTTAATTATACAAAACCATTTTCTTACGTATTATTTAGTTGTAGGTAATTATAAACAGCGTGCATTTAAGTCTTAGGGTAATTATAGTGGGAAGTTTTTAATTGCGGCAACCCTGTTTTTGTAACGCTTTATTTGAATCGGGAATACTTCTATAATGTTTAATAGTTTTGTGTAAGTACATTTAGTTTAGAATGAAGTTCTTAAGAAATAAAGCAATAATATATTATGTTAAAAGTACACAAGTAATAAATTGATGTACTTTTACAAATCTAGTAGGTTTTTTTGAGTCGCTTTAGCGTCTTCCTATAAATGAAAGTATAATCAAATTTCTCCTATTAACATGAGGTCCACGCACTATTTCGAAGTCCGCTTTTAATTTAATACAACTGGTTGATCTGTGTTTTGTCCATAATCCGAAGTAGCTATATATTAAATAATCTATAAAATATTTTTTTGCTTTAAGATAAATAAATGTGGTTAATATAATGTACATAAATGTTATGTATAAATAATATATAATCATTGATACAGAAAATAAAATAAAATAATTACTTGCTCTACTAAATGACAACTAAGAAAAAAAAGGTTTAATCTGCGTTGTTTTCTAGAAATTGTAACTCCTGTACCTCTGTTTTTAGAAAAAGAAGAGATTATTGCTTATTCTTTGTACACTGTCACCATTTTTGCAAACGGGAAATGTCACTTATTGATGAAAATGGTTTTTAAAAATCCACCGTTTTTTAAATTCTTGCGGATATCAGAAAATGCTTTACATAAGCGATTAAATATAGAGCTTGGTAATTTAAATTCGTGCCATCGGAATTACGTATCTTTGGCCTGTATCATTTCTAATGGATGCAGGAGTTTTGACAAGTTTGCTGTAGATTCTCAGAGGAAATATATCTACAAGTAGGTACATATTATATATATATATATATTCATTGAAATTTAACTTTCAATGTTCGTTTTGAACCGCTAACGAAATTCGTTACCGGTTCAAAATTGGCGGGAAATTTTGCGTAACCTAAGTTACTGTCCTTGTGTTGGTTTATATTATTATATATTAAACATTATGCTGCATTACAATTCTGCATTTAATTAGGTAAAAACTTTATTAATTTCAGAAGAGTAAGTAGCTCGTTTTGAAATTAGATATCTTATTATGTAAATCGAATCGTTTGGTGTCTTACGGCTTAAGTCTTCACTTTGAGCTTGGTATTGTTTTTATATTCAAAAAACATTATACTTTTAGTATTGGTTGCAGTTTCCGTAAATGTCATGTACTCCGTGGGCCAAGGTCAGAATTAGATTGGCGTGACGTCACCACGGAGGCTGAACAGATTGTCGGATATCCAACGTCTTTCCTCAACTTGCGGTGGCTTTTCAATGACGAGATCGCCAATACTGCTATTCACTTAAGGAAATTGGTACTTTACCAAGAATATTTTCTCAATTAACATGTTAACCTATACATATTTCTCCGACTTAGTTGTAATCCGCGCTGTAGGTATATGAGGTACCTACCTAGTTTAGGAATGAATAGTTAACTCTTTGTTTATAATATCTCTATTGAGTGAGATTCTTCTATTTTTATAGGTTGGCACTAATCACCCGCTTCTAAAATCCGCTAAAAATCTCCTGATCGGACCAAAAAGCAATCTTCAGTCAGTTGGTCTGATTATACTTCTAGTTTCAAAAGCAGCTGGTTTTCAACTACAAAACCATTCCCTTGACAGCCATGACTCTGGAATTCTCCACTCACAAAGGGCACTCGCCGAAATCGTTGAAATGAAGAGGACGGGACACTTGATACACAAAACGATGGCGAACCTTCAGGATCGGCAGAAATATGGAGATAAATACCAGGACTTATTATGTGGAAATAAGATTGTTTTGCTAACAGGTGTCGTTTTTATCACTTTAAAAAAAAAACACTTTCTTTAACGCGAAAGGACACGGCAACTACATAACACGAACGTCGCTCGGGCCGTAGTAAAATAATTTTATCTTATACATTTAGCAGACAGCATTCACTTTAAAATACTCCATCGTCTTCTATTAACGTCTATGTAGAAACTGTTAATATTCGCAGGTGATTATCTCCTGGCGAGATGTCTGCAACACCTAGGTGGACTTCGCAATAATGAAGTGACAGAGCTCATATCTACCGGGCTAAGAGATCTAGTGGAAGGAGATTTCCTTGGTGAACATGATGATGAGCATAAACCCTTGCCAACTCAGCCTAAAGGTTAGTTTAAAAAATAATTATAAACTGGTTAGAAAAATGTCAGCCAAGGATCTCAAAATCGTATTCTGGTAATGATTGTTCGCATTCCAGCCAGCAACGAAATTCATGAAAACTATCTTTGGGAGAGCGAAGAAAATCTAGCCAAACTCGGATCTAATACATACCTTGGCCAAGGAAAGGACGAATGGCTTTTGCGCACAATGCTGACATCAGGCAGCTTACTAGGAAAGGGTTGCCAAGGAGCAATGAAACTTGCCCATAGAGGTAAACAATTTGAACAGGATGCATATAAACTTGGCGGACACTTGGCTATCATGTGGCAACTCTATCTGGACATTAAGGACTTCTTTACACATCCGTACTCATACTCTTTGGTCGGCGCTCCAGTTATTATCGCTCTTTGGGAATATCCCTCTATCTATGGTCACTTTTGGTCGGCGAGAGTTGAAAAGAAACCGATAGAGTACAAACAATTGTATTATGCTGTCCGTGGAACCAGGTCGATGGAGTATATTTCTACATTCTTAGACGAAGAGTTGGAAGCGGTTTTAAGGTTTAGCAAGAAATTTCCAGTCGAAGACGCAAGGTCGGCGTTGCAGAAGATGGCTTTAACGGTTCATGCTGAAACTATGCAGTATATGGAAAAATAAATTATTTCCTTCAATTTCCGTAGTTATTGTAATTCATACTTGTGATGTCTTCATAGTAACCTAGGATTATTCTTAGAAATTTCCAGAGGTAAACTGAGAAGTAAAACAAAGCATCATAACAAACAATAAAATGTATTTTAATTTTCACTCAACAGTTTCATCACATTTATCAGGTAGGCAAGCTATTAATATTGTATCTTATCTAATAAAAAATACAAGAGAATAAAAAAAAATACTACAAAAAAATATATAAGTAAAATGTTCTTTACTAACAAGTAAAAGTGTCTTTATTTGCACAAGTATTATGTAATAATTTCAAGCATGATAAAATAATTCTAATTTACAAAAAAATAATAAAATTATTACGTGTGACACAATTTCTTAAAATCTATAACAACTTAATAAAATTGTGTAGGCTTACAATAGTATTACAAAAGAAATAAATATTTGTACAAAATCTTATCAACACTTAAACTATACTGGTTTGGTCATCAATCTGACAAACAATAATTTGTTTGAGACTGATATTATGTATTGTTAATCATTCTTTTTATAGTTCTAGTAGATTCATTATCACCAAATAAATCTATATAACTATGTGCTTTTTCAGCATTTTCTACATATAGAGATTTAGTACGCTCTAATGCATCCGTTTCTAATATATCCTTCTTTAAACTTAAATAATCAACATCATTTATATTTTTTATCATATTTAGTTTATTATATAAGTGAGGTGAGTGTGCCAAACCAAATAATACTGGTGCACTCACTAAAGAAAATGAATTTTTGCTTTCACTGAATTTCTGAAGGTCGCTAGTAGCTTGCCAAGCTAAGCATAAATGACAGCCAAATAGGAAAGCTTTTTTTTCTTCTTCAACAGTTCTGTTAGCTAAAAACATAGCACCCTGACATCCTCGGCCAAACAGTGTGCCCCCATTGTACAATGCCCTTAAAGTCCACTCACGCATTGGAGACCCCAAGACATCCCTCACTTCTAAGGGCATTGTATCACAACTTATCCTATAACTGTCTGTTAGATTTTTACTCGGTTTACTTGGTAAGGGCATGTTCTGTTCATCCCTAGGGCCAAAGAATTCACCTTCACTTAAATCTCTTAATGCTGTGGATATTAAATAGGAGAGTTCTTGATTTCTCAATCGAGCAAGCATGCCATTAGCGGTAACTAGTAAATAGTCTCCTATGAGTATAGCAATTTTGTTAGCAAATAAGGAGTCTTTGTCCCACTCCCTATCTTTTGGCGGTATATTTAACAGCCCTCTGTGAATGTAATGACCTGTTCTTATCATTTCAGTGAGTTCTGCAAGAAGTCTTTGTTGTTCGTTAACATTACTTGATTGTAGAGTATGGGCAGGAGAAGCAACAGCTTTTGATAGTAGAAGTATTATAAGGCCCCAAGGTTGCAAATTATTGTGTTCATTATATAAGACTGTTTTTGCTGTTTTCATTATTGGATGATTGCTGCCAACCTAAAAAAAATTAAAGACATCTCATTTTTTACCCTTGTATTTTGCATTAAAATGAATAAAAGGAGATTTGTATTGTAAAATGTATGCATTTGACATGATTTTCACAATACTCATAAAACTCATCCTTATAACCTTGTAATAGAATGAGAATTTTATTACATAACATTGTTTACACATTGTGCAATGTATTTTATGGTAAAATATAGTGAAACCGACTAATGTTATAATGAAAACAGTAAGACAAAAGTAAATATTAAACAAATTAACTTTCACGATTTTCAAATATTAATAAACCTAGGTTAGGTTAGCTACATTTATAAATATTTCAAGGTATAGGATACTAATATTTCTTGGAAAGATTTACAAATGATAGTAACGCAAGAACATGGGCTTTAAAAGAAAAATGTAATAAAGAACTATTTCATGTATTCATGAATGGTTATGTGACTTACAATTTTTCGTAGATGCATAGCCAAATTGGCGAATTCGTCACTCAACAGCCACCTCAAATTCATAAAAGAAGTTGGATAGCCCACAATCTTTTCTGCTTCTTTAATAACTTTGTTCCACTGGGCTATGGGAGGTCGAAAAACGTATTCTTCTTGTGTTAGGTTGGTCATAGTGCTTTCAGCTCGTCTTTGGTGTTTTAAAATCACTGTGCGTCGCAGATGCCTCATTATAGCATACGACATTTTGATATAATGTATAAAAAATCTTCAAAATAAATTACGCGCCATAAACCTCTAATTCATTGGGGGCACAATTTGTTAAATGCAAAGTCCACCACACACGCTCTGTATAGGCGACAGCGGACTGATGACAGCAATGTTGCTGTCACCATGTGTCACTGTCAGTGTCATATTACATAATATATTAGCATACTTCCGGCTAGTGTGGCGGACTTTTTTTCAGATCAATTAAAGATTTTAAAGAGGTAACATATTTTTGGGTGCCTTGAGCCGTTTTCGCAGCGTACGCATCTAAAACCCACAGAGATGAAAAATTTCCCCCTGTATCTTCGCTTCTATTAGTTGTGACACCAACCAACCAACACAAAATAATTTTTCATATGTTGTGCATTAAAACAAACAAACTCTTCATCTTTATATATTATTATAGATAAATACGTTCACAATTTATCCAAAATAATAAAAAATCTCATAAAGTTTAATACTTCATTTTTAAAAGTACTTCCACTTGGTAGGTAGGTCTGTAGAAATTAAATGTTTATCATGTTAGTATGTGTGTAGATAATAAAGGTTACGTAGCTACGTTAAACAAGTTTGTAGTATCTACACTATCTATTTCTGTTCTTTTTAGAATTAGTTTTACATACAAAAAGATACTTAGTGCCTACTTGTAGTGTACTTGCAAAACTAAACGCTGAAAATGTGTGCAGAAGTATTTAAACTATCTATTCAACAATTACAACAATTACAATTTCATCTTATCATCATCATCATCATCATCATTCGTCAATCTAGTTCAGTATATATTATAGAATGTAGATCTTATCAGCAGTCATAATCACTAACTGAGAAACGATAACGTTTCTATGCCAGCCAATCACGTGTCTGCGCGCCATTCTTCAAAAATAGAAGGGTCAAGCCCCTGGCGAAGTCGGTGGCTTCCATAGCAATTAAAAATAAAACTGACGTATAATTTGTTGCCAGTTTATGGTGGCTCGTTCTGTCCGTAAAACAACAAAAAAGGTTCATTTGCATTTTGCATTTTAATCGGAGTATTTCTGATTGAGTAAAGATTGAATGCGTTAATTTTAAAACACAGGCTTTCCTCAATACATTTAGAATTTAATGAAATTTAAGTAACGATAAGATATTTGAAAACTGTATTATTTTTTACACATGAAGGCACTACATAATTTAAAAAACGATAAGAGGTAAGATTTTTAAACGATATGATAGCTTAGTTAGTTGGAACAGCAGCACGGAACGCTGTAGATGCCGCTTCAAGTCCCGTCCGTGTCGTAAAAATTTCTCAATCTCAATAGATTTTAAATTTATAGGTAGAGGTAATGTTAAAATTTAAGAATTATATTTCTCTCATTTATGCAGTATTATTTCTCATCATACGTAAATAAAACAACATGAGTATATATGTTGTTATATTATTATAATGACTGTACATTAAATAATAAATCGATGCTACGTTGTAAGATATCAAACGTGTTCCATACGGACCTTGTATGATAATAAATTTATTGACGGTAAAAAAGTTTGTTAAAAAAAAATTGTGAATTCAACTAATTTTATCAAATAATTTCGCGATTGATCCCTTTCAAAAGCGAAAAAGTGACTATACAAGTAGGTTATCTCTAAATCTGGAATGGATCGGCGGGCGGGCCCTTAGCAATTACGGGGCTAATTGCTGCATTCATTTCGCGGAATAATTCACTAATACACTAGGACCACGCCTCGATGCTATCTGCGTTTTACATAATATCCGTGGAAATTAATTTATGTACTCGAAACGTAGGTATGTAGCTACATTTCAAAGTGGAATACTTTTACGGTAAAAGATTTTTTAGAATCAGGTATGTGAATTAACTACAACGTTATTATTAACTAGGCGAGAGGTGGACCAATGGCTCTTGAGGTTTTTGGCAAATTTGTTACTGTGTTGGGGGAAATATGAATAGTGAAGTAGTAGTCGTCTACGGAACTATAAGCTCTAATTACTCTTACAACTAATAAATAATGTCTATATAAATCAAAACGAAAAGTGATAAGGTGTTGCTATAAATATAAACCCCAACTAACAGAAGAAATTACCTTCGTTATTGTATATTAAACACACCTCAATTTAATATTTTTCGTCTAAATATTACATCAAGACGTTATGGTGATTACTACTTATTTCGTTAACGCACCGAACAAAAGTGAGTCGTGGCCTACAAGATTACATGCCACCATCTTTGTACCTATGTCTATTTATGTTATCGAAATAAAATGACTTAAGAGTAGTTAACGAGAAACTAATATGTTTATTACTTAATGATAAAACCACAACCTCAAAAAAAAAAAATATAATTATATTTTTTTATTAAAAACTAAAAAAGACAGTTTCTGTCAACTTTTTTTTTTGAAATTCCATTTGCCTCGGTGACGCATGGGCACAATTCTGTGTCCGTTTCACTAATCGATTTTATTTGTAGGTAACCTGTTTAGACTTTCGTTGCCATACCCGACCGCAATTAGGTATTGTTTTCTAAGATCCCAAGTCCTCGCGAGCTTAACATAATGCTAGGCAACTATTAAACTGCGAAGGCGGTGGTCTGCCTATTTAACTTATGTTATATTTCGCACTTAATATTTCTTTTGTTATCAAGAATCCATTAATAGATTTATACGTCCCATAATTGCGTTTCAAACACCTGTACCTAAGATACGTACTATATCAATCTAGCTAGCTATGAAGTAGAAATTAATTCTTGCATGAATATTCATCCATATGCATAGAGTAATTTTGAAACCTTATTAAGGTCTGCCGGGCAAATTGCCTTCCAGTTATTCTCCATCGCCAATCATGGCCATTTAAAAACCATTATCCTTTATTATAGATGGATAGAGATAAAAGATGGATGTTTTTATGAGAGAAAGAGATGAAGTGTACTTGAGTTAGTGCAACTTACGAATACATGACGTATAGTATAGGGTAGAATAAGAACGAGTATTAGGTACATTGAGTAGTGGGTATTAGTTTTTTTTAGTCAGATAGTAGTATACTTACAACAGTACAGTTAACAGAAAAATGTATATTTTTAGAACTACAAATTTTAACTATAACTGACAATACATATATAAATTTATGAAAGGATAAGTTGTTATATCTATGTATGAAGTATCTATGTACTACATAATACGTGGTAATAAGTTAAACAATGTTGATCAAATACATTAAAAGATCACAAAATTCTTAACGGAGAAAAACAGTGCACAGCAGATATTTGTAAAAAACACTGTTTTCTATCTTTAAGAATTTTTAATGTTATTTCTTAGTGCAGTATAGTTAGTAGTTTTTACTGGTAATGAATTACTTACTGGCTAGTAGCCTAGTAAAATTACTAATAATGTCTCTGTGCCTATCCGCATATAGATTTATTTAGTTACATTTATGATGTACGTACTATTATATTGTTAGTCTTAGTATGTAATAAGTAATGTTGTCCCTATAAAAAAATTTCAGTTATTTTACTTGTTTTAGTTTCCTAAATAAATAATAAAATAAATAGATAGTCTATGAATATCAAAGTTTCAAATACCTACTTACAAATGAAAAAATATCTAAGTACACGAAGCTGCTTGACACAAACGTACTTAATTGAAAGCATTTTTCGTCTCCGTTTCTTTGGTTTTAAAGCCGCAAATTGTTTATCATTTGGATCCATAGAATAAACGAGCTCGGTCAAAATCCCGATCTCATCGCCGACACGACCTTCGCACAAAAGGCCTTTCAATACATTTCAGTTTGTATGTAGATTCGATATTGTGTCAGGTAGGGTTGCCAAAGACCATATAATTACGTAAAGCTGATAAACATGAACAATTTCTTGAACTGAGAAATATTTTATACCTAAGAGATAACTAAACGATAAGGTTTTAAATAATTCTAGTAAAGGCTCCCTCCCCATCGTTACAGAGTCTGTAGACTTACATGAAGCAGATCTAGAAAGAAGGAACATCATCCATCAAATATATTTTTTACATATTATGCAGCACCTAAGGTAATTTTTTAACATGTAGGTAGTTATAAAAATATTAAAACAAAATAATTTAATTATTAAATGTTTAATTATCAGTTCAGTTTAACTCATTAGGTTGATATTACCAGCTCCTTGTTTACGTTATTCGTGAAAAATCTAGTAAAAAAGTACAGTAAAGATATAGGGGGTAACCCTAAGTGATCGCATTAGCGTACAATGTATACCTTTGATCTTGCCGACTGACCGAGATCTGACCGACACCGCACGAAAGAAGGTGACATTGTTAAACTGTATGCAAATGATGCTGTGATAAGTTTAAGAACATAAATTCGCTAACTCTCTAAATAAGGAGTAGTTAAATATTTACTTTTCACCCTCAAGTCTTATAGACTAGCGGCGCCCCGCAGTGTTACCTGCGTAACATGCCATCCCCTTCTTCGTTAAGGGGCTATTAAACAAAATAAAGAAAAATAGTTGATTTGAAATCAAAATATTTCTTTAAATACATTTTTAATTAGATCACACCTTTCGCTATAATTAGCGATTTAGGTTGGGCATTGCCTGAACTGTCTGTTATTTGGGACAAAAAGTAATTATAATAATAATATAATAATAGACAACTTAAGAAATTATATCTCATTTACCCTTATATAATATCTAGAATAGAATGGTAATATATAATTTATTCAAAGACAACACAAAATAATTAACAAACATAATATAAGTAAAATTACAATATAATATTAATTTAATTAATATTTCTCTTTGAAAAGTTATTGAGCCTCGTAACAAACCTTGAAAACGACAGTTCTGCTATTTGCCACGAGATGGCAGAAAATTAAAAAAAGATTCTAATATTTTTATATTGTATATTAAAAGAGCTATCACAAACATATAATATATATTTACATAGATTGTAACTTCTCACTCTCTTATATATAAAGCAGCGTAGCAGAAGAATAAAGAAGA